AAATTGACCCAGAAAGCTATGAGAATCTCTTTGGAGGACTTTTATGGCTTTTAACGATAAACACTGACTTTATCAGATGTTCACGTGAAGAACAGTAGCATCTTTTATAAATAACCTGAAGTATTGTAATATTAATTAATAAAATAGAAACTGAAATGATTCCATCAGCGCGCGTGCTTTCTGTTTATGCCCAAACGATGGCCAGGCCCTGGCCCAGACTCCTCCCAACATTTAAAGCTTGGCTACTAAGCACTTGTTTGTTTATTGTTTTTCAATACCGAAGGAATTTCAACTTTATGGCGTGTTTCGAAGTTTTGAAAAGTACAGTTCCTTTTAACTTACAGTTCCTATTGATTAGATGCTTATTATGGAACATGCCAGAACATTCTGATACATCCAGCTATGTCCAAAATAAACTTATGTAAGAAAATGCATACAATCAAACAATTAAATGGCCATAAAAGAGAATCAAGGGCCCCTTGGAGCAACCTTGTAGTAAATTGTCTTGATAATTTGACTAAGTGATGTCCTTTGCCACTTTTTCAACTAATAGGTGTCCAAATTGGAATGTCTCATCATTAAAAAATACATTATTGTGCTAAAAAACAATTAGCAATATGTGGGGTGTCTTTGTAACAATATTAGTGGCTCCTCACCTAATAGTCATAACATATATTTGGGAAAAAAATATGATTGTTTTATACATATTTACAGAAAATGGTAATGTCTTTAGGCAGGTTCAGTAGGGTTAAACTTTCACTTGAATTCTAATCAAATTAAGTCCTAAGATAAATGTGCTGTTCAGATTTTCCCTACTATTTTCCATTGCCTAATCTACGAAATTCTTTCTTATTAAATAATTAACATAGTATTTTCCAGAAAAAGCACCCCTCCTGGGGAAGTCAGCCAATTTTTATGGACTTAATTTCAAGGCAATTCAAGATTCTGAAAGAGCTTTGAACAGTAAGTAAATGCTGTTTGACACTGATATTTTATAATTTTATCAAAATAACGATGTTGAACTGAGGAAGGAGATATATTACCTGCTTGAAATGTAGATGACAACGATTAAATCTTGTTCATTTCATTAAACAACACTAATATTCCATTTCAAAATTGAAGTTGTAACTAGTTATAAGGCAATTTGAACCTAAAAAAGCAATTAACTGTCTCAAATTAAAATTTTCCTCTAAATGGTTGAAATACTCAACATAACTCTTAAATCATGTGTGCAAGTTGATAATCTGAATTGAATTTCGATTTGCCATGAATGGTACAATAAAAAAATGTATTGCATTTTTTTAAATTAAAATTTAAGGAAAATTAAAACAGCTTTTCAAATTTCTGCTAACAAAATTACATTAACTTAACTCGATATGATTGACAATGAACTGATTCTCGCAACATACAGTATGTTTCTTATTTCGGTTCTTTCTTTTAATCTCTCAAGAGAAAAATTTTAAATTCAGCATCAATAAATTTGAACTGCAAGGAACTCTTAGTTAAATTCTGCTGATACAGCAATTCAGAAACAACCTGCAATTACACGGTTGTTAGATAACGGCGTAATATGTGACTAACACAGTCTATTGACTGTAAGATTTTACGCCACTATCTGCGTCGGTGTATATATATGTAAGTTTTTAAGCCGTTAACTAACGGCGTAAAATCTTACAGTATATAATATAACAACTGGAAGAAATTACGCCGTTAGTTACTGACGTAAAATCTTACATATAAGACAACCGACCGGAAGAAATTACGCCGTTAGTTACTGACGTAAAGTCTTACATATAAGACAACCGAATGCAAGAATTTATGCCATTAGTTACTGGCGTAAAATCGTACATATAAACACAACCGACTGGAAGAAATTACGTCGTTAGTTACTGGCGTGAAATCTTACATATAAGACAACCGACTGGAAGAAATTACGCCGTTAGTTACTAGCGTAAAATCGTACATATAAACACAACCGACTGGAAGAAATTACGCCGTCAGTTACTGGCGTAAAATCGTAATTATTTCCAGCCGGTGATATACATAATGTAAATTTTACGCCGGTAATATAATTTAATTATATATTGATTTATTATAATTAATCTATCGACTGAGTTAGTGGCGTAAAATCTTACCGTATATAGACTGTGTTAGTCATATATGACGCCGTTACATATATTCCCGCAATTGCACTGTGATCGTGCTTGAATTTCAAATTTTCTAGCACGAACAGTTCTGTAGAAGTCTCTCCCCCTTAATGCCAGTTACGTAACTGCAATGAAGTATGGGTTTTTTTCTGCATCAGTAAATTAGAACTACATGGAACTCCTTAAACTTCAAATTTTCTAATACGAACAGTTCTGTAGAAGCCTCTCCCTCTTAATGACAGTTACGTAATGAAATGAAGTATGGGTTTAAACGAAAATCTTACCGAAAATTGCTTCTAGTTGGCGGCTGGATCGAGTTGTCTGAAATCGATTCTATTATAATGTCTAGTTCGTGACTTCGCTGGCTTGTTAAATTACTTGCAGAGCAACGTTGAAAGAGCAACATAACATAGATTTCTCGTTTTCAAAAAATGATCATTGTGAAAAAACAAAAGCAAAATCACTAGTACCATATATTCTTAGATATTTAGGAGCTTCCGGATCTAAGAGTTCTTCCACAGTTCATGTTTTCCAAAGGAAACATGTTTCGATTGAGGCTCAAAACTCTACTTAGACTAAACTTTAGAAAAGCTCTTACCTGCTGAAGGGTTGAAAGACAACTGAGAGAACAATCCGGGCGATACCAAAACTTGAAACACTAAACACGCCAACATGATCTCGACACCGAAATAATGATTATCGGACTCACTGCGAAAAGCGTAACAGAATTACTTATTTTTTCCGAGCGCCATATATGGTGCAGGTAGTTGGTAGAATTTCTACAGTGACGTCACTTTCCTATAAGCAAAGAGGCATGCCTGCTAAGCTGATTTAATGCGCAGAAAAAGTTGGAAATGGCTGAGTTTTCAGCGAGTTCTTCTGCTAGTGATAATCCCAAGGTATGTATTCATTTAATATTTATGTTATCTTCAGCGGAAAATTTTCCGCACAGCCCTATACTACATTATGTATTCAGTTCTTGGATAGAAAAAAAAACAACAAAAACAATACATTGCAATTGGAAAAACAGATTTGTTTAACAGTAGTATGGGGCTGTGCGGAATTTTACCCTCCAAAGCATTGACCGAGGGGAACCTTCGCCGCACATAGTGCGAAGGAATAAAATGTTATAGCAACAGAAATAAACACAGCTACCCATTCTTAACCAAGATAGATTTCGCCATAGAAAACAAAATATAAACGCAGCAAACTAAACATTCATTAACGGGAAGTTTTTGTTCTAATCTTGACTTAAACACCGCAGGCGAGAAACCGTCTTTGTCAGTCTTTGTCAAAATCTTCGTTTGATGCACGCGGTTCTCCTTAGTAGGGCTGAACTGTACTCGCAACTTCCATTTCTTATCTACTACTTGAGTACGATGTATCACAACTCTCGGTAGAGCTTGCTGAAGGCAGCTATTCATCGCTATCGGACATTATTTCGAGAATATTTCAACGCTGACTATACAAAATTACAAGATTTGTGAGAGATTTGTAGGTGTCAACGGAGAATTTTCACAGTATTTACGTCATCACCCGCTAATTCGTTACCAGTCCATGGGACACTTTTAAGACAAAATAAGAGCACTTTAGGGCCCGAAGAAACCGAGTTTTAAGTTTTTTGAAATTTTTCTTCTTTCGGAATTGGTTTGTACATATGATAAGCTGAATATTTACCAAAAAAAGTTTCGTGTCATAGGCACTTAAATGCTTCGCTACACACGATAATGTATTCTGTGTTTAATGATATACCTCCCGCTTTTGCTAATTATGGTGTAAACTGACCAATAAAGACACTACTACGTGATCCCAATAGCGGGACTAGAACGGGCGGACTTTCAGTGAACTTCAGCTCGCTTTATCCAAACGTTAACGGTCGCTTTTTAATAACTTGACGGAGGATCTCTTTTACTGAGAGAAGGTACGTTTAGTGTCTTAACCCTCCTTACTGCCGAAGTCTAAAAATGAAAAAATTACTATGAGCATCTGCATTAGAAATCATGGAAACGTTGACAAGGCTGACTAGGCATTTGGTTGAAAGCTGTGTACTTGAAGTTGGACATAGAATCCACAAGATTCTTATCACGATTTAGGAATTGATTGTCTGCAAAGTGCACTTATTCTCTAAAATGACATTTTTGCAAAGCGAGACTTGTGTTGCGCAGGAATTTCAAGTCACAGTCAACTACCCTGAACATTATACCAAGTCATGCAGACGGGCCGCTTCAGTTGAAAATTCTATTATTTAAAATGTTGTTATTGTTATTTAAATTATTGTTGTAGTTGTTATTAAAATTGCAAAAAAGGGGACAAAAAAATTAAGCATAATTGTTTGACTTTAAGAGGCATTTTACTCCACCTTGTAATATTGATTACAGCAATCCGCAAAAGGGTTATTTTTTTGAGTATCAGTTTTCTTCTAAACTGAGTAATCGTCTGCAGACAACGAAAATCGATTCTTGGGTCACAAGTATGGAAAAAAAAGTTTCTTCCAATTCGCTCATCAATATTTATCTTCTTTTAAATTACAAAACACTGCTTAAGGGTCACTTAGCTAATCAGTGATCGCTTTACACTCAACCATTCCTAATTTACTGCTTTTTTTATTCGGTTGCGTTTTGGCTATGCCAATATGTCTGTTTGCATTCAATAACTAAATACCACATACTGTACACAGGCTCACTCAATCAATTATGTTGTCTTCATTATAAGTCTTTACTTTACTCTTTTTAAAGAAGTCTTTAACTGGTGAATTAAAAAATATATTAATACTGAATGAAAAAAACACACACTCGAACTTATGAATCGAAAGTAACCGTTAGATAAAAACAATTTTTTTTTATTTTGACAGCGATGAACAGCTGCTCCAAAGTGCGTGACAACTTAACACGTATAAAGCCTACAGAAGACTGGCTATCGGAGAGCCGCCTTAAAAGATGCCTTACAACCTCAGATCTCACTTTTTTAGGTGTGGGCTGTGTGTTAGGTGCTGGCCTGTACGTGGTCACAGGGGAATTAGCACGTGACATCGCTGGGCCCGCTGTTATTATCTCATTTTTCATTGCTGCTGTTGCTGCCGCTTTGTCTGGGATTTGTTACGCGGAGTTTGGATGCCGTATTCCCAAGGCCGGCTCCGCCTACATGTACTCGTATGCGACTGTTGGAGAGTTTTGGGCGTTCGTTGTCGGTTGGAACATGATTCTAGAATATGTCATCGCTGCTGCAAGCCTGGCGCGCGCCTGCAGCGAGTATATCAACTCATTTGCTCAGGGTCATATATTCAAGTTCTTTATGAACGATATAGCCACATGGAACGTTTCTGGCCTTGGAAGCTTTCCTGACTTCTTGGCATTCACACTGGCCTTGGCGGCTTCTTTTATTGTCTCGCTGGGAGCACAAAAATCATCTCTTGTAAATAAAATCGTAACCTTCGTAAACTTAGCCGTCATCTTGTTTATTATCGTTATTGGATTTTACTTCGCCGATGGGGAGAACTGGAAACCAAAATTTGCCCCCTACGGGTTTCGAGGTACTCTAGCAGCTGGGGCAAGCTGCTTTTTCGCCTTCGTTGGATTTGACGTCATAGGATCGGCGGGAGAAGAAGCTATCAATCCCAAGCATTCGTTACCCTTCTCTACCATTCTTACTCTTGTGATAAGTTTCTTGGCGTATTTTGGAGTCGCAACGGTGCTTACATTAATGATACCTTATCATAAACTGAGCCACTTTGCTCCTCTGGCTGAGGTTTTTGTTCAACGTGGGTTGAGCGGCGCCAAATACGTGGTGGCAATAGGTGGGCTCTGTGCAACAATGAGCTCCCTGGTGGCCAACTCATTCGCAGGCCCACGTATTGCATACTCCATGGCGTCTGACGGATTGTTATTCAACTGGTTTGCGCATGTGCACGAGAAGACAAAGGTTCCAGTTCGTGCGGTTTTGGTTGAAGGAAGTTTAGCTGCAATCCTTGCTTTACTTCTTGACGTAAAGCAACTGGTTAGTTTCTTAATTGGAATTAATTTCTTTGAATTTTTTAACTAAAAGCAAACTCGAGTCTCGCGAGAGCTGTCTAAACATGATTCACTAGCGAAGCTGTCGAAGTATGTTACTATTAACATAACAGGTAATTTAGTAGAAGTGGGTGTATTCCCTAGAATGGAATTTTGGACTGAATTTGAATTATTCTCCGCATAGTAACTTTTTTTAGCATTAGCAGCGACAAAAATTCTCTTTAACGCCAATCGTAGCTTAGAACGAACACCTAAAAAATGGAAAACGTAAAAAAACACGGTTTCCATTTGAACGCGTTGTGGTTCCAGAGAGAACGTTCGACATTTACTAAGAAAGATACTGAGGGAAATTTTAATTCTTAAAATATCTTTCTGTATCATATCGCTGGCATCGTTCGTGAGCAATATGAAGCAAATCCTGTGTTCTGATTGGCAACCCAACTGGGCATCATGGACCCATCTTGCCCACTTGGGATTGCCTGCCTCGATCCTGCGCTAAAAAACGTCGCATGGAGCAGACTTACAAAGTTCGTAATTTGTGGACAATAGCGGCGATAGAGTCGCAAAAAGCGGCAAAAGACTGTCAAACCAAAGAAAACATAAACGACTCTTGAGGGTTTATTTTGCTGCAAACACAATAAGCTCTCTCTCCCGGCTCTCATTATTAAATCTTTTATTAAAACAAAGCGAGATACTTTCGATATATAGATACAATTAATCCTTTGTTGACCAAGCTTGTTCGGTCAAGGTGACTGGACATTAGGCTAGTTCCTTTTTCGTGTTTCTATAGACTCGACCTCGTCTCGATCCATGGAAACGCAAAAAGAGAACTCGGCCAATATCCAGCCATCTTCACCTCACTCTTGGTATGTCATTTTCACATGTATTTTTAGGTGGAGTTGTTGTCTATCGGTACCATAATGTCGTACACCATGGTAGCTATTGCTGTGTTGGTGACGCGTTACACTCCTGGAGTACAAACCGTCAAATATGACGACGACAGAACCAAAGAAAGGACCCGAAAATGGCTTCAGTCGGTCTGCTGCCGTCCTGGCGAGACTGAGGACAAAGATGGTGCTAGTCACGAGGTTACCTACCAACGAGTCGAAAGCAACGACGAGGAGTCGTCAAATGTAACAACAGAACCAGACAGTACGACAAGCTTCCATGCACGTGTTGGTGCATTCTTGTTGACTGTATCCATAATGGCCCTAAATATCTGCCTTACTCAGACACAGTCATATCTGAGCTCGGGGGAGGTCTGGGCAATCATTCTTTCCTGTATCTTCGGTTTAATGATCGTCTCATCTTTGACGTTGATCATCAGGCAGCCTAGAAATTCTGCCACATTCCCGTTCATGGTTCCAGGAGTCCCGTTCATTCCTGCCCTTACGATATTTGTCAATACTTTGCTTTTGGTGACGCTGAATCATTGGACGTATATAAGGTTTAGCATTTGGATGTGTCTCGGTAAGTAATGGAAAATTGGTATGAAATGTTTGAATGTTAGCCTCGAGGACTGGATCGAGTAGAAGATGAGGCAACCTCGTCCCCAGGGCACCTTTTCTCTGGCATAGCACTCTGGCATAAATTCTGCCCACATGAAAAGTTGAGTTTCTTGATCTGTCGACCGACTTCTCCTTTTTTTTTTTTTTTATTTCCGGATTAGTTTCCTGTTTTTTTCTTGGTGTATATTGGTCATGGTTGCAAACGTTCCAGTGTCAAAAGTTGTTATTGTTCATTCCAGGTTTGTTGGTGTACTTTTCATACGGTTACAGTCACAGTTTGGAAGCCGTTAGACCGTCCGAGAAAACAGAATCTCAGTTCATCCTGACCCAGACTCCAGACTTTGGTCAAGAAGTTGAAGAATATGCACCACCACATCATCCATAAGGAATCCCATAAATATTGCAGTTCTTAATTAATTTTATAGCTGGAAAGTACTTATATGAATCGATTAGGAGGATCAGTTCATATTAGAAACAATCTTTTTGAAATCGCCCGGCCATCGTAGAACTAGTAATCTTGGCGTGCATAGTTTCCCTGTATTGAGAGGCGTTGTCATAACGTGCTGTACTCTAAAGGGTCGAGGCCTGCTGGCCGGATTTTTAAAAGCGTTCTTCTGCAAGACACTACTGAAATATATATTCTCTCCGGTTTATGAAGATTATCCTACGTCGCCAAACCTCAGTTGAAGTCAGAAAGCTTAGCTTTGTTTTCAGCCATAATTCGCATAGCGTTTGGGAATAAAATATTGTCAACTCCAAAACTACCTTTGTCGCTTGGAAGAACCCCATGTTCATTGGTTTCCTTTTTGAGCTCCAGAAGGTCTGTCAAAATGGGAATAGAGCGGGAAAAAAAATCTTGAAAGTTTTGAAACCGCGCTAAGATCAACGGAAAATTTCAGCCGAAGTGAAATTGTACACGTCATGTGATAGATGCAAAGCCGTGCAGTACATAAGGATTTTTACCCTGGTAGCTCCTTGCTCCTCCCTGAATAACCTTGCGCGAGCGCTATGTTATAAAAACAATTGTAACAGAATGGTTTCAACAATAACACAATTTTCAACAGAAAGCGAAAGCACTTGAGCAATTACACTAAAACAATTATTAACCTGAGCCTCAGTGAATATTGTTGAATCGACTCCCTCTCGGGGATTATTTAACAATATTCACTTCGCCTCGACGAATGATCGTTAATTATTGGTCTGATATATCACATAAATAGCTTAACTACTTTATTCATTTTAATGTTTAACAATCAATAATGCACGATTTTTAGACCGGGAACAAAATCGTTGAGACAAACCCGTATTTCTTAAATGAGGCTGTCCCTTTTTTAGAGAAAGATGAAACAAATTTTCGAAATAAATTTATAAGGCCGACGGAAAAAACGATAGCGTATTGCAAGAAATTCCAGCGTGCGATAATTATAACTTGTCTTCGGTCATTACGGTGATTGAGGCTTTGTTATCTTTGGTCCGACCTCTGGAGTCTCTGATGCTTTTGCATTCTTACCTATTTACAAGATATTCCTTTGACCAGCAGATAGCAAATGCTAATCGAGGCGGTCAAATTTTTTTTTCTTCACTAACCTATTTTAATTACACTGGAAATAAAACGGAAAAGAAGAAATATAACATGAAAAGACAAAAAGATACACATGAAAAGCAAAAAAGGAAAATAGCAAATGTTCATTGTAAAGGAGAAAAAGTCCTAGAGTTTCTCGCTTCAAGTGTTTCCATGGTACCATTTGGGGTATGAGAAGCTGGAACCACACCCGCTTTGTTACTTTTAGATTTTACTCTCTTTTATTTTATTATTATTATTATTAACCAACAGACGCGCGCCTTACTTGAAATGTCTCCGAAAAAAATTCGAGGAAAAATCCGCGATTTGCCGCGAGATAATCCTGCAGAGTGTGAAGGCTTCATTCGAAAGCTGTATAAAAGCATCACGTCCTTACAAGATTCCGATGAGAAAGAGAATCTGCTTGATGAACTGGAAACAGTTGCCTGCTGGGGATTACAAAAGGATCTGAAGAAAATGTTGAAAGAAAATGGGTTGCACCTCGAAGCGTTACCCCTGGTTGTGAGATCCATGGCAAATACAGGTGAGCTTGCGGAATATTTGTACAGTCATTCTAAAGAGGATTTAGAGAAGGAAGGCTTGGCCAGTGTAAACAAGCGGCTTCGACCACATCTTGAAGTGCTTGGAGGCCTCATTGCTGAAGGAATTGATTCCACAAAGGAATGGGTGAAAAGGCTTAGTGGGAAAGCTCCGTCATTTAAGGTACTTTCTCGGCTAGAATCAAGCGAACTTCAGTCTTACTGCCAAGGAGCTGATGACGGAGAAATGGACCAAGTTCGCCAGTTGGTTCAAACTGTTAAGTTTAACAAAAATAAAAGCTCCCAGATGTTCCGCAAGATGATAGGCTCGTGCAAAACACCAAAGCAACGAAAGCTGTAGATGAAGCAAATCTAGAGAGGGCAAAAGAACTGATGAATGAAGCTAAAACAATGGCTACAGACAAATCGGAAACAGCAAAGAAGACCAGCAACAAAACAGAAAAAATTGAGGGAACAATTGAGCAACCTCCAGATTGGTACGAGCAAGATCAACTGCAATCAGATCAAATGTTTCAACAAATAGATCAGATAAAAGAACAATGCAATGAAGTTGTGGAATCAGATAAAATTTGCAAGAACGCGGTACGGATGATCACCAAAGCCAGTGCTGGGAAGGCACTATTTGGAATTTATCATTCTGAATATGAAGTACCGAAACCAGCTGCCAGACCGCTTCTTCTCCCACCAACGGATGTGTCATTAACCAGTCCAAGCATAACCACGAATACGAATTATATGAAGTTCTCCGCCCAAGGAGCAGCTATAGATTACAGCCAGACTGTTGAGTCCGTAAATACAAATATTGGTCTCGCTATGGCTGGTTTCGAGGGCTTACTTTTTGGCGAGATACAAGGAGTTTGTGGTTCTGAGCGGTAGAAACAATCCCATCGTTCTGTCAGAGAATGGTCAACCAGTGCGTCTGTCCTTCATTACAAACGGATACCAACAAGATCCTTTCAGTTAACGTAACCAAATAAAACTTGCTGAATCAGCAAAGGAAATGGCAAGATCCATTGCTCAAGATACTGTCAATGGCTGGAAATGGTTCGCTTATTCTTAAAAAGTTTTGGAAGTCATTTTCCAGCCGGTTTCAGACTCTTAGTGGCGTGTTTTTCAGAGCAAAAAAGCAACAAAGAAATTCGAGCCAATGAGGGCAGCTGCAGGTTATCTTAAAGAGCAAATGTCTATTGGATTTCGCGGAGCCTTCGGTACTAGAGGAAGTAGTGCTGGTGAGCACTCTTGGTCTGAAGGTAGTAATGTGGGAAAGCACAATGAAAGCTGTGGTGAATTCATTACCTACTCTGTCAGATCCATTGGACCGACAACAACAAACCCCCATACTTTCCGCAAACTTTTGTCTGACAACTCAACCTGGGCTTTGATTGACCGTGGGCCTGTTGAAGGGTACATACCAGTATGGGAACTGTTAAAAGATCTTGGTGGTGAGTACGAAACAGCAGCTGACGTCCTGGAAAAAATTTGGCAGTGTGACGAAAGGAAAAAGAAATATCGAAAGATCGCAAAAGATGAGTTGTTGCTTATGAAGGAAGACTTTTTCGCAACGGTAAGAATGGCCAAACTTTAGTATTACAGGCAAAAACAGAACAGGTCTCTAATCATAGAGCAGATAGAGTGTTTCCTACTCTTTCTAAGTAAAAAATTATATTTTTTTTTGTTTTTTTTGTAAGTTGTAGTGCTATCAGATTTTATTTGCCCGAGATTAAATCTAGTGACCGAAGACGGTAGGAAGTTTGGAGTTACTGCCGCTTGCCAACTCTGGAACTTCTCAAGCCTGGAACTCAAGAATTCCGGATCAATAGAGTGTTCTAAGACTAATTATAGAAATATCCACCTCGGTAAATATCCACCAAGGCTTGTCCGCCAAGTTAAAAACTGTTACCTCGGACTTGAAAATGCTTCCCCCGGTCTGCTTTTATTTGAAGTGTTCTGAAAGGAATTTGAGTTAGCAGTTACTGTGATATCCATGAATCAATGAGCTTTTCTATGAAATAATTTACAATCAAATATTTATCCAGTATTTCAACATTGTAACTGGAATATTTGTGACGATGTAGCCTTTTTGGATCATAAGTTATGTACTCGTTTTTCCTTTTACTTTCTGTTTTCAGACGAGACAGCCTGTTAGCGAAACACTCAAGTTAAAGCAAGAAACTCCAGTTTGTACTCGACAGTTTGAGGACATAGGAGATGCCTATGAAGAAGCGATAGAATTCATCATGGGAGACCCGCAGAGCAACATCTACGTGATTATTGGCGATCATTCAAGCCTCTTCCAATGTCATCCCAGCTTGCGTTGCTTTAAAGTTCCTGGGAGTGAGCCGCTGGACGCCTTCGTCTCCACTTTTGATCGAGCTCCAATAATCTTACAAAGAGAAAGCGTTCTCTTTAGTAAAACGTTCTTCAAACAACTTAGGGGAGAGGATCCCGCTTCCAATCTAAAATGAATTAAGTGACTTTGAATAGAGCGCACTCCAGATCTTGGTTCAATGCCGTTTTAGTGAGACGTTCTTCAAACGGAGAAATCACGTTCTTTAAGCGTTATTGTATAAAAATTTACGCGTACGAGCTTTTAAGATTACTAGCATGGTTATGTTAAACTACAAAATCTAGTACAACCATCTTGGATCTTGCCCTAAACCATATAGCCAGTCAAAACGTACAAAACTGGCTCAAGAGGTTATGACAACTCACGTAAGATCTTTATCGCTTAACTTAAACGTGACGCTCTGATGTATGAATCGTTGTTGGAAAGTAGTAACTGTGTGCAGTTCCCTTTTTTCTGCACCAAAGGCCTGAAAAGTGCATGTTGGCTTCTTCCTTTAGTTGATTACCCTACAAAGGTGTATAATTAGTTTACAATTTTAAGGCTAAAAAATAAATCCAGACTTTCCCACGGAAGTATTTTACTCCCATAATTTAGTACCTATAGTCTCGATACTCTTCTCTGTTCGTTTCCTTTGGTACTGACAAGGAGAATTCTGTTAACAATCAGAGCCTCTTAGGTTGGCGATCATTTCCTTTATTCTAATGATTATTTTGAATGATTGAAATTAGACGCTGATCACTCTCACGGTTTAATGGGTCAACTTACTTTGCCCCTTTTTCCTTTTGTCCTAACTTTTGACCAGGTTGACTGGCTTAACTGATATACTGTTGAAATATAACATGATTTTAAGGATTCAGGAAGATTTCCGAGGGCAAACCAGACGGGGAATAGTTTAATTTCTTTTTTTCATGTGTAAATTTTCCCTTTTTCTCTTAGTTGTAGAAATTGTCTCCTCTCGTGAGGTTTTGGGGGAGAACACAGTTACAGATAAGTACAATGCATCTTGTTGAAATAACTCAAACTTTGCCAGTCGTTGAACGTATTACAATTCCGCCCAGAGACATGAAAAATGTTTTTGTGGTGGTAGTATTTCTCAGGAGTGAGCACAATATGAGCACAGTAGTATTTTGTCTCAAATTAATGTTCTTTTTCTTTTTCTTTTTCTTGTGTGAGAACCTAACTTTATAGGCCTCGATGGTTTTCATCAGGTTTCATCGCCATTTCGTTCAGATACCTTTGTTATTCTTAAGGCTTAAAATACTAACAGAGGTTGTTAAAATCACCGGTAAAACAATTGTTTTGCAGTTGAACCTGTACCGACGGCCCCTTCTCCAGTAAAGGCCACCAATGTGAGTCCTAAGTGCCTGAATTATCTCTTTACACCGACCACGTAATCGACGGTGTAAAAGAAACGTGTGACAAAACCGTCGAGGAGGCTATCTTGGACAGTTTACTACAACTGCAGTAAAAAGTCTGTGATACTGAAAAAAATATATACAGACTCACTGCACCCAAGAGATTATAAAAGTTTATAACCTCTTGCTGCACCTTGTTAGTTTTGTTTTGTTCACGTTTCTCCTCTTAGCACTCGGTGGAAGATAAATATTTTAACCTTTGAAAAATTGTGTTGTATCATCTTACACCCAAACCTCTCTTAACGGCCACTTTTCTTTGTCTTTTCTCTGTCTCTGTCTGTGGCAGAGGGGAATTCTGACTGTATCACACTGGCTTTAAGCAGGATGCGATAATTACACCATTATCCCCCTCCCTCCAGGCCCCCTCCAGTCAAAAACTCATCATTCGGTGACAGACATAGTCCTGGAAAAGGAAGGCTTGTTTTATAATAATTGTTAAGAACAGAGAGGAGCAAAGGCGAGTAATAAAGTACGTGAACCAAAAGCAGTTTTCATCCATTTCAATTAGTTTATTATCAGAACATTGTCCCTTGTAATGTCGGTGTTAGGATCAAGCTCACTTTAATCTTTGCCTGTGTTTTTCGCTTCTTGATAGGTTTAGATTTTTTCTTTCAGAGAGCTATTGTCAATTAGACTTGCATTTTGAGCTTCTTTTGTTTCTTGCGTTAGGTTATATTTTGCATATTGTATATTTTGCAATGGCAAACAATGTTTCGATTAAACGACTGTGAATATATGAAAGTCATATATTTGAAATGCGGATAAAGACGTGAATAAGAAAGAGATCTTCGCAGTAATGAACGTTACTTGAGCAGAGCTTGTTAACTCAGTTGGTAGAGCGCTGCACTGGTATCGCGGGTAGTCCCTCATATACCGGGTTCTGAAATAACTAATAATCGCAGGTAGCCTCTCATAAACCGGGTTCTGAAATAACTAATAATTAACTAATAGATGTAGCAGAAGGGTAAAGTGAGTGGGACCAGTGAATACAGAGGACCAGAGGAACAGTGGGAACAGAGGAATAGTGGGAACAGAGGACCAGTGGAACAGAGGGCACAGAGGACCAGAGGAACAGTGGGAACAGAGGACCAGTGGATACAGAGGACCAGAGGAATAGTGGGAACAGAGGACCGGTGGGCACAGAGGACCAGTGGGTGAGAGGACCAGTTGGTACAGAGGACCAGTGGGAACAGAGCACTAGAGGAACAGTGAGAACAAAGGACCAGTGGTTACAGAGGACCAGAGGAACAGTGGTCCCAGAGGACCAGAGGAACAGTGGGCTCAGAGGACCAGAGGAACAGTGGGAATAGAGGACCAGAGGGTCAGAGGACCTGTGGGTACAGAGGACCAGAGGACCGGTGGGAACAGAGGATCAGAGGAATAGTGGGTACAAAGGACCAGAGGAGCAGTGGGCACAAAGGAACAGAGGATCAGTGGGTACAGAAGACCAGAGGAACACTGGGAACAGAGGACCAGTGGGTACAGAGGACCAGAGGAACAGTGGGCCCAGAGGATCAGAGGAACAGTGGGAACAGAGGACAAATGAGTACAGAGGAACAGACGACCAGTGGGTACAGAGGACCAGAGGAACACTGGGAACAAAAGACAAGAGGACCAGTGGGTACAGAGGACCAGACGACCAGTGGGTACAGAGGACCAGAGAAACAGTGGGAACAGAGGACCAGAGGACCAGTGGGTACAGAGGACCAGAGGAACAGTGGGAACAGAGGACCAGAGGAACAGTGGGAACAGAGGACCAGTGGGTACAGAGGACCAGAGGGTACAGAGGATCAGAGGAACAGTGGGAACAGAGGACCAGAGGAACAGTAGGAACAGAAGACCAGTGGGAACAGAGGACCAGAGTAACAGTTGCAACAGAGGACCAGAGGAATAGTGGGCACAGAGTACCAGTGGGTACAGAGGACCAGTGGGTACAAAGGACCGGAGGAACAGCGGGATCAGAGGACCAGTGGGTACAGAGGACCAGAGAAAAAGTGGGAACAGAGGACATGAAGTCACCAGATGGGACAGTGCCAGAAGACACCCAAAATTGTTGAAATCCTATGGCTACATTTTAATTTTTCTCATATAAGGTAGCGAATCATTTTCCAACTCTGAACCTTGTGTTTCTGTATTGTCAGAATATTATTTAATGTTTTTTTTTCCTTTCAGTCACAGGTATAAAAGGCTGAGTTTAGGTGTAGGGCAAAATTTTTTCCCTTTGCAAAATGTGGAAAATATTAAGCTTCTCTAGTTATCGCATCACATTCCCCTAAAGCTTAAGTGTTGAAGTTTTTTCAGACTTGTTGTAAAATATGTTTTATTATATAATCAATAAGGATGCTACAAACTGCCACCTTTGTCCCAGTCAAAGCATCTTAGCCATACCTTTTCCACTTAACAAGCAATTTATTTGACCACAAACAAAACTATTCGTCATTACTAACCAAATAATATAATAATCATAAGCTTTCTCTTTTTTACAACAAAATCCTTAGCCAGAACTTAAACCATACTTTTCTCCATGAATATTTCAAATTGACACACTTTAGAATCGTTACATTGTCCTTTATCTATATCAGCTGGTAACTTCTTATAGAACGACCACTTTATGACACTCATCTCTATTGTTTGAATGTGCCATTGCAATCTGTAGCCAGGATTTCTCTGAGAGAATTCAAAGTTACGACAGGAGCCTATAAGTTCTCAGTAGAAATTTTTGTCTAAGGTAGCAGAAGGTAATAATTGTTCCCTCTCACAGTAGTATACCTAGTAGGTATTCCATAACCTTATGATTTGACCCTTTCACTCCTCGTGGGAGTAATATGAATGCTCACAATACCAAAGCATTCAAAATTCACACAAATTATCAACTAAGGGATTGAGTTTGATTGGACACCAAATTCTCAGATCCTAAACTACATGTAAAGAATGGCAAAGCAGTTTTACAATAGACAAAAGCTTTGTGTTCTGTCACTTAAGCCAAATCAATATCATCATCCTCTGGATCAATATGGTGTTCCTGGCAGAGTCGAGCCTTCTGTGGGTGCTTGTCTGGGAATTTGTTAAAAAGTTCCTCTGTAACCTCTGTTCCTCTGGTCCTCTGTGCCCACTGTTCCTCTGTTCTCACTGTTCCTCTGGTCCTCTGTACCCACTGGTCCTCTGTGCCCACTGTTCCTCTGGTCTCACTGTTCCTCTGGTCCTCTGTACCCACTGTTCCTCTGGTCCTTTGTACCCACTAGTCCTCTGTACGCACTGTTCCACTGGTTCTCTGTACCCACTGTTCCACTGGTTCTCTGTGCCCACTGTTCCTCTGGTCCTTTGTTCCCACTGTTCCACTGTTCCTCTGTGCCCACTGTTCCTCTAGTCCTCTGTACCCACTGTTCCACTGGTCCTCTGTACCCACTGTTCCACTGTTCCTCTGGTCCTCTCTACCCACTGCTCCACTGGTCCTCTGTACCCACTGTTCCTCTGGTCCTTTACACTCATTGTTCACTGATCCTCTGTTCCTACTTTTCCACTGTACTACTAATTCTCTGTGCCCTCTGTTCCTCTTGTCCTCTGTGTCCACTGTTCACTGATCCTCTGTACCCACTCACTTACCCTTCTGCTACACCTATCTGTTAATTATTAGTTATTTTACAACCCTGTATATGAGAGACTTCCCGGTATCGCAGAGGGTATGGGTTCAAATCCCGTACAGGCCTGAATTTTTTTCAGTGCTCAAGTAGCGTTCATTACTGCGAAGACTGCTTTCTTATTCAAATGTTTCGATTGTTCAGCGTCTGCTTAAGGTGAGCGCATTTGCTGGGTTTATTTTAGTCACAATCGTCTTTACCCTTCGTAACCCTCCGTTTCGCTTTGTATCGCTTCGGTTTGCTTCGAAAGGATTTAAAAGACATGGTACGTGAAAGACGTTTGTGACTACATGTACTGTGATCTGTGTTGTCATGTTTTGTTTAATGCTTCGCTACACACGATAATATATTCTGTGATTGATGTTATACTCCCGCTTTTGCTAATTACATGATAGCCAGTGGACTAGAACGGGCGGGCTTTCAGTGAACTTCAGCTCGCTTTATTGAAACATTAACGGTCGCTTTTTAAAAACTTGACAGAGGATCTCTTCTGCTGAAAGAAGGTAAGTTTAGTGTCTCAACCCTCCTTACTTCCGAGACTTTCGAAGTTTGAAAAAGGAAAATTTAACTGTAAACATGAGCATTCGAAATAATTGGAGCGTTGAGAAGATTCACGAAGCATTTGATTGAAAGCTGTGTACTTAAAGTTGGACATAGAATCTACAAGATTTTTAGCACGATTTAAGAATTGATTGTCTGAAAAGTGCGCTTATTCTCTGAAATTACATTTTTGCAAAGCGAGACTTGTATTGCGGGGGAATTTCAACTCACAGTCAACTACCCTGAACATTATACTAATTCATGCAGACGAGTGGCTTAAGTTGAAATTCCATTATTTCAAACAAGGAGTGTTATTGAAATTGGAAAAAGGTAAAGAAAAGTTGTAGCATAAAATTGTTTTACTTAGAAAGGCATTTGACACAGAAGGTTACTCCGTCTTGTAACATTAATTACAGCAACCGCAATAGGGGTTTTTGATTACCAATTTTCTTCTAAACTAAGTAATCGTGTGCAGCTAACGAAAATTGATTCTTGGGTCACAAGTATGGAAAGAAAAATTTCGCTGTAATTCGCTCATCAATATTTATCTTCTTGTCAGTAAAGTATAAAATAGTGCTTAAGGGTGAGTTAGCCAATTAGTGGTCGCTATATAAAACAACCCTTCCTAATTTACTGCTTCTTTATTCAGTTGTGTTTTGGCTATGCCGATATGTCTGTTTGCATCCCATACCTAAATACTACATACTCACTTAAGTTGCTTAGGTGACCCAGTGAATAAGTGTTTTGAGCTTATTATCATTATTTAAAAAGTATGTCGTCTTTATTGCTGGCGGGGTAAAACGACTGCCGAATTCAGTTCACGAAGCAAATGATTCGCGCAGAGTCGGCACACATCACAAGAAAATGTATAACGGTAAGGAAATGTGGATCCAGTGGGTTTGATGTGAAAAATTTCCCGAAGATGCTGTATCCTTCGCTTTTCATGACACCTAAACATCTGTTTTAAATCGGTTATGAAATCATAAAGTGCGAAATATTTGAGGATCCTCTGGGGATAAGTTTATTTAAGATCACCTAACTGAATCCGCTTGTAGAAGTTCTACACTGAAAATATTGCATCACGAAATGCCAATCAGAAACACACAGTGTTGTCGTATTCAATTCCTTCATTTGTCATAAACTGATAGCAAATCAACCTGTAAGCAACGTTGATTTTCTTTAGTAGATTGGATATACAAATAATAAAGAAAATTTACAATTTAAGATACAGTGAAAGTGCTCGCAAAAATTCCCTTTTCTAATACCCCAAAATAGGAGAACCTGTTTTACTAAGCAACATCAAGAAGGTTTTTACATGTGCGTTACAGTTAAATAATGATAAGCATTTTAAACAAAGGGTTTGAAAATGAGATGGCAAATTTATATTATATTAATATAAAATGAATATGAATACTATAGATTTAGAACCGAAGTCAAACCTTTTAAGCTTTTCTGGTAATCTTTATCTATATCTCCTTTATGGAAATTATTGAAAAACTTCATCAAGAAGCTTCTTAAATGAAAGCTAAGTTTTTCGTTTGTCTTTTCGTTTGTCTCACGTTTCGACTGCCTACTGCTAGTCTTCTTCAGGCGATGAGGTCGACTGGTCATGCGTGATCTTATAAAGCATGATGCTCTGCTGTGATTAGTTGTTTTTTCAACAGCTCTGATTGGTGCATTTCGATCCTTGCTGTTCACTCAGTGATTTGCTCCCTCGGCGGTCCGCTGTCGCACGGCTCTCCTGTTTTTGTTTTGTTTTTTTTTATCGTGGGCATCCACGCTTCTGGAATTTCTATTCCACTATCCCTGTTGATGTTGTTAGGGTGAAGTCTTATATGAATTGCCTCTTTGACCCTGTGCGTGTAGTAATAAGGGTCACGATCAATAGACTTTACTTCGTTCCAGAGTGGCTTGTGCCAGGTGTTGTACGGGCGAGTCGAATGTCTCGGTCGTGCTCCTTAATTATGTCTTGCATAAGTCTTCCAGTCTCTCCGATGTAAACCTTGCCGCACTCAATCAATCAATCAATCAATAAACTTTATTTACCCTCGAATTTACAGTGCAGCACTTGGGTGCTAATCTCTTCGAGCAACTTCATTAATACATGATTATAATAAAAAGATTAATTCTATAACAAATAGGATAACTTACTACCTAGACAACTAACTAGCAAATCATCTTGATGTAGAAAGGTTTGCGGTTCCTGCCCTTTTAAGTAAATTATTGTACCCAGTAGATAACAGTCGTCGAAAAGAAGTCAAATCAGAAATAGGGCGGTGATGGTCAGGAAGAGAATTCCAAGATATTGCTGCCAAGTAACTAAAGGAATTGACACCATAAGAAGTGGTCAGTGGTTTAGGCAAACAGAGTATATTATGTCCTCTTAAAAAATAGGTGCTAGAGCGCAAGCGAAACATATCTTTTAAATATCTTGGATAATCAGAAAAATGAAGACATTTAAAAATAGTAAGAATCATGTTTTGTAAACGCTTGTCCTTAAGGTTTATAGTTCCTGCCCTTTTAAGTAAATTATTGTATTCAGAGTTAAAATCCTTGTAAAGAAATCGAAGAATACGTTTGTTTAAAAGATCCAATTTATCAGAATCTTGTTTACTAGAGAAATGCCACACCATAGAACAATAATAAAAGTGAGGAAGTGTAAATGCCTCATAAAGACGTAGCATGGTTTCAGAAGACATCAGTTTGCCGAACCTTGTCATAACGCTAAACTGATTGTTTACCTTTTTACATATAGAGGACACATGTTGCTTAAACGTAAGATCTTTATCAATTGTAACGCCAAAAAGTTCCAGAGTCATTTACTGAGAAATTAAACTGATGATCAGTTTTTCCTAGTATCATCCCTTAGTGTTTGCTGGGATTTGCTATAATTCCATTGACCTCATACCAGGCATTTGCTGAGCTTACCTCACGCGAGATACGCCTTTCCAAAGATACCGGATCCGTATCGGCAGTGTAGAGTTGACCATCATCTGCATACATATTTAATTGTACAGTTTTAATTTGTAGGAATAAATCATTTATAAAAATGTTTTTAAAAAAATGGTCTAAGAACACTGCCTTGAGGTACTCCTCGCCTGACTTCCTGCCAATCAGAGCTTGTATCACCTACTTCCACCCGTTGCATCCTACCATGTAAGTAATCTTTAAGAAGCATACAACTTCTACTGTTGACACCATAAGCCTTCAGCTTAGCCAGCAAAAGTCCATGCGGTATGGTGTCAAAAGCCTTAGATAAATCCATTGATATCACTGCAACAATTTGTTTGTTATCCAGACTACGCTTCCAATCTTCTGTTAACCTCATTAACGCGGATTTTCGCAGCTATAGTGTCTCCTATACGCTGAGATGTACTCAGACAATAGTTCAGTGTAGAACTGGTCTAATTGAGAAGCAAGAAGTTTCTCAAAAACATTATTTAGGGCCGGTAAAACAGTAACTGGTCGATAATTTTCTTTACTCAAATTCATTATTTTTCTTGAAAAGAGGTGTTACCTGCCCCATTCTCCATCGAGAAGGATATTTACATTGTTTGATCGATTCATTCATCAACTCTGCTAGTGGACCAGATATCACAGAAGCGGATTCCTTAAGAAGCCGCGGAGTTATGGTGTCGTGGCCGCAGGCCTTGCGTGCGTTGATGTTTAGTAGTAGTTTTTCAGACTGGTTCTTATTGGTGTATTTAAAATTAAAATTATGTATGGCGTTCTTTCTTCTGTTTTCCTCCGCAGTTGCTCGAATGCTGGGATGTGTACTGAATTCGTGTCCAAAGTTATGTTCTTTAGGTACAGGGAATCACAGCGAAATACCACACCCTTTTATTTGTTCGCCAAACAATAAAACCACTAAAAAGTGAGACATCCAGGAAGATCGTGTTCGGAGCTCGAAAGGGGGAGATTCACCTTCTTGATTACATTCAAAAGCAGATTATTAGGATTTTACACTGAATCTAAATCATCCCCCCCCTTTTCGTTTACTCTTTATTTCATTGGACACGTTTGTATTGAGAAAATAAAAGGCAAGCAGACGCGCACATCTAGGCTTTCCTGTACACAGGCTCACTCAATCAATTATGTTGTCTTCATTTTATTTTTTTTCGTTGTTTCTTTTGTTTTTTTCCCCGACGGACTGATATAAATATATATGATATATGCGCTTAAAAACACGCAAGCCGCGCATATATTCATAGCTGGTTCAAAATTTCATCGCCAGCATCAAATAATTTTTAAATTTCAATTTGGAATCAGAACACCTCTCCCTTACTTGATGTATTTCAGTAAAGCTTAGCTCTTTCAAACTTGCCCTCTGTTTTCAAGATTACCTTAACACAGGAAATAACGCAAGGCTACGCTTTGACCTTAACCGATTAGTTGGAAAGCCTTTGTTATAGGCTAATTTTAGCTCAACCAAAGGTTACAAAGGCAAATTGTGTGACACGCATCATAGCTTGAGAAAAACACTCAACTTTTCACCGCCTCTTTTATTATCAGCAGACACCTCGATAATGAGATACCGTGTAATTATGCATGAATATTGAAAAACCTTTATAAATGATAGATGTGGAAGGCAACAGAAAATCTCATAAATTTGAATGTCGTAGGAAATTTCCTTTCCTTCCCTAGTCAAGCGAGGAAATTAAAGCAAACGAAAAAGTAAGAGAACTTCCATCCCTTCCATCCCTCTCTTTTCCTCTTGTCGCTGGAAGTCTGTAACTGGTGAAGTACAAAAAGGATTAATATTGAATAAAAAATACACACTCTCGCACTAATGTATCGAAAGTAACTGTTCTATGAAACATTTTTTTTTTGTATTTTGACAGCGATGAACAGCTGCTCCAAAGTGTGTGACAACTTAACACGTATAAAGCCTACAGAAGACTGGCTATCGGAGAGCCGCCTTAAAAGATGCCTTACAACCTTAGATCTCACTTTTTTAGGTGTGGGCTGTGTGTTAGGTGCTGGCCTGTACGTGGTCACAGGGGAATTAGCTCGTGACATCGCTGGGCCTGCTGTTATTATTTCATTTTTCATCGCTGCTGTTGCTGCCGCTTTGTCTGGGATTTGTTACGCGGAGTTTGGATGCCGTATTCCCAAGACCGGCTCCGCATACATGTACTCGTATGTGACTGTTGGAGAGTTTTGGGCGTTCGTTGTCGGTTGGAACATGATTCTAGAATATGTCATCGCTGCTGCAAGCCTGGCGCGCGCCTGCAGCGAGTATATCAACTCATTTGCTCAGGGTTATATATTCAAGTTCTTTATGAACGATATAGCCACATGGAACGTTTCTGGCCTCGGAAGCTTTCCTGACTTCTTGGCATTCACACTGGTCTTTGCGGCTTCTTTTATTGTCTCGCTGGGAGCACAAAAATCATCTCTTGTGAATAAAATCGTAACCTTCGTAAACTTAGCCGTCATCTTGTTCATTATCGTTATTGGATTTTACTTCGCCGATGGGGAGAACTGGAAACCAAAATTTGCCCCCTACGGGTTTCGAGGTATCTTAGCAGCTGGGGCAAGCTGCTTTTTCGCCTTCGTTGGATTTGACGTCATAGGATCGGCGGGAGATGAAGCTATCAATCCCAAGCATTCGTTACCCTTCTCTACCATTCTTACTCTTGCGATAAGTTTCTTGGCGTATTTTGGAGTCGCAACGGTGCTTACATTAATGATACCTTATCATAAACTGAGCCACTTTGCTCCGCTGGCTGAGGTTTTTGTTCAACGTGGGTTGAGCAGCGCCAAATACGTCGTGGCAATAGGTGGGCTTTGTGCAACAATGAGCACCCTGGTGGCCAACTCATTCGCAGGCCCACGTATTGCATACTCCATGGCGTCTGACGGATTGTTATTCAACTGGTTTGCACATGTGCACGAGAAGACAAAGGTTCCAGTTCGTGCGGTTTTGGTTGAAGGAAGTTTAGCTGCAATCCTTGCTTTGCTTCTTGACGTAAAGCAACTGGTAAGTATCTTAACTGGAATTAATTTGTTTAAATTTTAAAACTCAAAGCAAAATCGAGTCTCATGCGAGAGCTGTCTGACACATGGTTCACTTGCGAAGCTGTCGAAGTATCTTATTGTTAACATAACAGGTAACTTAGTAGAGGTGGGCGTATTTCGTAGAATATTCAGTGAACGTTTTACAGCGGAAATAAAATTTTAGACTGAATTTGAATTATTCTCCGCATGGTAACTCTTTTTAGCATTTAGCAACGACAAAATTTCTCTTTGACGCCAACTGTAGCTCAGAACTGAAACCTTAAAAAAAGGAAACGTAAAAAAACACGGTTTCCATTTGAACGCGTTGTGGTTAAGGACTCCATAGAGAACGTTCAACATTCACTGAGAAAAATGTTGAGGGTATTTTTAATTCTTAAAACATCATACTGTATCATATCACTGGCATCGTTCATAAGCAATCTGAAGCGAATCCTGTGTTCTGATTGGCAACATGGGCCCATCTTGCCCGCTTAGGATTACCTGCTTTGATCGTCGCGTGGAGCAGACTTACAAAATTCGTAATTTTTGGACAATATCGGCGATAGTGTCGCAAAAAGCAGCAGAAGACAATCAAACCAAAGAAAACACAAACGACTTTTGTGGGTTTATTGTGCTATAAACACAGTTAGCTTTCTTTCCGGCTCTTATTATTGATTCTTTTATTAAAATGAAGCGAAATCTTTTTGCTTTATCTTTATAATAAATCCTTTGTTGACCAAGCTTGTTCGGTCAGGATGGCTGGATATTAGCCAAGTTCCTCTTTTGTGTTTTCATACACTCGATTTCGTCTCGGTCCATGAAAACGCAAAAAAACAAAGAACTCGGCCAATATCCAGCCATCTCACCTCACTCTTAGTATGTATTTTTCACATGTATTTTCAGGTGGAATTGTTGTCTATTGGTACCTTAATTTCGTACACCATAGTAGCTATTGCTGTGTTGGTGACGCGTTACACTCCTGGAGTACAAACCGTCAAATATGACGACGACAGAACCAAAGAAAGCACCCGAAAATGGCTTCAGTCGGTCTGCTGCCGTCCTGGCGAGACTGAGGACAAAGATGGTGCTAGTCACGAGGTTACCTACCAACGAGTCGAAAGCAACGATGAGGAGTCGTCAAATGTAACAACAGAACCAGACAGTACGACAAGCTTCCATGCACGTGTTGGTGCATTCTTGTTGACTGTATCCATAATGGCCCTAAATATCTGCCTTACTCAGACACAGTCATATCTGAGCTCGGGGGAGGTCTGGGCAATCATTCTTTCCTGTATCTTCGGTTTAATGATCGTCTCATCTTTGACGTTGATCATCAGGCAGCCCAGAAATTCTGCCACATTCCCGTTCATGGTTCCAGGAGTCCCGTTCATTCCTGCCCTTACGATATTTGTCAATACTTTGCTTTTGGTGACGCTGAATCATTGGACGTATATCAGGTTTAGCATTTGGATGTCTCTAGGTAAGTAACTGAAAATTGGTATGAAATTTATAGATGTTAGCTTCGAGGACTGGGTCGAGTAGTGGATGAGGCAACCTCTTCCCTAGGGCGCCTTTTCTCTGGCATAGCACTCTGGCATAAATTTTGCAAATTGAAAGTTGAGTTTCTTGATCTGTCGACCAACTTCTCTTTTCTTTTATTTCCGGATTAGTTTCCTGTTTTTCTTGGCATGTATGGGTAATTATTGCAAACGTTCCAGTGTAAAAATTTGTTATCGTTCATTCCAGGTTTATTGGTGTACTTTTTCTACGGTTACAGTCACAGTTTGGAAGCCGGTAGACCGTCTGAGAAAACAGAGTCTCAGTTCATTCTGACCCAGACTCCAGACTTTGGTCAAGAACTTGAAGAATATGTATTACCACATAATCCCCAGGGAATCCCGTAAATATTGCAATTCTAAACTAATTTTGTGGCCAGAAAGTTCTTATATGGAAGTGTTGAATGATTAGGAGGATCAGTTCATACAGGAAACAATCCCTTTGAAATCGGCACGGCCATCGTAGAACTAGAAATCTCGGCGTGTATATTTTCCCTGTATTGAGAGGCGTTGTCATAACGTGCTGAACTCCAGTGGATCGAGATCTGCTGGCCGGATTTTTAATCGCGTTCTTCTGCAAGACTGTACTGAAATATATACTCTCTCTACCTAAGATTATAAATTAGCACTGGTAAATTTTCAGGGAGGCTTGACGAAATCCCGACGAAGAGGGGAGGGGATGGGGGTAACAATTCAACAAATAGATTTACTAAAAACAAAAACATGGCGCACGAGGCTCAGCCTCAGTATGCCACTGATGTTTCTTACCACATTTTGAAGTCTGCTGTGATCCATTCCTGAACAGACCCACGCAGGCAACATATGGAAACTATTTGTTTTATATAAGAAAAGGGCGAAATTTGGTTAATGGTGACGTTATCTATGCGTCTGTCCTTTAATAGATCATAAATAAGAACCAATAAAAATACTACTGAAATTAGGATCAGCTGCAACAGGATGGACCAAATGACTTGCGCACTGGGAAGATGGCCTTGTAACACTTTTATACGAACCATAAGACTGGGCAGACTTAAAAATTATAAATTGGCGTAAAATTTATTGTTCCACTAAAGACAAACGGTTGCGTATGAACAAGCTCTAAAGAAAGCCGTAAGAAACCGCTACAGCGTGACACGCGTGTATCGTGTGGCATCCTACGTTTTGCGCGCGTGACAATAATAACCAAAAATAGAAAATAGCACCTTCCGACTCATCTAAAATTGCGAATATTATTAGTAGATATTTGTAATCTCTTCAAACAAGGACCACTTGATAAATATTGAAAGGGTTTCGCTGGGTAGGTCAAAGAACCAACTGTTATGCTATTCGTGTCCAAATTCTGAACAAAAAAACAATAAGAACTAATAATTAAAGCGGTCAATCAAAGTGAAAATTCTCTATATACAGCATAAGTTCCTCGTAGGGCTATTTTTGTATCTCGCCACTGAGAAGAATACGCTGATCATGGCAAAATGTCCGCGAAAAGTACCGTATTCGCTGAGCCGAGATAGAAACCTGTCGCATTGAGGGCCAGAGGAGGGGATGAGGAGTTACTTTTGCAACGCCCCTGATGGCTATGACTGTGAAATATTGCTTCAAGAGAGTCCCCACATGATCTCTTAAATTTCTTATAATGTGCACATGAATTGATCTCTCGTTTGATATTCCTTTTCCCTGGAGACCACAATCTTTTTAAATCAGATATCCGACTCAAATCATCAATAACAAGTCATGTGAGATTCCTTTCAGACTCGCTTATCTGTACACCTGTGTTAAAATATACGGTTTGCCTCAAATACAACCCATTTTTTACGTGTTAGTTTACAGCATACAGCACTTAGAAGATCACGCATTCCAGATCACATCGTGCGTATTCATGGTAACGCACTCCTTTAATAATAGCCTGATAAACGAATTGATTCTTTGCGTGCCTCGTACTTCATGCCAAGTGTGAACTTGAAGTCTTTCATGGAAAACAGCGTGTGATATTTGATGGTAACTTAAATTAGAATCTCTTGATATTATGGCTAACCTTGTGTTTTTTTGCGTCCACAACTGTCTCTGAAACACACTGATTTGTTTCTTTATAGGGTAACAAGGATAATTTTTTTTCCGTAACTGATAGGTTTTGCATAACTGTGTGTGACTAAAGTACAGAAGAGAAATGTTGAATTAAGGACGATTTCCTGATAAAAAATTACGTGAAAGGTTGAACTATATTGGTTATCCACGGAATTTAAAACCGTAAAAAAATACGATGTTGTTATTGTCACGCGCGGGTGCAATTGACTTTGAGTCCAGTTGGTTTTTTTTTCTTCATCGTAAGGGAATATTCATCAGTCTACATTGTTCATAATATAAAACGTATTTTTTAAAGACTGAAATAAATTTTTCTTTCTTTTTTTATGAAACTGTCTTTTTTAATTTTGGCGCATTGTCAGCTTTCTTCGAAGACTCCAATGCGTCTAGAACATCAAAGGGGAACAGCTGTAAGCCTTTACGGACAATCTCCCCCAAAAAGAGCAGATTCTATTTTTTTATTTCTTCTCTTTCCGCCAAATCGCACCATGCTTAAGATTCTGCTCCCACACCGAGGGTTAATTTTAAAAGATCCTCGATATTTATCCCTTCCTATTATCTGCAGAACCAAGATATCTCAAAGAAAAAAAAAAAAAAACTCAAAGAAAAATGTTCTTTGACCACACTCTTACAGGCTCTTACTCGGATAAAATCCCGGTTATGACAGCATACCTTTTTGGGAGCGTGCGAAAAAAGCTTTAATTCTGTGACCATGTTGTCGTCTAAAATAAAAATTCAACGGTTCGCAGAAATACAAAGAAGACAATTCTTATCGAAATATGTCGGGTCTAGATTTACTTTCCGGCTCCAGGAGCTTCTGTTGTCTCTAAATTAGAGAGATATGAAGCAGCGAAATAAATTTTTGATGAGAATATCAATTTTAAAATATGAGAAGTAACTGATGCTTCCTCGGTATAATAAAAAGTTGAATAGTTCTAATGGATATTACCAATTCAAAACAAGTCACCAGTACGGTTGGTAATTAGGAAAGCTAATTTGAATTTCAGAATTTTTTATTTGCACTCTCGCCCGCGGCGATTATAACCGTTTTAAGATTTGATAAACAGAAACCTTCCATCGTCCCTCGGTTTAAGTTTGTTTTAGCCGTGAAAAATAAAAATAAATCTTAGTTTTGGTTTGATTTGAAATTTTTGTGAAAATTCAAGTTGTCCGATTGTAGAAATTAGCTTTGTTAAAAAAAATGAACGCCTTAAGGAAAATGGTCGCGTGGGATGGTACAACATAAAGATTGAGTCCCAAGCGGCATTGGAGATTATTTAAGGGCAGGAAATAAAGAGGGAAAAACCAAGTTCATCTCAAGGTCTTGGCCTTAATCAATTTCAACGCATCGGAGAACGAAGATGCAAATTTTTTTTGTTGTCAAAAGCGGTTTACAACTCCTCAAACAATAGATCAAAGACCATCTGCTATTATACGTCACACAGTGGCTGTCATGCAAATATACGTCAACAATCCGGAATATATCGTCTGTCAATTAAAATTCTGATTCGATTTTCTAATTTCACAGTTTTGAGTAGCCAAGCGAAAGTGTTCACATTGAATCGAATTTTGTCCAGTTTAAAGGTTTCGTTTCATTCCCGCGAATCGTCAAGAGGAGAGTGATCTATATCTGAGGGAGCGAATTTAATTATGACAGTCATTTAGAGACGTTTTAAAGCGAAGGGAGGTTTCAAAACCTTCATCAATTAGCCATATTGAAGACGGAAAACCCGCTGGGAGGAAGAGTTTTACACCGTTGAAAGCTATGAGTTTTATACGGTTTCTTCGTCTTCTCACCCGAAGAAAAGTTATCGACAATGATCTATCTAATTCTCAGCTTCGCCGATGTCTTGATGTCTTCGATTTAACTTCAATTGGGGTCGGTGCGACGGTGGGAGCGGGTCTGTATGTAGTCACTGGACAGATCGCCAGAGATGTCGCCGGACCAGCCATCGTGTTGTCGTTCTTCATTGCCGCTGTTGCCGCTTTCCTTTCGGGGATTTGTTACGCGGAATTTGGATGCCGTGTCGTAAAGGCAGGGTCTGCCTATGTGTACACCTACTCTTCTTTAGGTGAGATATGGGCATTTATCATCGGCTGGAACATGATTCTAGAATATGTGATCGGTACAGCTTCGCTCGGCCGCGCCAGCAGCGAATACATCGACTCCATTGCCGGCGGAGCTATTCGAAAATTCTTTATCGAAAACATTGGGGCGTTTAATGTATCGGGCTTGGGATCGTACCCGGATTTTCTGGCTTTTATTCTTGTTCTCTTGGTGTCCATGATCGTTGCCAGCGGAGCCAAGCACTCGGCTGTATTCAACAAATGCGTGACCACAGTAAACATGCTGGTAATACTCTTCGTGCTGGCTGTCGGCTTGTTCCATGTCAACCCTTCCAATTGGGCCGGCAGACAACAGTTCCTTCCATACGGAGTGTCCGGAGTCCTGGCCGGTGCTGCGAGCTGTTTTTACTGCTTCGTCGGCTTTGATGTGATAGCAACAGCCAGTGAAGAGACCATTAATCCCAAGCGAGCCATCCCTCTCTCTATCATGTTGTGCCTTGTTATCAGCTTTCTTGCTTACTTTGGGGTTGCGTCCGTTCTGACACTGATGGTGTCCTATGACAAGCTCGACAAATTCGCTCCCTTACCAGAGGCTTTCAAAGCAACTGGTATCCCCGCAGCCAAGTATGTTATTGCCGTCGGAGGGCTGTGTGCGTTAGCAGGTTCGCTGATGAGCGGCATCTTCGCCGTCCCAAGGATCATGTACTCCATGGCAAGCGATGGTCTCCTTTTCAAGTTCTTTGCCAGGATCTACGAGCGAACTAATGTTCCTCTGATCTCTATCACCTTCGCAGGGGTACTTTCAGCCCTACTGGCCCTACTGCTAGACCTAAAACAACTAGTTGAGATGTTGTCAATTGGTACCTTACTCGCCTACACCTTGGTCTCTATCTCTGTCCTTGTGTTGAGGTTCCAGCCTGGCGTCGAAGATGTCAATTATGACGAAGATACCCCGAGTTCTGTGCGAAGCTACAAAGTCATCTGTTGCCAAAAGATGCTGCCGGAATCGAAAGGTGCCGAGTACAAGCCTTTGGAAAGCGTGGCGGAGGACAAGAACCAAGAAAATAAAGCTTCGGAAGAACCATCCACATCAACAAGTCATATTGCCAACGCCGCTATCTCTCTTCAGGTCGTGGGTCTCGCTGGTTTCTGTGCGCTGCTGATAGCAGGATGGGGAGATTTAGACGACGGCGAGGCATGGGCTGTATTCACAGCTGTTTTCCTTGGAATTCTCATAATATTTGGATTTGTAGTGATGCAGCTTCAACCTAAAAACAGAGCGAGATTCCCTTTCAAGGTTCCCTGTATACCGTGGCTTCCCATTGCCAGCGTTGTGGTAAATCTGTTCCTGCTACTCAAATTGTCCGTTTGGACATGGGTACGATTCAGTGTTTGGATGATTTTAGGTAAGCTCAACTCTTTTATGTTCTCTTTTCAAACCAAAGGGGTGTTCTTTAAAATTGATATATTGGTACTTGAATGTTCTTTTCCCCGTTTGACCCTCAGAAAGTATGGTTTCTATTTTCCCATTTTACATATTCTTTCGTCTCCCAGTCCGTAGAATTGAAGTTCATTTCGTATTTCTAAAGCGACCATTATCTAAAACATGAAGTACCGGTAAGGACTGAAACAAACGTGAAACTTTTTTACCGACCTAATCTAAATTCGGTCAGATGTAATTTTCTTAGATATGTGATTTTAAAGTGCTTCGACCCTTAATTTTAGGCCGTTAAGAAGAAATTCAAACGTAGATTTTTAGCGGTTAAAAAGTTGTTTCCGTCATATCTACATTTTGGGAGGCTTTGAAACAAACCGAAGGTTTTTTAGAGGTAAAAGCCAATTACAATTACTTCAAAGGTTTAGCATGCAAATATACGTTGCTTCCACGATAGAACATATCCTAGGCTACACCGCGGGGTTGGAAAGTTTCTAAAATTTCTCTTCATTTCTACATCTAATAGGCGAATTTATATTCAACTCGAAGCTGATAAAAAACGCGATGGTGGCGCCTTCTATAAATACGAGAACGCGGAAAAAAAACAGTATTAGTATTCATGGATTTAAAAGCCAGACCTGAAAAAGTATTTTTTTTCTTTCTCATGGAAAAAGTCTATTATCGATAATTTTTAGGATTTTTATGTTTCAAATGGAGTCTGCTGGCAATAAAGTTCATTTCTAATAATTTTTCCTTTTATATTTCCTCGCGGGACACATTTGATAACGTCATCCGTTCGGGGTTTATCGCCCTCTTCATTGAAAAGACTCAGAAATTAGCAATTTATATTTCTTCCTGGCTTCTTCGGTATAGAATTGAATTGATAACTTAAATTTTCGCCTCCAGCCTTCTGATTTTTTGTATGATTTCAATAAGTATATGCTCTTTGATATTTATATAGTTTTCAACTGAAATCTACAACAAAAATTATTAATGATATATTTTTTGTTAAAAGAAAAGGCTTCCTGTTTGGCTGATAAAATTTCATCTTTATTCGCGTCATGGAAATTTATTCGATACCAGTGTTCAAACAATTGTTGCCCACCTCCGCGTTTGACGCATTTTCACTGAAAACCTGTCCAAGCTTTTGGCTTCCTCGTCCGTAATGCAATACTGTCGAAAGATTAGCTATTTTAGTCTCAGGTATCTAAATAGTGTTAATTGCATCCTTTAGCACTGCAACTATTAACGCTAGAAGTCGTACCTTTTGGGTATCCTTCTGTGAACAAAACATATTCTCATCACCGACAAAAGTAATAAAACAGATAATTACACTTTGCCAAATACATTTACATTTTCGAGTCTCGAATTCTGGGGTTTGTTTCAGTTGGTCTGTTTTTTCTTCCGTTTTCGAACGTATTTATCTTCAAATTTAAAAACCTTTATCGCCCTTTCCTGGCGATTTTGCTGCAAAGTGAAATGTGTTCAGTATATTACTGAATTTTTATGGCTGTTAGTAGTTACTTGCATGCAGGTGTTTTACAAAAATGAGATCATCGTGGGTGGTTTACTCGCGTGATTTCGCGTGATCTCGCCTAAGAGAACGTTTGTTTCCGAATTCGATAAAAATGCACCAAGATCTCTAAGAGGAGCTATCACTTTAACAAATTCTTGACTGTGAAAGAAGGGCTTGCAGTCTACAGATATCTTTTTTAACCTTCTTAAAGCGAAACCGGAAAAAAACGGCAGATAATTTAGACACCATACATGCTGCGGGGAATAAATAAAGTATCTCCTAACGTCCTTAATCAGTTTTCTTTTTACGAGAGTGCTACAAATCTGTCCATTTGTTCTTCATTTTCGCTGTAGTTAGCAAAGTTCTTTGGAGAGAAGTGTTAAATAATTTTGTACCGTTTAACTCATGGAAATTATCTCAAAATTATTAGATGATGTTATGATAAAATACAGTTGTTATATAAAAGAAATTTCACCGGACGATAATTTTACGATGTTTGTAGGGCAAAACAGTGGGAAATATACATGGGAAGATGTCGACAAGGGTGTCGCTAAGAAATTTTTAGTATTTTTTTTGCGACAAGAAAACATACATTTATCGCTGCCGCCTCTTTAGTTATATGTCACGCAATGTTCCTGTAAGACGACGGTCTTGGAGTCCACTTGATCTCCAAAAGATAAATAGCATAGAAGACAAACGGTATGAGAAAAATGAACTAACCTGGGACGAGCGATGCCTAGAATGGAGAAGATTCAAACGGAACGTAAAGACAAAATTTAAAGTTTCGTCAAAATTTATGAACTGTAACGAAACTCTGACAGTACCAAACACAAAGACCCCGTCATAGTTTGTGTTTAAATATCTTTTTTGGGCTTGTTGGACAATAGAAAACAACGTAAGTTTAGGGCATTTCTATTTCATGTTGGTCTTTCCTTACATCTTTCACTTTTCTTCGCGTAGGATTTGTTATTTACTTTGGCTATGGAATAAGGAACAGCGCCGAAGGAAATCCGAAGCAAGACACAAACGACAACGATTTTATCCTTCAAGGAACACCAGATGTGAAACAAGATGTACACCAAGTTCAGCCCAGTCGCGAAACCGATGACAAAGAACCTTTAGCAGCAAGCTTCAGTGATCCTTCCTAGAACTTGAATGTCTCGGAACTGTCCTTCGTAGTTGGTTTGTTAATGTCACGCAACGATGTCACGAAATCAGGCTCCCAACATCGTTACGTGACATTTCTCTAGAGGGCTGCAACGGAAACTATTCATTTGGTTAAAAAATTTGAATCATGGGTTAAAATATTATTATTTTATGAACATATTATCAGTTTTTCAGAAACTTGTGCGTTTTGGCAGACTTGTCGTTGTCCAAAATGTCCTCAAGATTAATTAATTTTTCGAATAAATAATTTTTCTTTGTTCTGTCGATAATATATATGGCCACTCCTCCTTGACGCAATATCCATGCAATTTTGCATGGATATTGGATAAAGTGTGGATGTTGGCTAGTGTTTAAGATTTAATTCATGTTGTAAATATCAACAAATGGCAATAATTGTTCTAGAACACATAATATGCTCGCTGACTGGGAGAAATACTGTCGTAAAATGAAACGAAAGTTTGTTTCACAAAATGTTATTAATTTTGAGCGAATATGTCTTCAGGGTACTGAAATCGATAAAATTCTCCTCCAAGATTTAATTTGTATTATATTTTTGTTCCTGTAAACAGTGGCAGAGACCAAAGAGTTTAATAATATTTATTTTTAAATTCAAGAAAAAAGATATGGAGCATGAAAAATTCCATTTGGCTAGTCGTAGTTTCCGTTGAGAAACTACTATTTTACAGACTTTTGAATGGTTGAGAGTATTCGTTGTATGCTTGCAGAAAAGGTGCCATTTTTTAAGGGTTGTTGGAGGGGAGGGGGGGTATAGAGGCGTGCGAGAAGAGCACGAGGCGGAGTCACACGCACGCGCAGGTAGATGGTCGCGCGAAAAAGCCTCTCCTCGCCTTCGCCTCGTGATTGCCTTCGCTCGCCTGATAATCACAAAACGAAACGACACCTTATCTACAAGCTACAGTAGCATAAATTTCTGCCAATGTGAACAGTTTTCATACTGTTTTTCCTTTGATATTATTTACCACATATGCGTGACATTTTGTTGTGAAAGTCATCTTTCCTTATAGTAAAGTTTGAATTTGGGTCACTCAGTTTGGAAGTATGTCAGTACATTTTAGGAAACACTTGAGAAATATGGGTTTTAATAAGATACATGAAAAAAACTACTCTGTTCCGATTGGTTAAGATAAATGCAGTTTTCAGGTGACTCATTACAGAAGAGGGTGAATTCAGTGCAAAGAAGTAACAAACCAGACTGAACAATTCCTAGAACTGTTTAGCCGGATTTTGAACTTTTTTGCGCCTTAAGGATGTGAAAGAATCATTGTAAATTATTGTTTTGACCGACGCGGTTATTTTGGCCGAACGCTGTGTTTGAATAAATTATTTTCACATTTGATGCGCGCGCTTTGCTTCTGCGTTATTATGATAAGCTATCTCGTATTTTTTCATGTATATTATTAAAACGTAATCTCGTGATTTTTCTCGTGCAATTTGGAATAAACAAGCACTTGTAAATTTTTTCAAAGACCACAAATTGCACTTACCCAACGGGCTCGTGCACTTTTGTTAGTCTTTGAAAAGATTTACTAGTGCTTATTTATTCCAATTTCACTCGAAATCATGTGATTGCCTACACAAAAAAAAGATTCGTTTGAGGTGTAAAATACCAACACATTTATTTTAGTAAAGGATTTTTGACCACGATTGCGCAAATAAATTGCGCCGTTTGTGCCTCTTAGTACATCTTACTTTTTGCTGCCCGATGGTTTAGTACAGAAAAAGTTTATCACCCATGGTGAGCCGCTCAAAGGTTTCAGCTGGCATGGGCTGCATGTACTGCATGTACTGGTTCAAAATTAGTTTCACTTATGGGATTATTTTAATTTATCTTCATTAACTTGCTTTTTTGTTCTGCATAGAATCATGAAGCTGGAGAAATGCATCATTTTAAAAAATGGTGACATGTTATATTTCTCTCTCACGGCGTAAACAACTAAATAAAATAATTTGTGGGTTGGTTAAAAGGAGTTAAATATAACTGATATCTCGTTTTAGAATTCTGTAACGGGTGTTAAATAAAATTACTGGTGCTGATTTTCTTTTGCAATTGATATCGCCTCCTGAGGGACTGTATCTTGTCTGCGCCGAAGTTTAGGTTGAATGTAACCCAGGCCACTCTCTCTAGGACCCTGGACCTATCTTGAGCTCGTCGAGTTCCTCCGGAGATTTAGTCTAGAGCGCCTTTTTCAGTTAGCCATTCAAGACCTGTTCATAACGGTTCCAGAATCTTCCGTCATTCCGCTCGCGCAACCCACGTCACAGCGCTACTGTGACGTCACTAAACGCGCTAAACAGCTAAACCTTTCCCATTCGGCGATGTTTCAAATTTATCCCTCAGGAGCTTTGCTGACTCATTTTTAATTATTATCGAAAACTGTTTTTCCTGGCCCAGAGAAAACGCAGTGCAAAGGAACAACCACTTCAGCAAGGCAGGTTCGTTATTATTTAGAGGGTCAGATTGTTAGGTTCAGACCTTATACAAATCTTTATAATTCATTGGTTTTGTTTGTTGTAAAAGAGAACGGTTCATCCGTGCTAAGAGGAAAAACGCTCCTTGCAAACCTTGGTGTAAATTAATCGTTTCCATCTTACATCTGATTTGATGACAAAAAAGGCTGCTCAGTCTTGACGACATTATGATAACATAAAGGCATCAATGGCAAAGTTTCGATTTTTAACCAAATAATGTACACGAAAAAATTACGCACGCTTGGCTTGCCGAAACCGACTGCATTTTTCATGTTACACAAGTGCAAATTACAAATAGCTGTGATGCGTTCTTCCTGTAACTCATCGACAAGTAGCTACTTGAATCATAATGCAATTTGGTGTAACTAAGCATCTGTAAATGTTTCAAAGACTATTTCGTTACAAGACAATTTGGTTTTACCAACTGAGATGATGATCTGACGAAAGGTCGACGCTCAAAACGTCAGTATAAGAAACTCTTTAAAAAAAGCCAATTTAAATTATCAACTCCGCTGATAAAACCAAATTTATTACAGACAAGTAATTAATTTTATCAGAATAATACAACCCCATACAGAAAACAAATGCTTTAATTGACATGGTTTGCGTTATTATTGAAAGAATGCTGCATATAAACAAGCAAAGATATCCGCACATGATATCTTTTATAATAGTGTTATGTACAATCGATTGCCTCTTCCATCTGATAAGTCCAATGAAAACAAAAGTAACCGACTTTGTCGTGCTATCTCCGGTGTCTTCCATGGTCACGTCCTTTGTCCCTAGAATTCCGGTAGTCCACGCCATTCCTATCACGATGCCTGTCGTCCCGTTTCTTCTTGTCTCGCCCATGTTCATATTTCATGCGCTGCCTTTTAACGGGACTCCGTGACCGACTTCGACTACGAGAATACGGCGACCTACTTCGCGCCTTCTCCCGTTTGTAACTATTAGCTCCGTCAGTTCTCGCTTTCTTTCGCACGTAGTTACCGTCGTATTTCCGAGGTCGTGATCGTTTTTCATCGTCTCTTCCTCTGGGCGGGCTCCTTCTTCGTTTATTCTTCGCTTTCTTTTTTTCCGGACTTTCGTCGCTGCTCTCTGAGTCACTTCTGCTAATGTTGTCGGGGCTGATCGACAAGCTGTAACTTCTTGATCGGCTTCGACTTCGGCTTGGCGTCGGACTTCTTGACCGGCTCCGAGAGCGGTGATGTACGGGAGATCTGCTTCGGCGATTTCCCCCGGAAACTGGACTGCAGTGAGAAAAAAAAAAACGAAACAAAACAAAAAAAAAAAAACAAGAGATGGAAAAAGATTAGTAAGCATCAATCCAGGCTCTTCTTTGGGAATCACATAAGCCATACAAGACAGCTGTTTGTCTAAGCCTTCGCAGTTTACAAGCTTCACTACAATTGCGGACTTAGAAAACATTCGATCGAGTGCCTGCCCCACTTCAGCCTTACTAGAGTAGAGACAAAAGAAGTGTCTATCACGTCCCACTGCTCAGTGCAGGTTCTACACAATTACCGTTCTTTGTGGTTGGTTCTTTTTTCTTCTTCTACCCTTGACGAGCTCTTCTTTTTGCCATCCGTGATACTTGGAGCAGATGGCGACACTTTATTAGGTGAAGAAGACTTTGACCCTGAATAAAAGATGAAAGACTCGAGTTTGTCTTTATAAAATAAACTCCTGTGTTGTTCACCTGTAAGCCTCGATCAGGTGTAATTAGCTTAGCATTCCTGGCTCATGTTGAGTCATATTGAATGTAGAGACGGGAAGTTTTTACCTAAGCCATCTTTAGCTGCGGTGGCTCCGCCTGATGGTGACAGATTAGGAGCAGAGTTGGCTGCCGTGCTCTCTTCTGTTTTACTTTCACCCTTTTTCAGAGCGATTTTATCACGAATTTCATTAACATTCTTTTGAAGGGTATCAATGTTAGCCTAAAACAAAATAAAACAAAAAGCATGTTCAGTTTTAATCAAAGAGAAAGAACTCGAAAGCTTCATGGTTTGATCAAATAAATAAATGACACTGTCGTGTTAAACAGATCTTGTTCTAATCTTTTATAATAAACTGCCAACTTTCTTGGAAAGTTTTAGTACTAAACACTTCTAATTCACTGCAGAATATATATCGAATATGAAAACAGGATGGCGTGAAGTACAAGTGACACACAAGGGAACAGATACATCAAATGGGGGTAAAAGAAGAAAGAAACTGATTGCAGTATCTTCTCCTCTCATGTGTCGAGAGGAGTTTCAACTTTGGCGTTTCAACAATTCCCTTGATTACACGAGCACAGAAGCATTATGCTAGATCACACACAAAACCCTCAAAACCTGGAACCTCACTCCTCAATGACTTATGTACTTTTATTTTCCTCAAGTATCAGTAAACAACTGTACAAGTCAGCAGGAGTGTAATAAGTACCTACGTTTAAAATGAAATATAGAATGTAAGTGTTAGTACCAACTCAAGCTGCAACTTTACCTTTGGTCGCAGATATAAACTCAAAAGAGTTAAACTTATTTCCTGCAAAAGGAAAAAAAATTGGAAACAAAACATGTCAAGTCAGGTGAATGTTCAAGACCCTTATGGTGTCACTGTGACGAGCAAAAACACTTTCCACATAATTTATTTCCAAAAAACAATTGAAATCAATAAGGGCTAACAAGTACAACCACTTCAAGCTTTCAATTTTCTCTTAGTAAACAGAAACAAGAACAAGAGCAAAACCAAAAAGTACCTCGAGATCTTCTAACTTAGCACCAAATAATTCCCACCAAGGTGGCCTGTTTGGTAAACTTATCTGAAATAGCCAAAACATGTTTTTAGTATTGTAAACCACACATCCAGTAAAGCAACGTTTTTTCCTTCATTACATACCCCCAGCTGTCTTGCCGAAAGGAATATACAGGCACAGCCAATGGTCTCAGGAGGGTACCTTACGAAAACATTTGTTCTAAAACTGTCATTCATAAAATTCCTGTGATGAGAAAAAAGGAGAGATGACATAATGTTAATTACTGCAACTGCTATGTTAAAAGCTTGAAAAAGACAAATATTATAAGAGGAACCTTACTACCGCTTCATGTAAAACCAATAAATAAAGACAATTATGTTGTTAAACAAGGCTCAAATTAATTTCACGGTTAGCACCAGTTAAGTTGTCCAGACAGACCTATTTTTGCTTGGCCACAACTCAATGTGACTGGATAAATATCCTTTAGGTCATATTTAATAGATCCCGCCTCATTTGATAGAAGTATATTTAGCACCCTCTTGTTGTACATGCAGCCTCAAACTCAATGGATGAAAAGTGGTACAGCTGTTCTTAAATCCTGAACTTCCCCCAGAATTAAATTCTTATTTGCATGCGTAAAAAAATACTGGACAAAATGTCCAACCAACAAAGGAGTTAACCGGACAAACCCTATATTTGATTGGACATTGTCCGTTGACTGACCATAATTTTGAGCCCTTTCAAATTTACAAATAAAATTAATCAATAAATCAGATATTTAAATAGTTGCTGTAGACTTTTGTAAAGGTGATAATACTGATTACTGTGTGCCTGCCAACACTTCAACCCCTAAAAGTGATTAACATCTAACTTCTCCCAACAGTACCAACCCTGAAGAAAACATTTGGGTCATGAGAATAAAGGAAATGATTCCAAACAAAAGATCTTGGTTGTTACACAAATTCCCCTGATTAGTGTGATAGGAAATGTATAAAGAACAGTATGGAGAACTTGCATATTGATGTTAGGGTGTCAAAGGTTAAAGTAAACTTAAAAACAATAACAATTATACTCACCAGGCAGACTGAGCAAGGTCTCTCTTTTCTTCACTCTCAAGGATTTGAAGATACATTATTATGATCTAAACATGAAAAATAGCACAATCTAAGCTGATACTTAGGCCAAGAAACTGTAGATTTTATGTAAGTTGTTGTTGCCTGTCATAAAAACACCTAGAACAAGTTCTTCACAGGTTCCACTCCTTTATCCAAAAACTAACTCGTCACACCATAGGAAACAAACAATGAATCCAACTGAATTAATTGTACCAATCATTACTAAGGACTATAACTACAAAATTGCCAAATAATTGAGGCAGAGTTCATTGCTTATGTGTTTTCAATTTTTATTGCTTAGTTTTATATAAGCCACCCTGAAGACAGTTGTGGCACTATAATATGACTAATTTAACAAAGTTGCTTTCTTCTCAGTGGGAGAAGATGGAAATGGACTGACTGTGTTAACCCAAAGCAATGGAAGAGAATGTCATTAACCCTTAAACTCTTATAAGTGACCAAAACAGAATTTCCCCTTGCAATACCAAAACAATATCAAGCAAACAAGTGATGAGAATAAAGAAAAACATAAATAAGGGGATAAGTTGATCCAATGCCAAATTCTCTCAACTGACATCATAAGAACTGTATCAAGGACAGTGTGGAGAATTAGTAACAGGAAGTTGGGAGTAAAAAGGGTTAAACACAGTATCAACAGAGTTGTTGATCACTGCTTGTAAGGTGACTGGTATCAGTACATACCTTGTGAGGATGTTTTACATGAACACAAAACCCCAGTTCCTGAAAATAGGGTGAGTAAAAGTGGTTAATAATTTAATTACATCTTACACAAAATAAAAGGTGTTCTATCTCAGAGCAAAACTAACCTTCAATATCCTTCTTTCAGCTTTGATGACTTGGTTTTTAAGGTTAAAGTAGGTGTTACCCATGTACTCCATGGGTTGAATTGTCCTGAAATATCATTTCAAGTGATATAACATTTAATCTTCCAAGCACAAATTGAAGACTAACATGGCTCCATTGCACTGCAGTGCTAACTCCAATCAGCCTTGAATCTCTCAAGAACCACCTGGAAAGTCAGTGGTAATGCTCTGACAACTACAGAAACACTAAGATTAACAAAAATGCTCCAGTTTAACAGAACCTAGCTTAACACTTTGCTATTTTTCTGTAACTTTACAATAGAATGATAGCATTAAATTAACAAATAAGATCTTGCTTATTGCAAACTATCTTGTGCTACAGTCTAATTTTTAAATATCAAATGCTTTGGGAGTGCTGCTAGAATGCTTGTTTCTAAACATAGCCTGATATGCCACATACCAGTAACATTTAAATACCTGCAAATAAATTTAAGAGGATTTAATTATAACCAGCTAAGCTTATCTTAATGTCACAAAGGTGGGCCATGGTGATAAACTTTCTGTTAAGAAGACTCCAACTCAGTTCCCAGATGAAATTTGAAAGATCTTGTTTTCCTCAATTCAGGTGTGGAGCTGAAATTTCCAATATGAACGCAGGTGAAACTTGTCCTGACAAGCTCACATGAAGATGGCTGTCCACTGACTGACTGCAGGAAACATTTTCTACTTGCACATATTGTGAAGATGTATAAAGACAACAGCATTTACATCAGCTTTTAATTTTGTAGTTGTCCTCACCCTATAGGAAAAAAAAGAAACCTGGCTTTAGGAATTAAAAAATAGTTTGTAACTAAAGATATCACAATAGTGTCCCTTCAAAGTCAATCTTGGAAGCACAGTTGAACCTGTATTTAGCAGTCACCCATGGGAAATAGCAGGGTTACCATTCACAGGGTGTCAAGTGACAAATGACACTTAGAAAATAGGAAAATAGAAACGACAATGGCTAAACAATAGGAAATAAATAGGAATTCTCACCCCAAAGTGAGGAAAAAATAGGAGGATTTCTTTGAGTTCTATCCTCTTAACACTTCCAACAGCAACTCTGTTCCATAACCCAACACTTTAATATTTTAAAAGGCACCATGGCATACATCCACAATGCATTGCCGTGTAAACAAAAACAAGTGTTACCACCGATGTTACCAAGCACAACTCATCCTACAACAATTACCAGATTCCAAATTTCATTAGATACAAAAAAATCACTTAGAAAGGCTTCAAACTGGTCTTTTTTGACACGAAGTTTCAGTTTTTTGTAGAATTTATCAATTTTATTGGCAATTTTATTTCAAATACTTCAAAATGTTTCTGTGTACCCAGTAAAATCCTAAAAAAAAGAAAAACTTGGAATTTCATGAAAAAAAAAAAGGAGAAAATAGGAAGCAGGCCAAAAAATAAGAAAAAATAGGAACTTGACACCCTGCTCTCAATAAAAGTGACAGCTGAATACAGGTTCCACAAAATAAGGATCAAAAAAGATAAATTTTTTTCCCTAACAGCCATAAGTAGAAAGATAACCTGCAATTGGTAAAGGACATTTAGACTCAAAGACTAATATTGATTTCAGGAGATAGATATGGAATAAATTAGACTTAAGATTGATGTTCAACATAGTTAGGAATCTAAGTTAAAGAGTTTGATGTTCCCACAATTCTACTATATCCACAACATATGTAGGAGGCTGTGAAAATGTAAATAAAGTCATAGGGAACTAGGAGTTAGGAGAGTTGCTACTCATGCAAATAAGAAAGCATCACTTGAGTGCTGTACAAGAGGCAAATAGAGATAGAAATCAGCACAGAGAATATGCATACTGATGGTGGTGTGAGGGGTAAAGGAAGCCTTTACTTATCAAAGTAAGAGAAACATCTCCCCAAATTGGATTATTAGTGTAAAATACAAACAAAAGATTTATGGTGCATGCATCTTTGAAGTGAGAAATGAGGCATTTTAAATCAGGAGATATGAAAATGAAATGATTGCTTTAACTTGAGTGTGGTTAGTTAATAGCTACAGGTGGCATAAGAAAAGTTAAATTTATTCTAATGGATAGAAAAGAAAAAAATTTATTTTGTTAAAAGTCAAATGCATCAGCCCAGAAAGCTTACTCAACAAATGAAAGATTAAACCTCATACAATGTTTTCAAAATAACCACTTGCTACTTGTGATAACCTGTTGTATTTCAGATCAGGTAAACTGTCAACTGGTGGTGAAACTCATAAAAAAGAGAGGTGACAGAGAATTAATTTCCACAGCACAAAGATCAACTAAGTCTGGCAATGTTTCTCTGAACAATTTACCCAATCTGAGAAGATCCTCAAATAGACACCTGATTACACTTAATAGTGTATTTGTTAAAGCCTAAAGCTTGCAGAACAACATCTAGACAACTATCTCCTTAATTAATTTCTCACATCTGAACAAAAGGTCTGAAATTGAAGATCACAAGTCTAAGCATTTCCCTTTCACATAAGATGCTAAGTCCTATAGATTCGCACTCAAGCATTGTGACTCCTTGAAAGCTCCTTGAAAGGATTTAAATGGTAAGCTACTACTGTTCATATTTCATTATGATGTACCATATATTCCTAATAAACAACCCTTTTGGGGGGAGGGGATTAATTTCCTTTAGGGGATCATACAGGCATACTCCTCTCTAAAGAATGATATTTTTCAGGCTACAAGTTTATAGGAGCAGCAACTTCACAACTTACTGTGTACAAAAAGGGGATGAAAAATATTGTAAATTCAGATATCAAAAGGTTGATTTGAGGTTATCCCTGAAAGTTTTCTTAGTATTACCTCAAAGTGCTTTTGTGTATTTCTATATTGGGTTTTGTATATAATTGTTAAGCATAGAGTAAAGACAACCAGGCATTTCTGGTTAACTAAAGAACTTGTAAATATACAAGAGTCAGATAAGCTTCCAAACTGGAAAGAAAATTGAAAATTCAATGAGTACAGTGGATGGTGAAGCAAAGGGATGATACAAATAAGTAGTAGTTGTCTTTATCAACTTTCCTCCTAAGAGGCTATTCTGAGTTAATTTAAAATGCTAATGAGGTGGACTTTGGCCAGACTGCATTGGGATGTTTAAAATTTCTTGAGAGAAAAGTGCCCCAAATTTCAGAATCAAGGCAAGACCTCTACAACAGGAACTACATTCCCCCTTGGTGAGAGTTGCAGGGATCCTTTAATGTACCCTGCTAACCAGTACAGAGAAGATGCAGGAGACAGGGCCTACATCCTTATCCAAAAAGACAAAAACATCTGACCATTTGCAGATGCCATAGCAAAGGCAACACATTCTCCTCAGTTAATTTAAGACCCTGAGTGTTGGTCTGTACTTAACTACCTGGGCTTACCCAGTAACCTACATGTACCAATTTTCAGAGAGCCTATAATATATGCAGGGATGGCAACAAAGTTAGGTGATAACTGGCATAAAAACACAACAAAACAATGTCAGGAGGGGAATTAAAAGAATCTGCCGATCATCATTTGTTTCTGAGAAACATTTTGAACCAAAACAGTGGTGACAAAATCTGGATAGAATTCTGAGCGAGACACTAAGAGGATATGTGTCCATATTTCAACCTCCACAAAAAGTGCCCAGAAAAAGAAGCAATCTTACAATCTTTCAAATTTTCACACCACCAAAGCTTAACATTTTACCCAAATAGTAGTCCTTGGAACAGTTTTTATCACAAAATAAATGTAACTGTTATGATCAAAATAATTATGGCCAGCTTATACTTTCATCACTGCCCACTGATTTTCAGGTGTTGCAAAATATGCTTGTTCTAAATTTAAATACAGTACAGTAATCCAAGCTCCTTGTGAGCAATGTTCAATACACTTCAAGGAACTCATAAAAAAAGACTGAACCCTAATGACTGGAAGGGTATACAAAGTCTAAACCTATTTTAGAGATAACATCACAAGCTGTCATAGACTATACTCTATAATCACAGTACTCGTATTCATTTCAGATGTCATCTTACTAGCAATGAAAAAGTGGTAAGCTCAAGCAAACCATCCTTGGCAACTCTTTCTTATTGCTTGACATAGATACAAGACTGTTTTTTTTTTCTTTTTTAAAACCCTAGTCCAACAAGTTTCTTAACCGAATGCCTGAGGCAGAAAATTGATAATCAATGGGAGTTTGAATGCAACACTTTCATCTGTAATTATAAATCTTACAAAGTTAAGCAGAATAACTAAAGTAACCAAAGGAGAGAGAATTGGCGTTGGGTTACCCTTTGGCAAACACAGTATCTCTCTATTCCAGAGTATGAATGGGATTTGACAGTTCTCTATGATATGTCATGAAATATTTAAGGGTCACAAGAAATGGCCTGGAATCGCATCCAAGGGGAGCAAAACTTGTTGATTAATTCTACAGAGATCAGTACAAGTTCTGGCACCTTTTTCATAAAAAGTTGAGTCTCCTTTAACCCTTTACACCCTAAACATCATTATGCACATTCTCCATACTGTTCTCTATTCATTTCCTGAGGTACTCATAAGGAGAATTTTCCTGACATCTTAAGCTTCTGTAGTTTTTGATCATTTCCATTATACTTATAACCTTAATGTGTGACTCAGGAGTGATATTGCAAGGAGAAATTAGATGTTAGTCACTCTCAAGGGTCAAAGGGTCACAGAGTTGTCCACACACCACATGTCAATGACCAAGTGGGTGAAGCAAACACTCTCTAGGATTTTGGACAAAGATTGTGATATAGACAAATAACCATCAAACTTCCTAAATTCTTGTTATTAATCATCAGTGGAGCATATTTTGTAAAAACTTGTACACCTGGAAGAACAGATATTTTTTTCCCTTCCTTTTCCTAGCTACCATCCTCTGTTCAATCTTTATGAAAGATCTGAAGTAATGGGCAAACCAGTAGTCTAACCAATAATGCACTACACTTTGTACCAAGAGGTCAGGGATTTGACCTTTGGAGTGATTGTATTTTGTTCTAGGGCTAAACACTTTATTCTCACTGCACTTCTCTCCACCCAGGAGAATAGATGGGTACCAGCAGACTGTCATGGAAAGCCTGACAGTCTGCTGGTACCTATGAATGGACAAGCGTCCCACTAAAATAAAGTGAAGATACTCCTGGTTGCTTCATGCTTTGGAAACCCTCAGTGGGCTTAAGTGTAGAATTTACCTTTGCCTTGACAAGATCTGAAGTAGGTAGATATTAAGGAAAAGGAAAGAAACATGGATAGTGCAGCACGTTTATCATTCCTTTCTCAAGTTGATGAGTTGTCCTGTCGCAGCAGTTATCAAGATCTAGCATTACAGAAATAATAAACACACTATATCTTGACTGCATCCAGGTAATATACCTGTTGCAAGCTTGCTTGCTTATTGCAACCAAAAGCAAATGCTAATTTTTTTCTCTAGGAGAAGTCAGAGCACTGTTATAGGTATGGAATCTGTTGTTCAATTTCAGAACACTGGTCCTTGGAAAGGACCTGCGGTTAATGACTATTTTTGTAACACGAAAAACTGAACTTTGTTACTTTGCCCAAAAGCTTCCAGAAAATCATAGAGAAATCCAGAATGATATTAACCATCCAACTCCTTGAAACTCCCTGGAATAATAAACACATACCCCAGGCAATCTACAAAATCATTAAAAAAAATCTTGTGTTTATCAAACTTCCTTTTGCAAAATTCATCAAATTTTCAGCCAAATTATACTATTTTCCATCCCTATGCCTATAAATAATCCTTGTTTGCAAGGTTTTCCTGCTTGTATCTAGTAATGAACCTCTAAAAGTTATTTTCTTTCCTACCTCAAAAGGCATTTTATGTGAATGCAAGTTGTTATGACTGATTAAAATCTGATTAAAATTATAGATACCAGCTTGTGGCAGTGAATTCCACAAGGTTTCTTTTGTCATCAAAGTGCAGGATAATTTTTGTCTACTAAAGTGATACCATCAATCCAGCCACCAAGGTTTAAATAAGATAATTGAATGTAATCAATCAGCCAAACTTTTGACTGTTCTAACCATTCTTCACATCAGAATGTAAACGATCTGTTGTGGTTCTTGTTTTACATCAGATCCTTAATGATGGAAGTGATTCATAATATTGGGTTTGTGCTTTAACTAAAAATTTTTTTGGTTTGCTCAAAAAGTGGCATTTAAAGCAACAATACTGAGTAGAAACTGTAACAAGCCTGACTATCATTAATGCACAGTTACTTTGGCTCAGGCGAGTTTGGGACCTCTAATCACCACAGTGTCTACACCTGAGTGAGTGAGTGACTCATTTGCATATTGAAGTCACCACTAACACTTGTTTGCCTAGCATACCACAAGTTAAATAGGCCTCATGGTAAATAAACATATTAAATAACTTTTTTTTGTTTAAAACAGTAGACTGTACAACAATTGAATACAAAACAGACCCACAAAATATAAACATAATTTCAAAACTTAATTTGTTTACTTTTCCTGAAGTTAAGTACTTTCTTTTTCAACCAAACATCCACCAAAGTATATGATAAAAATTCAATGCCAAAGTTATGACATCTAAATATACCTTGAATGTACAGGGTAACATGAGAAAAATTTGCCCAGCCCCTTGGGGGAAAAAAAGACAAAGTAACTATCCGACATAGTCTATTTATAACATATGCCAAAGTTGGCTTTTCACAGTGTCACACAACATTTTCATTCCAGCAGACACTGTTATCCTGCTGCTATAATCATGGAATTTCATGGCAGGTTCAATATTGAACTCAATTTTTGGAACTGTAAATTCTGCTCTTAAATCAAGCTACGTGTAGTTTCCTTTAAGAGGACCACATCAAGTACATTCAAAGATGACCTTCCAGTAAATTGCTTAGCCCCAAGCCCATTTGAGTAGGACAGCATTTAACAAGACTAATACTGAAAAACAGGAAATGGGTCCCTCAACAAAGTGATCATAGCACTATTTTAATATAATTAAATTTAGAAGAAACTCTTACCTTCATTATGCCATCAGCTTTCACTTCCAACCAATAATGATTCACATCCAGTTGGGTTTTTGACTTGATATCACATCAATTATATGGACAGTCCATTCATTTTGCTCCTTGCCCTTTGTGCACTAAAGTTTCCATTGCATTTCCAAAGTCATGTTGTCTTTTATATTTGAACTCCATAACATACAATGACCTTCACATCATAAAATGTTTCCTGCACCAGAAATCCACTCTGCTACCCTTTCTTGGATAAATTACTCTGATGACAGCCACAACTTCCAAAATACACAGCTGCAGTTCTGGACATGACCAACATTGGATACAATTGAAGGATGTTTGCTTGGAATTAACACATATGTAGTTTTTATTCCAAGGCTTTCTAATCATCCTTCTAGGACAAATTTTAAAGGTACATGTTCCTTGACTCAGGCATTGTTAAAAATAGATATACATCACTTGATAGTAACTTTTAGGTCACTCACTTTCAAACTAAACCTTGGAAAACTAACTCTCACAGAGCTTTCAATAAAAGCTGGTTACCAGCAGTCAACCACTTCCAGTAAAACCTCTTACTCCTGTCTGTTTGGCCTGCAAGCAGGCTCCCATGTTTGGACTCTGCCTTACAGCCCTTTTCCGGTCATAGCTGTATATCAAAACTATCGGTAAGCACTTATGGATAAGGTTATTAAAACCCCCACTATCACCCATCAAAGAATTATGACCAAAAGTAGCTCTTGAACAAAGGGTTCATGTTATCACCTTAAACTGGAGCATTTCTGTCAACTTTATGATATGAAATTCAACTGCCAAGGATTTTGAGGGGCTGACAATGTGTCAAACCTGAAAAAATTTACTCAGAGATATATATACTTTTACATGTGCCCTGCTTGCCTTCTGTTAATGCAGACCATTGACCAATGGGAGAAGCACCACTTCAGTCCAATGTTGCCAGGGTAACACCAGACCCATCAGAGCTGGTTTAGAGCAACACAGAGGGTTGGTGCGTTGGGTGGTGAGAAGGTAGCAGGCTGCTGGAGTTAGCAATGACAGCACAGAGAAAAAGAGAAAAAAGTCAAGTCAGTTAAAATTCTACTGTCTATTGATGGAATGGAAAGTCTCTTAACCAAACTTCATATTTAATAGTGACACAATGATTACTCCAAACAGGGACTTGACATTGGTAAAATGACAGTAAGTTTGACTCTTTGACATGAAATATTTTCTGACAATTTCCCTTTTGCAAGTATATGAAAGATTATCTGTACTTGCTTGACTTTCATCTAGTTGTTTTTATTGCTTGTATGTTTACAAAGAAAGCTAGTTTCAATTTAAGGTAAACCTGTTAATTTTGAGAATAAAATGATGATAATGATGATGAGAACAATAATAACACATTCATGCTTACAGTCATGCTAAAAAAAATCAAAAGCCTCGGCCTATCTTGGCAAAGATAGAGAAATGTATCTCATCTTTCTTTGGTAAAGGGCAAAATTACTTGATTCTTATAAGTTTATAAGTGATTAGATTATTGAGCAATTCAAGTTTCATCACCCTTAGAATTATTAAGTTTTCAGAGGTGGAATGATAACCAAAACTTAAAAAAAATATGCATGAAAGTAATCTTTAATTGTACTAAGGCTTGGGCAAATATTTGTAACAACTCAATATGCTTTCTCTGCACTGCAATCAATCTGATTTTGAGTTGTGCCATGGCTGAACTGCAAATGGAACTTCTAACAACTGATTTTGAGGTAAAATGACAGGACTTCCAGAGAAATTGAGAGCTTCGTATTTTTCTGTTTTTATCAAAAGTGGCTTTTCTAAAAGCAATAAACCCTGTGAGATGGAGCTGCTTTTAAAAAGTAGAAGATTACAAAACCACCATGATAAAAAATTGCCTTCCAGAAAGTTTGAAGTCCTCAAAAATGGAGTGATTCTCTTCAAAAACAACACTAGTAATTATTACAAATGAGCTTTACTGAAATTCCGCAGTAAAAAGAAGACAAGAAAGGAGTAATACAAAACAAATGTACAGTACTGCAGCATTTACATGGAGAAATAATCCAATTTTTCAAATTATCCAAATCTTTTACAACAAGAGGTAAATGTCTGGCTTTTAAGCATGTCAAGGTCATGCTGAGAAGTCAAAATTCCCAGGAAGACCTGCTTCAAGAAAGACTTCTAGTCTAATTAACAAGTTGGACAAACTTTAGATCTTTTGAGTAAAAACTCTTCACTTTTGATATTTGTTTCAGTCCTTTCCCTTTTTTACAGGGGAAAATGTTAGTTAAATTTTTTTGGTAAAAACCGGAAACAAGAGAAATTCAGATTTTCGAAAACACTGCTAAACCATAAATGTTCATGAAGTCTAACCAAATTAGAAAAAAATGATCAGCAACTATTTAGTATTGGTGGTGGCATGAACCTTCTCCCTTGGCTTTTCCCTTGCCCCAAACAAATGCACAAATATTTACCTGGCATTCCTTCTCTGTTTTATGTGATGAAACACGTTAATCACGTCCCGAATTCTTCTCGGGCATTCTTCGATTTTTGCTGCGAGAAAAATACTTGCCATGGCGTATATCTGCAATTCAAGTTTATGAAAGCGATAGGTTCGGCATGAATTTTTCGTTCGGTAAATCGCTGAATTTAATTAAAGACGTATAAGCCTCGTACTGAAACTTCTTTTTCGCTGACCTTTTGCATGAATTTAGGTCAGATTGAGATGTAAAGTAAAATCTGGTCATGGACACTTCACAAAGCACATGCATGCAACTGCAGAAAGAGATCTAGTTTGAACCGTTTGGAATTTCCCTTAGCTTAATACAAAGTTCGAGAGGTAAAAAGGATGGAATGAATTGCAACTCTGTACCAGAGAAAAGACAAATTTACCACGGAGTCTTGGTGAAAATACCCAAAGAATTAAAATCTAAGTAAAGAAAAACTGTATACAATCTAGGAACAACAATCGTCCAATTGCTTGCACGTTAAAAGTATTGTAACTTACCTCGCAGTCGTGTTTTACGAGCGACTTACTGTAGTAAAACCGTTGAAATAATACTTGAGCTGTAGCCATAGCTACCTGAAGGTTCCAAAGCAAAGAATCTCAGCTCACAACATCAAGGTAAATCCAAGTTTTCAAAACCAAACCGGACCTGCACTCACCTGAGGTAGCTTCAGCAAGATGCCCGCCATTTGGATATACTCGCAACCTAAGATTCTTAAATCGATTTCTACTTCTCTATCTAAGCCATCTTTAAATGAAGGTGTGTTCTGAAGTTGTTCTTCGTCAAGAATGCAGTTTTCTAGCGAAATAACTACGTCTCCGTAGTCCGATTTACCGGCGACAGCGGCCATGTTCGATGGTCTTCTTCAATCGTTTTAGAGACGTCACATTCTACTTGTGATGTCACCGGTTGGAAGCACGTGCACGGATATTCCCTAATTTGGGATGATTCCGATGTAAAGATGTCGTTTTCTCTTCGGAAATTGTCGGAAATCACGCAAAAGCGGGAAATATGGCTGTCGAAATGGGAGAAAAACACGATGAAGACGATAAAGTTGATATTTTGACAAGGATCACAGATTCTATCGACAACCATTTGAGAGGTTTTAGGGTGAGAAAAGAAAGGGTGTTTTAATAAGGTTATAACGTTCTTTCTTTTCCTGGATCACTTGACTTTATAGATGCACGATAAAACGATATTAAAAAGATCTAAGCTATGCAAAACTTATTTATCTCACTATTTTAGCAATTTTATGATAACTCCAGTGAAACAGACTAATGAATTCCGTTCCCAGCGGTGTTGGTGCATCAATTAACCCATGGAAACATAAGAGCAACTTTAAACCCTAAACAACCCTGCCTCAGGGACTCTTAATCAGTTAATTAATGTAACACATGGAATTGCTCTAAGGTACTTTTCTATATTCTTCTGAAGTCACCCTTAAAGGAATGTTACAGAATGTTTTAAAAAACATGCAGGTGTCAGGAGTGTAGCCAGCTTTTTGGACTTGTTGTAGGCCTGTTCCATAAGAAAGTTCAATTTTAGTTTCAACATCTGCAAGAGTCATGTTCTAAAAGTCAAGCGGGCAAAAAATTGTAAGTTTGAGGCTGGCTATGCCTTCAGTTGTAAATGCATTCAAAGAGGTCTAGTAACAATATACGTATATATATATGTATATGAACATATTCATTTGTACACAAATAGTATTCAACATTTTGTGAAATTAACATTCCTTGGTGATTTACTCTTTGTTTTCAAAATTGCAATTACCTGTTTAAGGAGGATCTCTGCAGTTGGCAGTTTTAGCCTGATCTAGCCTGTTCTCAATTTTTTTTTCCCTAGGAAAGTGACATTATTAGTATATAATAATCATAGATATGCTTTCCACAGAATGTTTCCTGGGTTCTGGCTGGAGCTGGAATTATACTGATTGCAAGGAGAACATATGTGGTAAGTGTTCTGATATAATTATTAGGCAGGGATCAGAAAATCTTTGTGAGAGCCAATGGATAATACTATTGTAGAAACTACACAGTGTATTCTGTATATTCTCCCTACATTCCCTACTGTTCTCTATACATTTCCTTAGGTGCTGAGAAGGAGAATTTGTTTAACAATCAAGAGCTCCTTTGGTTGATGATCATTTTCTTTATTCTTGTGACCTGAATGTGTGATTCAGGGGTCAAAAGGTTAACATAAATACCCCACACAGTAAAAGTTACAGAAAACCCTGATGTTTTTTTTTTCTTTCTTCAAATCCAAATAAAATGCCAACTTCAAATTACTTTTCGGTGGAGAAAGACTTTCATCATACAGGTGCCTAAAAAGCTTAAGTGTATTCTCTCGTGATGCAAGACCTAAAAATCCGTGCACCATCAAGTGCTGGTGTCCTTGTTTTTTCTTAACCCTTAAACCCCTAAGAGTGATTAGAAACTATTTTCCCCCTATTAGTATCCCCCCTAAAACAAACGTTGAGGTCATGAAAATAAAGGAAATGATCACCAACTAAAGAGGCTTTTGATTGTTCAACAAAATCTCCTTGTCTGCACCTTAGGAAATGTATTGAGAACAGTATGATGAAAATGTATACTGATGTTTGGGTGTAAAGGCTGGTTGCCTTGCTCAGACAAGGGATTGAACTATAACCAGACTGAATGAAACATTGTTGCTTAGTTTAGGCATTTTAAAGTTGTCTCTGACATCCCAAAAGAATTTGTTGCCAAGAACATCACCTTTCGTGGCCATGTATGCGAGGTTAGGCCAGACAACACTCTTGGTGTTTATCATATTCCTTTGCTCAGGAGACTCAAGTATTCATCTGATACAGGTTGGTTCTCAATTTACTACAGGAATAAATTTTTTTCCCCTATGAGTGAAGGTCATTTTTTGTCAGAGAAACATCCACATGATGCCCATCCTCATTTGTCTCATCATTTTAGAAGATTTTTTTAGGAGTAAGGCTACCTCAGCTTGTAAGTTTCTAAAGAAACTGTGGTACTGCATCAGTGTGAGAGTATAGCAGGGTAATTTGGTATTGTCAACTGAGTTGATACCTTAAATTGGCCACTGTAAAGAGTTACAAAGCTGATGTTTTGAGCCTAGCCATTCGTCATTCACTCTAATGAAGAAACATCAGCTTTGTGACTCTTTCTAAATTTCAGGTTATAGGCTGGACTGTAACAATTCTCATTCAAGTAAAGAAATGATCATTGCAGATTGGCTGCAATCAAAAGAATTTCAGAAATAAAAGCAGAAAATAACCATGGACATGATCGTACTCCCAGCATATGGCTAAGTTAGGAACACTACCCAATTAATATCCAGGAGGCACCAGTTCCAATCCCAACCTTCTAATTACAGATAGTCTAATTTTTGAATAATGGAGAGAATATCCAGATGTCTTTTCGGCCCAAAAAGAACTTAGAGACTTAAAACATTTTATGTACTTTTTCATTAGAGGCCTCAAAACAATCCAGTCTTCTAGCCATCAGTCTTATAGGTGTGGAATTCAGGGAAGGTGGGCACCAATGGCTTTCAGGCCATCTGATGTCAGCTGATGTTAAGATTACTCCTTTCCAAGTCACCAAAAAGCATACATTGGACTGCATGGTGTACAAGAAAAAGGTAGATATGTTACCTGCTCCTAGTGTGGTCACAAAATTAGTTATTACACCATGGTGCATTTTATGTTAGTGTGCTAACTTATGCTGTTGTAGTTGTGTGACTTTAGTGTGACTACTTTCCTCCCAGGCAACTTGTATACAGGGTTTTTCAAAGCAAATAAATTGTTTTGCAGTTGTGTTAAGATGGCAACTGGTAATTGCAGGTAGCCATAACCCTTGAGAAAGGCTCTTAATTTTCTCTCAGTGGCTGTCATACCTGTTAAAGTTCTCTCTTAAAGATAACTTAGGATAGCTAAGATGAATCAACAAATTTTAATAGACAGGACAATCATTCATTTACTTGCAGCCATGATGGATCTGTCCACTCAATCCCATTGTTCTTTGTGGTACATCTAAACTCATGAATATTCACTATATAAACATGACAAAACATTACAATGTCTTGAAATGTCTTTTTTTAATTTTAAAGTAAGTTGAATTTCAGATAAACAAGCCAATAGTCAGAACATGTATGACCCTGAATATATGGAAATCCAATACATTTTCTGCAGTTTTATAGATGAATATGAAAGTGATCTTTGCAGTAATGAATAGTACTTAAGCAGTGGTGAAAATTAGGCCTGCTTAAGCAGAGTTCATTACTGGGAAGATTGTCTTTATATTCATTTCTTAAATGACAGTTCACATAAATGATTTTCACATTCACAGTCACTGATTTATCACTTTACAGGTTTATTACAAACCAAAATACTAACCAGCTCCTGGTTTGCTTGTTAGCTCAGTTGGTACAGCACTGCATTGGTATCGCAGAGGTTCTGGGTTCAAATCCCATACTGGCCTGAATTATTTATCAGGCCTTTTTTCACAACTACTTAACCCCTTGGCCCCTAAGAGTGACTGGCATCTAATTTCTACTTATTATATCATCCCTCATTCAAACATGAAAATCATGAGTGAGAATAGGAGATGATCACTAACTAAAGTAGCTCTTGATTGTGAAAAAAATTCTCCTTGTCAGCCTCTTTGGAAATGTATGGGCAACAGTATGGAGAATATGCATACTGATGTCAGGCTGGTAAAGGGTTAAGTAGTGTTCATCATGGCGAAACTCCTTTCATATTCAGTCTGAACTTGTTTTGAAAAAAATAATAATTTGACAAGAAAGGAGCCTGAGAAGGGGAATTCCCTTGGTACAAATCAGGTTTTATTTAAACTATTTAATGATGAGAGTTTTTGCCGTCAAGGTGTCTAATTTGGTTTGCACATGAAGAAGCAAAGAAGTTGTTGCACTGTTTTTGTTCGCATTTAGGCTGGGTAGATAAGATGCTTTTTTCCTTATAGGTTCAAGCCATTTTACTTTCACAGGCATTTTAAAAATCTAAAGGCATAATTATGCAATGTTAGTTAATTGTGTTGATGCCTGTTTTCAGAACTGGTTTTCATCTATATGTGTAAACCAAGAATTGCTGCATCAAGGTGTAGCAGTCACATGTCATGTTCCCACACTTGTCAACAGTCCAGTTTATCAAAAACTTCAAAGACAACTCCTGAAGGCAGAAATATCTGCTGAAAAGAAAGGTGTTGGCATTTGGAAGAGGCCATCAAGAATAAAAGCCTTTTGGGGAAAAATTTCCTCTCCAATCTCCTGGATAAAGAGGGGACTCAGTGCTTTTCAATATGTTAGAAGTCTCTTTTCAAGGAAAGCAACAAACCATGAAGAGAAGTAATTTTTAAGAAGTTACTTAACAAAGTGAACTGGGATATTTTGATGGCACAAGAATCTTTGACCAAGATTTGTTTGTCACATCAACCTGGATGCTTATGTTTGTCCTAAAAAATTGAGGCAGAGAACAAACTAACTCTTCTCCAGCAATGCACCGCTTCCCTAAAGAGAAGCTTTGCTCACAGTGGAGTTCAGTTTTGGAACAACCCACCCCCGAGTCAGTCTTAACATGATGTTAGAGCAAATTAACAATTGGTTCATACATCAGTGTGTGTTCATCGAGATATGAAGCACGCGGGAAGTTTGGAGAGCATGAAAGATGCGTAAGAGTTGCTCAAAGCACAGCCGAGAGTAACTCTAGCTTCTTGAGTGCTCTTAACTTCCCAAGTGCTTCATATCTCGATGACCCCACAGCTGACGCATGAACCAATTGTTTTATAGCATTTTCAACCCGATGGAAAATTTTTTTCTCGAGGGATATGTTTGTTGACGTCATGAGCGTGCACAATAGGAATATGTAGCATGCTCAAGCAATTGAATTTGATTAGACAAATTTACTAGCTATGTTATAAATTGAGTTGACAGTATGAGACAGTATGTTATTTAAATGCTGCCTCTAAGAAAAGAAGCATCTGTTGTTTTAATTTTTTTTCCTGTGGTGATTGTATTTAAGTGGGTAAGTGGTTGATCAATAAGAATTTGATGGGGTTCATAGAAATACCATGAATGAATAGTAAAAGTCATCTTATTTTATGTATCTTATACATGTTCTACCTATGTCACCCTCATTGTGTGTGGCTCACTAAATGAACCTAGCTATCTCTATCCCACATTACCAAGAACTTGTAAACCCTTTGCCTCCCATGGGTGACCAAGACAGAGTTTCTCCTTACAATATCAGTACAATGTAAATCAGACAGGTGAAGAGAATAAAGAAAAATATAAGTTTGAGGATTTTCTGGTTGATCCAGAATCAAATCTCAGAACTAGCATGATGAGAATTTTATGGCAGACTGTAAGGAGTATTACTAATGAGATCTTGAGCTTTAGAGGAACTTATTTTTTCAAACCATCCCCTGTGATTCTAATGACCAAAAGAAAAACCAAAGTAACCAACATTTAATGAGGATTCAGAGAGTCATTTTTGTTTATTTCAAATAAACTTCACACATATCATCTGTATTTCTCTAAGTCTATAAATTAGTCACTAAAATTATCAATATCATCATTTTTCACCTCTTTAACAAGCTTCTATGATATTTCATTTAATGAGGTAAATACTGATTACTACTTAATAAACATATGAAGTTTCAAACAGAAATTATTCCAAACGAAAGGGGCTGGGGTGCAGACTTTAAAAAATATTTCAAAATAGGCTTGAACAATTTTTGAGAAACTATGTTGATTTTGTGACATTTGCAATTTATCAAAGTTGAAACAAACCTTTACCAGTAATCAAAAATATACAAAGGGAATTTACATCAAGTTGATAGTCAATTTAAATAGTACTTACTAGTGTATTCTTTAACCTTTAACTCTCATGAGTGACAAAGCCAGAATTCTTATGATATCGATGCAATATCAAGCAGTAATGAGCATAAAGAAAAATACCAATTGGGGGAATTATTACTTGAGCCAATACCAAATTCTCCAAACTAATATCATGAGAATTTTACAGCATACAGCAAGGAGAAGTACTAATGAGATCTGGGAATGAAACGGTTAAGAGGCATGGATTTACCAAAGAATTGTAAGAAACCATGTAACTACTAAGTGATAAGTTGATCTGTCAACTACCTCATGTAATGAGCTTCTCTTGGTGTATGTGGTCTTGAAAAAAATTTAAAAAATCTTACAATAGTACCATTTTTGAACCACTTCATCCTTTTGAAAATGTTCAGTCTGGGGACCCATTTCTCAAAAGTCCCAGTAACTTAATGGACCAGAAGCCTTATTTTATAATCAAGATTTGAAGAATAAATAAGCAGGTTCTGGTACCCTAACCAGTCCATTTTTTTTCTTTAGGTGATGGTTTCAAAGTATAATTTTCAAAACTTTTAAAACCCCTACCTTGAGTGAAAACAGAAGAACTTTACAGGCCTGTTTAGTTACCAGGACCCTTTCTTTTTTTAAATTACTAAATGGGTCTTAGGACGACATTTAATTTTGACCTATTGGCTTGTTAACTTAAGAAAGACATCTATATTGTACATGTTAGGCAGGTAAATTAAAGCTAAAAAATTTCCCCAATTTTATTATTCACTAGTTGTTTCTGCAAGGATAACTTTTTTTCTTACAATTTCCTTAACCTAACCCGGCAGTTATATTGCTTTGTTACATTTATTATTTTGATGAAAATAATTTTCATCAAAATAATAAGGATCTGTTCTCACCAAACCTTATAAACAAATTTGGACTCAAAAACAGAATTTTGTTTCCTTTTTTAAAGTGGCGTTGGCAGGTGGATCTTACCTTCCTTGATTCTAACATGTTACAACACAGAAGATAATTGAATGTCACAAGTCAACAAATAAGTTCAAATTTCACTGTTTTTTATGCAAAATATGACTGGCGGGATAAGAACTTTTTTTGAATGTAAAATTCAGTCCTACCCTCTGATTGCTTGTCATTATTCCATTGGCCTGAGGTATATTAAAAGCACTGTAAAGGGTCTTGGTAACAAATTCTGAAAATCACTCACGCCATCTAAATAGAGAAGCCTACCAGGGCCTCATGAAACAGCACCTCAAGACCCTGATTCAAATAAGACACACTGAATCAATTGCCAGGATTTCTCAGCATGTTCTACACTGAGCCTCTTGTTTAGACTTCCTCATGTTCTATGTCTTCTCTGTCCTTTTCCTTGACTTTTTTCTGATGACTTTTGGCTCTTTGGTATAAGAAGACTCCACATGTCACCATAATAGTTCCTATGGCACTAAGGGTTGTGACCTCATTACCAAACACTAAGACAGACAACCAGATCAACAAGGCTCTCTTTGCTGTGTTGGAGACACTAAATAGAAACAGACAGTATTGTTATGAGAAATACATCTATCTCAAGTAACAGATCTGACTGAGGGCTAATGCTTGAAAAGTCAGCTTTAGAAACTCTCTATGGTGGCCAATTTACACCATCAACTTAGTTGATAAATCCAAAGTATCTCTTAAAGTGGGCTTGACTTTTAAAGCATAAGATTTTTTGTTGGTCACAAAAAAAAAAAACGAAACAAAAAAAAACAGCTAAATGATATGTGCTATTTCCATTTTTTGTGTGTGCGCCACGTGTGCCTTGTCCAAGCTTTACCATGCTCAGATAGGGTCATAGGATGTAATTCTCAATGATAGTGAAAATAGAATGATTTTCTCATCAAGAACAAAATTACTCACCTAAATGTAACAGGAGAAATCAAAGACATCAGTCCAAATGCTGTAAGACTTTGCATGTAGAACATAAATCCATTCAACAGCAACATAAAAATCAAATGTCTATCCTCTTTCAACTTTATTTCTCCAGGCCACTCCTACAAGACATGAAAGGTCAAAACAAAAATAGTTAATGCATCCAACAAAATCTGCACTTAGGATTTGCAAGGGAGATGTGAGCTTCATTTCCAATCCATTCCATTTCAGCTCTACAACATTTTCTACACAAGTTTTTCTTTGATGGAACAGATGAAAAAAATAAATTTTGAAAGAGGTACAATTATGATTTGTCATCAATTTAGACACAGGAGACTAAAGAGTTGATCAATCTGAATTCCTTCAAAAAAGAACTCAACATAAAAATTACAAGATTGTAGATTCTCGTTCACAAGTAGAGCTACAATACTTGCAGGTGATTTGTAATTTTAACAGTTGCAGAAAAGAAGCCTGAAAAGCAAAATTCAGGGTTAAATGACATTCAAACCCATACTTTATCGATACTAACCATCAAAAGCCTGAATTTTCTCAGGCTTTTTATATGCAGTTGCTTACATTGCAGCTCACTTCCAAGGATACATTGCTTGCAGGCCAAATAAATCATAGTTGGAACTGTGCTTACATACTAGGCAATATGAATGGTCAGCCTAGTGATATCCTTGTCCATGCTGTAATATTTGCAAGATGTTTGTTACCATAAAGGCTCAGATAAAGTGGCCAGCTTGAAATAGTTATCAGTGATGTGCAGATTTAAGGATCCTAGCCAAGCATAAAATTTGGCTTATGTACCATGTAATCTACCATTTTTATTTAATTTGGCATCACCCCTGCAAACCCTGTTGTTTGTTAGTTTGTTTTGCTTGCAGTAACCTTCTAAATCTTCATGAATCCTTGCAGACATACATTGTATCTCAGTTACAACTGAAATTTATTATTGCCTAATTTTGATTCAGTATTTCTGAATCATTGATTTGCATAGATTATTGCTGGGAAAATTGTTGTTGTTCCTACAAATCCACAGAACAGGCATGGTTGACTAGGATCCTTTAATATGGTACAAAAGAAAACTTGTAAATTATACCAGGAAAAACCAGAAAGGTAGTTGAACAGCAATTGCAGCAGCACTGGTATAAAACTGAAGTTCTGGTGGACTGAAAGAACAAATGAAACCTCATTAATAGAGTGAAAAATTAAACAAATGGACATGGTTGGACCTACAGTTTTAAGACCTTGTAGCTAAATATCTTTCTGACCTTTCCAGGCAAATTGTCACACCATGAGAATCACAACAAAGGTGTCCCAGGTAAAATTTTAGCAACACCCAGAGCTCAAAAACTGGAATGGTTTCCAAGAAGTGATGTTGTGGAAGCTTTTACATCACTGAAAGGGAGGCATCTGGACACTCTAATGCCAAATACAGCACAGTGACCTATACATCAATAACCCACTCCTTTGCACAAGACTAGAAAGCTCAGATTACCCTTAACTGTGCTCAAATTATCCATCAATTTTCTACAGAAATAAAAGCTATCACCTTGGAATGGGGGAGGTAGCTTGATGTTAATAATTTAAGATCAATCCGAGAAAAAAAAGGAAAGAATCCAGGAACAGCAGTAATCAAATGCAGTGGCAGATCAAGAAGGTCCAGACCCCCACGCCAAGAATTCTTGCAATAATAGGATTGCTTATTACTACTAAACTGAGTGATTTTCTTCATGCAATTGTGAGTGAAGGAGGGGGTGGGGAGGTAAACAACTCCTGAACACTTTCATTGATGGAAAGAATATGAAGTCATTTGACACTTTGGCTTACCTGTAGGGATGATCACTACTTAGAAGCTTCTTTGAAAACACATTCTGAAAACTATCAAGTAAATGAGAAAAACAATTATTTTAACTTATTAACTGGAAAAAATTACAAAATTTCAGAATTCTTAATATTCACCAAATAATATCTAAATTCACAATAATCATCATAATCTTTTTAAAAGGCTTCTTGAGCTGAAACCTTGTAAAAGTTAAATCACCTCCAGCTTGTGGCTATCACATATATGCTAAGCAATAAAACTCTTTTTTTTCTTCAAAAAAATTAACCCTTTAAGTCCCACTGGAGTGACCTAGACAGAATTTCTCCCTACACTATCAGTACAATATTAAGCAGACAAGTAGTGAGAATAAAGACAAATATCAATTAGGGGATTATTGGTTGATCCAATTCCAAATTCTCCTAACTAACATCATATGAATTGTATGGCAGACAGTAAGGAGAATTACTAATGATATCTTGGGAGTTAAGGGGTTAAACAGTTTAAAGTTAGATGCATAAACAAGAAGTGGGAAGGAAGGAGCTGAGCACTACATCACAGTAAAAAAAAATGTTTGAGATCAAAATTTGTGACTGTCAAAAGTGTGCAATATTCACACAACAAAAAAACACCCTAAAAAGGAATTACATCTCTTCACATAGTTTAAAAAAGTCTAGTTCATGCTAACACCAATCCATAACATTATTCAACTCTCCAACTCACCAATCCATGACATTATTTAGAAGAGCAGATATAAATCCAACCATGTTGAAGCTGAGCTCTGAAGCAGTACAAAGTGACAGACCAGCCATGATTGGAAGAAGAGACAGATTCACAAATACACTTGATTTGTCACCTATAAAAACAAACAATACAAAAAAATGAAAAAGAAAGTTTCTTTTTATATCCAGATTTCTGGAGTTTTTTGGGTAAGTGAGACATCCATTCACATCCTTGAAGAAGTTTGTTACTTAAGGGAACATGGTTATTAATAAGGGTAATTGGAGGGCTCAGAGCAAGAACGATCCCTTGATTTTTCGGCCATTTTTGAAAGTGTCCACATGCCAAAATTCAACTACTTCTGAACACTTTCAAAAATGGCCGAAAAATCAAGGGATCGTTCTTGCTCTGAGCCCTCCAATTGGTCTTCTTGAAATATGCCATTTTCCAGTAAAAATTTGCCACCAAAAGTCAAGAGTATACAAGTTTAAAGACCTCTAAAAGGTCCCTTGCCAGCCTATATTACTGGTGTGAATCTGGAGGGTGCATGCATAATACTGTAAAATTCTAAAAATAAGCCCCGGGGCTTATATTTTTCAAAGGACCTTTTTGAGGGGCTTATTTTTGGAAGGGGCTTATATATTCAGAGGGGCTTATTATAGGAGGGAAATTTGCATTTCAAAATTGACTGGGCTTATAATTGGAGGGAAATTTGTGCCAAAATTGTTTGAATATGCAACTGGTAATATTAGGATTTTGGCTAGAAATTCATCACAAATTAATCACACTGAAAATGCCAAGTTCAAACACAATGGCAATAAACTTTATTAGAGCAGAAATACAGTAAAAATGGTAACATAGTTCAGGCTCAAAGTTCATGCTAACTATGAAAGCTCATATCATTCGAGGAGCAATCGAGGGAGTTTGGGTTCAGGGTGGTGGGATTGCACTTCCTTGCAAATACTTTGTCTATGGACCAAAGGAATTCAAAGTGTGAGTGAAGAGTGAACCTTGTAAAAGACAATAAACTTCAACACTTGTTGACCACATTGCTTCAGTGCACAGAATAATTCTTTTATGACTAAAAAAGACTTCCTGATAGTGGTGATTATGTTTAGTTTGCTTTGGTTTGTATTAATGAGGATAATTTCCAAGTACAAGCCCCCGGGGGCTTGTATTTGGAGGCTTGTTATAGGAGGTATTTTTGTGTTTCAGATTTGGGAGGCTTCTATATGAATGGGCTTATACATGGTGGGGCTTATTTTCGGAATTTTATGATATCTCTTTATGAAATTATTGACTGTCATCTTCAATTTTAATGCAAGGGAAGGCTGGAAAGGAGAGAAATATCCCTCAAGAAGGACGATGATAAGCAAGAGGAAGTAAGGGAAGTCTTTTGGATCACAAATTTTATTTTTCATACTTACCTAACATAAGCCAAGCTATAATTGCTGTGAAAATTGGAGCTGAGGATTTTATGGTTTCAGAGAAAGAAACAGCTACATACTTCAGAGTAATGAGAGAACACACTATGGTAGCAAACCTATAAAAGGGGAAAAAAAGACAGACAGGCTTTATTACTTTTCATCTGATACTCACTTGATCTGGAGTTAGGATTCGATCACAAGCAAAGCATTTAACCCTTCACTCCCAAGATCTCATAAGTAATTCTCCTCACTGTTAATTTGTATAATTTGGTATTGGATCAATGAATAATTGAAACAAAAGTGTTAACCCAGTCTCCATTTAGCCCCTGAGTAAAAAAGTTAATTTTGGACTCTGCCTGTCTAATTTGCTTCAATATAATGAAGAAAAAACTGAGTTGTGAACATTTCTGATCAATTTTGTTTTTAAAAGAAAGTCTGAAAAAACTGAACAGGATAAACCATTTGCCCTAAATGACAAAACATTCCAAACAGAATGACAAATGCCACCCAGTATTCTGACCAGAATTTTGCATTTTCCAGATCACCTTTTGGAAACTCTGATAAAATGAATTTCATGCTAATGTGATTTCAGCCCATTTTGACTTATGATTTGTTATTTATCAATTATACCAGTAATAATTTAATTGGAACATAAAAGTAATGAATAATAATTTCACCTCATCCAACCTAAAATTGCCATGTTACGAAAAAAATGAAATTTAGGGCCATCTTGGTGATGGCCTGAAGTCCGATGGAACAAGCAGCAGGGTAGATACATCTTGACTGCTCCAAATAGCACAGAACACACCATTTGGGTCTCACCAAGTAGGCTGGCATCACCATCTAATGTTGACAAGATGTACTTGTTTGATATAATTGAACCGAAACTAAAAAGGTACCAAAGAGACATCATTACAGTTTGTCGCACAAATGTCTCCTTTAACTCAAATGTAAATGTTCTCTGTTGTCTTGGTGATGAAGGAGAGTGCGAAACACCATCATGAATTTTCTTTGTTTGTCCAATTATTGGAGCCATGCTGGAGCCAGCTTGGGTCAGATGAGAGACCATCTAACAGATTAAAGTTCTTTCCGATGAAAATGAACCAAAAGATCTAGATATCTGCATGATGCTCTCAAACCCTCCACATGCAGCTTTGGTCTTCCAGAGTGCTTCCATCCAGAGCCAAGATTTTTCAACAAAAAGTCATAGCTGTAACAAAAGGCAAATATTACTCAATGCATGGTTGGGAGTTTACAGCCAATAGGAACTTGGGCAAAAAACATTTACTCTGTACATTGATTTAAAAAATGCCATTCTTAGAGTGCCCTAGTAGAGGGTAGCAAGAGGAGGTCCTAATCCCATCTTAGATTGAAATTTTAGAAAAATTCAAGCATCACATGTTCATGTACTTTAAACAGTATTTCACCCATCAAGAATTTAAAGAGGAAAACTTCAAATCTCACCTTACCTTGCCTTTCTGTAAAATTTACAGGTCACATATTAATTTTGGGCGTAATCACACGTCCCGTTTAAACCCTTTGCCACCCTCTGGTGATGACCTCTAACAGACAACTAACAGCTAAGAAAATATTTCACCATCATTTTTAAAAATTTACCCAAAGGGCTTGTTCATGGAAAAATGTAGAGATGATGCTAGGCAAATGTTTTGATTACAAGAGAAAACGGTACATAGACCTCCCTACATTATTCATGAAAGGTGATATTTACGGAGACTACACATTTGAAGGGGGCAGGAACAATCACCACTTCCCTAATTGCCGAAAAAAAGATCAAACTCCAGGATTTTTCGCTGGGCATTGATTGCAACAGAATGAACATTTTTCTTCAGCTCAAAATGTTTACAGAAATTGAAAAACTTGTGAAGTGGTTGTCCCAGCAATGAGAATCTCATTTTTCTACGTTTATGAATTATTAAGTTAACGTACAAAGAGCTGGCGATCAAAGGGAGTAAGAAATTGCTTGACAATGGAGCTTTTCAAATTTTTAAACGATTTTTACAAGTTGCAGTTATGAAATCCGCCGTTAGCACGAAACCCGATCTTATATATTTTGTGTTACTGTCTTTAGATGTTCGCTGGAACAATGAATAACTCGCCCGCACGCAGCTGCCAGTATCCTAATAAAGTCAACACAGCCGCGAGAATATTGCAGACGCTGTGTGAGGAACAGTAGATTGTCGTTATGTAGTCATAAAATGTTCCCTTACCGATATCTCTAAAGTGATCTTCGCTTTTTTTGTCAACAAAATATAACAATATAGCATTGAGTTTGATCACGAGTGCACCCGCGAAATCTTACCTAACCACTTTTTCTCCGATTAGTCAGCAGAATCTCTCCAAGCCAATACTACGTCAAATACTGGAAATGAACTGTAACTGTCCGCCGCACTTGCGCAGTAATCATCACCAGAACGATGAAAACACGTTGCAGTGGATTGCCCGGAGAGTGCGAATGGGCGTCTGGCGTCTGGCGAAAGTGCTCTTTAATTCTTCATTTCTCTGGAGATGAAAACACGCACGATAATTTGACGATTTGATCTGGTTACTTGAAAAAGGTGCGTCGTTTGAAGCCAAGAACAAATTGTACGCGTTTCAAGGCTGTTTCAAGGTAAATTCGAGATTTGAAAACTCAGCGCGGAGGCGAGGCTACAATAATTGACACATATTCTTGCAAAGAAGTTTTGGGAATTCAACATAAGGAACACACAGCAGTCTTGGTCCTCTGCGGAAGAGGAGAGGAATAGTTTCCGCTGAAATCAAGGATATCTCCTTTTGGATGTTGTTCTGAGGCTCAGGAATAGTGGTCGAATTCTATTTGTGATGCGAGTGTGTTGATGTGGGATGTAAAGGCTGTAACCCTCTTACTTCATTAATATTTCATAAGCAAACAGCTTTGCTGCAAACACAGTACACATGGCTTCGAAATCAAAAGAGCAGCAAAGTCCAGTGAAGCGGAAATTTACAAGCCCCGTTGGAAATCAGAAATACGTAACGAAGGGAATTTCTCCGCGTTTTAAAGCAAATTTGAAAGATTTTCGCTCGTTTGGTCCCGTGAAGCAGAACAAACAGAAAGGAGATCTGGGACCTAATCATGGAAAAGCTTGGAGGAAGACTCATAAGAGCCAGGCTGTGAAATTTCATTTTGGAGGGAACAGTGCAGATCCACTGAACTTAAACAGTTTAATAGATCGAGATCCATCAGCTGTCACCCCACAAGCCTCCCCAATGTCAGTTCACAGTGCATCCCCAGTTGAAGTTTTAGAACCACGTGATAAGACAGACCCTCTAAATTTAAAACGTTGTCTGCCAGAACCTGAAAACAATGTGTCTCATGTGACACCAAAAAAGCGCAAGAAAAAGAAGCGAGGACATAATCATCAAGACAGGGAAAATGAAATTGGGTCAAAAGAGCAGTCAGGTGTCATCAGCCAGCTGAAGAAGCAGAAAAAAATTCTTGTAAAAACTGACTTTTCTTGTGATAAAATTGAGGATAAATTAGGCAAAAGCTGCACTGACCAGTGCAGTGTTCAGTCAACACAAACCAATGATCTGTCAAAAGAGGAAGACTTGAATCCATCCCCCAAAAAAGCTGGCTACATCACAAAGCAGACTGCAGAAGCAGTTGATAACAAAGGTGCAAATGTCATTGAAGTGGAGCAGTCTCCTTTAGTGACAAAACCCAAAATTGCTCCTGGAAAATCTAAAGAAATAGGAAAACCTCATGCATCACACAAAGGCAAAGACTCTAAGAAAGATAAACAAAGCTTATCAAAGAGACGTGAAAGAAAGGAAAAACTTTTTATTTATGGTAACTATAACAGGTATTATGGTTACAGAAACCCAAACTCCAGCCAAGATTTAAGACTAAAATGCTTTAAAAAAGAATGGTTTGAGGGGAAGGATGTTTTAGACTTGGGTTGTAATGTGGGTCATGTGACATTAACAATTGCACGGGACTTCAACCCACATGTTATCCTAGGAATGGACATAGATACTGCCCTGATCAAAGCAGCAAGGAACAATTTACGATATTATGTGCAGAATCAAGTGTCTGTTCCTGGGACATCAAGACAAGGAACAAGTTTTCCAGTGTCATTTTCTGTCACCAGTGGACCTCTGGCTGCACCTGTAGTTCAGGGCAGTGAAGAAAATCTGTCATTTCCACATAATGTCCTATTCAAACAGGTAATAATATACTTAAAGTAATCATAAGTCCCAATGCTTCTCTGAAAATATTGAAGGACTGTTGGAAAAAATAGAGTAGAGTAAAAGTTGAAGAATTCATCCTTTTTGTATGATTTTTAAAAAATTGGGGACTTGTCAAGAACACAACAACAAGAGCTCTCAGTTAAAAAGGCATAACCAGCATTACATGGTTAACTTTGAATAGTTTGTGCAGATATCAGTTCTTTCAATTTTTTAAGGGATTTTTGCGCTTGTGAAGCATTGTGATGATTAACAAAAGCTGAAGAGTACAGATGTTGCTGTGTTAATCTGACATGACAGAACCCTTGGACTTATTTGTTTTCCTTTTTCAGAAACATGCGAGTCAAAAAGTTACTGAAATTTTCTTTTGAAATTTGTAGGAAAACTACGTTCCTTGCAGTAATGAGGTACTTTCCAAACAAAAGCCAATGTATGATATGATTTTGTGTTTGAGTTTGACAAAGTGGATCCATTTGAACTGGGGAGATGAGGGACTCAAACTCATGTTTAAAAGAATATTCCTCAATCTACGTCCTGGTGGAAGACTTGTCCTTGAGCCTCAGCCATTTTCCTCTTACAAAAAGAAGAAAAATTTGACAGTAAGTGATTATTTCAAGGTTGCAGCTAAAGAAGTTAAGCTTTTGGTTGAAATTTCCAGTGAGGCAGCCAAAAATTTGAATGATTGTGTGTGTGTAACCCTAGAGGTACATTTTGTGCTTAACAAAGCAATTGCTAGCCAAAAATCAAAGCAGCAATCACTGCTTTTCATCTGCCAAATCTCACCAGCAACCAGGGCTTAGCAAGAAACCTGTTATTTACCATCAGGTACTAGCTTTTTCCTGTATAGGCTATGAATGCAATAGTGTAGGTCCCCAGTTTAAAACTTCATTTTCTTCTGTATCACTCAAGCAATCTCAACTCAGTATTATTAGCAACTTCTACAACAGTATTGCTTTAAGAAACTAATTTCATTCTTGCATTTTTTTTTCCTTATAGAGAAATTTGATTTAATTTTAACATCAATGAAGACATTTTTGTAGAAAATAAGCCTCAAATTAACCATCCAGATCCACCCTCAAGTCTTTTCTTTAAGTTTTTGTTTTTAATATTAATTTAATATTTTTATATAGTCATGATTAGGAAATAAACCATTGCATCTTATTTATCATTACTATCCACAACATTTTTTCAGGAAAAAATCCGTGCAAATTATGATGCCATTCTCTTTCGCCCTGAACACTTTATTGACTACCTTCTATCAGACATGGTGGGATTTGCTACTTTTGAAGTTCTTGAGATTCCACAGCACAAAGCTTCTGGTGAGTAGTATCTAAGTGCAGAGTTGTTCATTCAAGGTTTTTGTGAAATAGCATTTTGTGAATGCTTTGAAAAGAATTTTTCTGGGAACTTAGTAGCCTAGTGGTTAGCCAGGGGCAAATCCAGGAATTTTTAAATTTTTCATTCAAAAAAGATAAATTTTTTAATTCTATTGCCTAAATAAGTTAAGAAATAAAGTCAAATGTTAGATACTTCATAATTAGTGATAAAATGATATGCTTCCATTGCAAGAATTTTTTAGCAAACAAGTATTAAAATTTACCCCTAAGTCTGATGGGTGGAGGGGGGGGGAAGGGTTTGGCTTCCTCTGGACCCTTCCCCCTGGATCTGCCACTGTTAGTAGGCATGTGAGATATCCACTTTATGCTCAATATGCTGGCATAAACAAACAAAACAAACTTTATTGGTATTTTTGATTTGTTCTTGAGCAAGACACCTTTATGTCTTGAGGCTTCCCATTGCCCAGAGGTGAAAACTGGTACCAGTACCAGCAAGGTGTTAGGAAAATCCTCAGAAAAAAACAGGGATAATTTGTGATGGATTAATAGTCCATTGGAAGGGGGCTCTGACACTGTTCTTTGGCTGAATGCAATAAAACATGTTGCATGTTTCTTATCTTTTCTTAGGGTTCCAGAGGCCTCTGTATCTTCTTACAAAAGCTGCAGATAAGCAAGGGGAACCTTCACAAGAAATGTATTAGGATTCAATAAATATGTCATCCATATTATACTAGAATAGTGTGTGGAAGTCACAAAATGTAGTTGTCTTGCATATTCCTTAGGTCGATGGAATTAGTGACATTCTTTTTACTAACCTCATATACAGCCACAAACTTGAAAAGTAGAGAATAAAACTTTCTTTTCATTAATGCAATAGATTGTTGATATATATCTAAGAGTGTGTTTGAAAATTGTGGATTTTTTTGTTTGTTTTTTCTTGCTTCTAAGTTAAAATTTTTGGAAATAAAATTAGTTTTAAAACCTAAACTTTCCACAATAACTGTGATGGTTTATTCTCTTCATCAGGTAACACCCTTTACATAAATGAAAAGCACTGCTGAGAAATATTTTAGCCAAAAAAACATGCATAAAGCATGCAAAAAATTTGAATGTAAGTGCATATAAATGTAACCAATGTGTCTCTAAATTGCACATATACACACATAAGCATATATAAATCTGTCTCATTGGTGTGTTTTTGCTAACTTTGTTTTTCCATTGTTGACAGGTAATTTTTCTATAGCATTAACTAGTTGCACTAAAACACTACATGGCTAAAAACTACTTATAGACTTGTTTGTCTCAATGTCTGCTTAAGCTGACTTTCCTAATATGCTGTTACTTATGTAGGCAACTTCATAAAGACCTAACCACTTTTCTTGTGATACTGATGGCTCACACTTGTAACACAGGTCTTCTCTCCTCTGCTTTAACCACCGTGCACCTCAGTTGTAGTTTTGTTCCAACTAAGTCATTTTGGTTTTTTTTCAAATTTAAGGGAATGGCCAAGCTATCACTCAGATTACACATATGCATGGGGCAAAGCTCAGCAAAAGGGTCACCCCCTCTTGTTCTTGTTGTTGGTGCTTCTTTTTTTTTTTTTTTTTTTTTTTTTTGGGGAGGTTTTAGAGTCCTGCATCTGAGAAAGTGTGACCTATGACCCCTCATACCTATATATACCTATTTTTTACAACAACTGATCATGTATTTAAGTGAAGTTGTTTCAGCCATTTACACCATTACATTAGTATGCAAATTCTCATACTGTTTTCTGTACATTTCTTGTGATTCTTACAAGGATGATTTTTCTAACAAGCAAGAGCTTCTTGAGTTCATAATCATTTCCTTTATTCTCACTGGAGATACTGTCAGTGGAAATCAGATGCTTATATTCCTAAGGGAGTATAGGGTTTCAAACTGGGTTATGTTGTAACACTGTTGCTATTGCCAACTCCTATTGTGTTTAAACTGTATGATTTGCCGCTGTGAAAACTTTTTTCGTTTAGATCCCCTCGAGGCGCGTTCGATTGCGAAATAAGAAAAAACCCCGACGAGACAACAAGTAGATTACACATATTAGATGCTAAGGCGCAGCAGATGCTTATATTCCTAAGGGAGTAAAGAGTTTCAAACTGGGTTATGTTGTAACACTGTTGCTATTGCCAACTCCTATTGTGTTTAAACTGTATGATTTGCCGCTGTGAAAACTTTTTTCGTTTAGATCCCCTCGAGGCGCGTTCGATTGCGAAATAAGAAAAAAGCCCGACGAGACAACAAGTAGATTACACATATTAGATGCTAAGGCGCAGCAAGCTTGTGGGCTCAAAAATTCCGGAAGTTGGCACGGAAATCCACATAAGTCGGAACAAACTATGTCCTTCGTATCGTCGAGGGTGGAAGATAGCTTAAAAGAGTTGATTCAAATTTTGTTGGAAAATCGGGGGGAAGTAGAACTCGGACATGCAATTCAACAACTTTCTCGAGCTAACCGTCAAGTTGTGTCAGATTTTGGGGCGCAAGAGTTAGTCAATAAGTTTCCAATACTTTTCCAGAGCAAGCGAACGAAATCCAAAGTAATGTTGAGGTTGGACGTTCCCCTCGAGTTTTGTCCTCTAGCGGGGAAAAAAGGTGGATGTACTGATACGAGGTGTTTTCGTCTTCATTTGTGCCCTTTCTTTGTCAAAGAAACCTGCAAATTTGGTGACAAGTGCAAAAGGTCTCACGATTATCAAGACGAACATACGATGCGCATTCAGCAACGCTTCCGCCTTGGCTTTCTTGACCTCAGTCTTCTTCAAGGCATACTGAAGATGATTGTTGACGAGAGTGAGATTCAGCGAGCGGCTGCCGGTCGCTCTTTACCAGACATCTGTAAATTCTACAACAATAAGGGCGGTTGCAAGAAAGAAGAAAATTGTCCCTGTCTTCACGTGTGTGAGCACTTCGTCGATGGCGATTGTAAATTCGGAGGAGGATGCAAAAGAAACCACGACTTCTCTGATTCCCATAACAGAAGAGTTCTACAGCAGTATGATATGGGGCACATCAGTATCCATAAAGTGCTTCAACGACTGAAGGGCAGGGAAAGAAAGCGAACTGTTAGCGCAAGTTCTGACGGTAAGGTCCGGATAGTGAATAATTACTGTAGATGTTAGCTCAGTTCTCCAACAAAGTTTTCTCAAAAAAAAAAAGAAAAGGAGTCAGTTTAGACATTTATTTAGGATGTAAGCTTACTACTATTATATGCGATCAACTTACACCACAACTTTCACATGAATTCTGCTTTCTGAAACATGTTTGAAACAACTTTCAAACAGACTTGTACAACAGGAAATATGAATAGTTGGGGTATTTTGAATAAAAATTGTAATAAATTATTGATCTTATAGCCTTTAGCGAGATACAAGTCACGGGTGACAACGATCGTGCTGACACTAAAACAATTAAACAAGTGCCTTAAAAAGTTTGTTTTGTGGGCAATAAAGTGTGACAGAGTTTTCTACAATCATTTATTGATGAATTTTAAAATTTGTTTAACTCTTCCCATAATACAGGTAGCATTTGCTCACATGCTGTCAACCCCAGTCAAGATGACAAAGGCAAAGATACTGAGATTTGTGGATTCCACATGCGTGGCAAGTGTAACTATGGCAACAACTGCATCCATCACCATACAGATTTACCCTATTTATGGCAATTTGCTGCAAAGGGTGATGATCAGTGGGAAAGTTTTTCAAATGAAGAGAACACAATCCTCGAGAATTGTTACTGTGATGTCAAAAATGAAAGCTCTAGTCGTGTAACAATAAAAGGATCTCTTTATCTTGTTAACTTCCAGGATTTGACTGCTGTTCCAGTTTCATTTCCAGGTACCACAGCAAAGATGTTAAAATTGAGAGGGGGAAAGTAGGTTTATTTAATATGTGACATTCAAATATCCTGTAATAGACAATTATGACAGAAACAACTTTTTTTTGGGGAGAGCACCAAAGCTACTTTCTGGTCCATGTCAGGATGAAAAAAAGATGATGTATAGGAAAATGGGCCTTAGCTAGCTAGAGAAGGCTTGGTATGTAAAAAGAGGCAAATGTTTTCAGTCCAACCTGCTTCATTTTCTCTAGAAAAACATGTGAAAAGTGTTAGGACCAACCACATGAAATACAAAGAGATGCCAGCCTTTTATTATTGAATTAATTACTTTGCTTGTTGCATGAAGTTGCTTTTATTGTTATTGTTGTTAATTGTTAACTTGTGTGAAATCCATTATAAAGGTAACAGGTTTCAGCTTTTAGAAAAGAGAGGATGACCTTCTCTTGTGGTTAAACACTCATTTCAAAACTTTACCATTCACAAATAGAACTGAAGAATAACAGGTATACCCTTGTCTTGACTAAAGTTGGGGCTAACAGTTTTTATTATTGTTTTCTGTAAGTGTGTAAGACCACTGAGACTGTAATAAAGGTTCGGAGACTATCCACCATGTCATCAGCAGTTGCTGCAGCAGGCCATGTGTTTAGCACCAGATGGGAGTGGTACTGGAAAGATGAGAACAACAAGTGGCAGTCATATGACACTCCTGGTGATGGACATGCTGTGAACACAACCAGCAGTCAGTGTTTTGAAAGAGAGTATCAAGCAGGTAAGGTAGAAAAGAAATGACTGTATGCTTTAATGAAAGTGGAAGAAAATGTATTTGTTTTGCAGAGAGACCTTTGAGATGTTATAGCTGTGATAGCAGTAGTCTTCCCAAAACACACTTATTTAAATTTGAATTGTTGTTTATACTGCTGTCCTCTCACATGTATATGATTTAGAAGGGACTTTCTGGTAAGCTTGGTGACTATGTAATAAAGAAGGAATTCAAGGGGCTATGGCAGGTAGGGTGGAGTCTAGGTAGATGCAGTGGTCTGGTGGCTCGTCGGTTGGAGTCTAGATTGAAAGTCTTGGTTGAAGTCTTAGCTTAGCTATGGTCTCTCTCTGTTCTTGCACAGGACACTATACTCTCACATACCCCTTTCTACCTAGGAATGTAAATAATGGGTACCAGCAAACTGTTTGAGAAAAATGAAAACTTGCAGGGGTAACCCAAGGATGGTGTGGGATCCCCCATGAAGGGGAAACTAGTAATACTTGTTGTGTCCTTATGTTCCTGAGACTAGAATAACCTTTGGCAGGATGAAGCTTGAAGTCTTGCAACTTGTTAACTTGCTTTGCCATGGAGCAAAGTATTCAAAATTTAATCTCTTTTAGCCATATATTAACCCTGTAACTATCAGAAGTGATTAAATTGTAACTTCTCCCAATAATATACATACTCTATCCAGCAAACAGGTAATGGGAATACTCAAACTTACCAGGTTGAAGTTTTTATCTCAATCTACAATGTAACACCAAATTCTTGTACCTAATTTCCAAGGAAATGTGTGGCAGCTAGTGGGGAGAATTAACAATCAGATCTGTGGAGTTAAAGGGTTAAATTTTGCTTGCTTGCTTTGTTTTTTTTTTAGGGAAGGACACTCACCCTTTTAGTGCTTCTCATCACCAATACACTTTGGACTTTAAAAGATGGTGCCAGAAAAATAACAAGTATAAGACAGAAAGGCCTGTCAGAAGGAGACCAGCTGAGTTTGTGTCCAAACATAATATAGCAGATATTGTCTCTCAAAGGTGATTATATTACAATTTTGCAATGTTTGAAAGCACAAGGTGGGGTGGGGAGGTGTACTTTTCGAGAGCAAAACTTCAAAGATATGACAGAGGTTATCCCTCAGAGGTGATTACTCTGCAATGTTGTCATGTTTGAAAGCACAGGGTGGAAGGGGTGGTGTACTTTTAAAAAGCAAGATTTTAAAGATATGCCAAAGAAATTATCACTCAGAGGTTATTGTTCTACAATGTTGTGATGTTTGAAAGCACAGTGTGGGAGGGAGTACTTTTAAAACGCAAGACTTTAAGATATGACAAAGAGATTATCACTCAGAAGTGATTATTCTACAATGTTGTGATGTTTGAAAGCACATGGTGGGGGATGGGGATACTTTAAGATATAACAAAGGTAAGTAAACACCTTTAAACTGGAATTTGTTTAGAATTAGTCTGCAAAGAAACTATTTTAATTTGAAACCCTCTCTGTATTTCATGCGAAGTGAAGAGTTTGATTTGCCTTTTCTATACCACATTAAAGATAATTTTTTCACGGAGCAGTTAACATGTGAAATAGCCATACCATAATATGAATATACAGCTGTTTTGAGAAAGTTTGTCGAAAAAAGAAAGGTGTAAAAGTGCACGCAATGCCTGGGTAGTTTTCAGGTCGCGGTTCCTAAACCTCAGGATTTCAGAATCCCAGAAAACGTCACTGAAAAGAAAAGGAATAGCGGGTTGATGAATCTATCTATTTATTTGAATTGTTAAAATTTACTGATTCCTGAATGCCTAGACTACCTTTCGAGATCGTCGTGTGCACTTTTGTGCTTTATTCCAACAACCTTTCTCGAAACAACTGTATTAAATCAACATAATGTTTCCTTCCTTCACATAGTGTATTTTTAATAAGCCTGTTCCAGGGTAAAGTTGCTGATTTTTACTTTCTTTATTAGGCGTAAAGCAGTCAGTATGGCCCGACCATCCACTTCGGCAGAGGCGGACAGGGTGCCATCCCACTGGTCTTCTATTCCTGATGGCAAGGATTACTTGTGTGAACGTTTGTCAACCATCACTGAAGAATACAAGAAGACAGAGAAGAGATTCAATGATTCAATGGAAAAGAGCCACAAAATTGTCTCCATAGAGCGAGTGCAGAACCTGGAACTGTGGATTCAATATGCACAGTAAGTTACGAGTTGAAGGACATAGGATAGGCTTGATGGCTTCTTTTGTTTAACCCTTTGGCACCTAAAAGTGACTAACATTTAATTTCTCCTCACAATATCACCCCTGAATCAAACATGAAGGTGACGAGAATTAAGAAGATGATCACCAACTAAAGAAGCTCTTGATTGTTCAACAAATTCTCCTCATCAGCACCATAGGAAGTGTGTAGAGAACAGTAAGGAGAACATGCATACTGATGCTACAGTGTAAAGGGTTAAGTGGTTCGCCTATTTCCATTGCCGCCATTTGATAGTTTTTTTGTTTTAATTCCGCTAAGTGAAGGAAATCGTTTAGCTCATTTTCAGTCTTGTGACACTCTAAGATGATATGACAGAACGATTTTTTAACGGGTTGATTCCACGTTACGGTGCGTCTGTTCAGTAATAGATCACAGTTGACGTCAAAATGTGCTGAGAACAAAAACTATTGTTGCTGACGTTCTTACCACATTTTGACGTCTTCAGTGATCTATTACTGAACAGACCCACAGCAACATTGAATCTATTTGTTTTATGTAATGAAAAAGCAAAATGCAGTTAATGATGACCAATCAAAATGCACATAGAATTTGGCTTATCATATGGGTTAAGATTTTGCCGAAAGGTAGAGAGACAAAAGCTCAAAAAAGTGGTACCAAGTATCTTACACAAGATTGCTGAACGTATTTTTACATCCTTTTTTTCCTTCGTGATTTGTAGGAAGAAGGGCCGCATGGCTAAGAAAAGTGGCAAAGAGCCCGAAGAACGCCAACTCTTCCATGGAACAAAACCTGACACTGTCAAAGCAATCTGCCAACAGGGAATCGATTGGCGAATGTGTGGAAAACATGGTACAGCTTATGGCGAGGGAAGTTATTTTGCTTCTAGTGCTAAGTATTCTCACCGTTATTCTAATCACGGTGTTACTCGTGGTAATAAGCAGATGTTCTTGGCTAAGGTTCTGGTGGGTTCTTTTACAATTGGAGACAAATCTTTTAAAAGGCCTCCTCCTAAAGATTCATCCAATCCACATGTGTTGTATGACTCCTGTTGTGACAACCCAGCGAATCCGGCATTGTTTGTTGTGTTTGAAAATGGGCAGTCCTATCCTGAATTTTTGATCACTTACACATGATTTATTAACTTTTTTTGTTTACCGTGATATAATGAACAATAACGTAACGAAACGTAACAAAATGGCACATCTTGTAGCCACCTAATGGATGGTAGTGTGACCTGAGGTAGCAAAATGAACTGTAAAGTAACGTAACATGTCAATGATAATGCATACCATCATAGTCAAAATGTGCTCTTCTCAGCATAAGTCGATAGATGAGTTCAAGTTCTTTATTTTCTTAATGTTTTTTGAAATAGTTTTCATTTACTTTAATGACAGTTTTAAATATTCAAAACAGATTGACGCCGTATCGTCAAAGAGGATACATTCCTCTCTAAATAAGAAGAGATAACAATTTGATAGTTTTTTTTTGATATATTTACAAGTATTCCATGAAATTTTGGAAAATTCCTTTAAAGGTGGAAAAAAAGTAAAGTAGAAGAAATAAGAAGAAATTAAAAGTAATGAAATAACATAAATATAGTGGGTGAGTTTCTAAAGAAACTGTGGTGTTGCATCGGTGGGAGAGTATAACGGGGTAATTTGGTATTATCAACTGAGTTGGTAATGTAAATTGGTCATCGTAAAGAGTTGCAGAGCTGACGTTTCGAGTGTTAGCCCTTTGTCAGAGCGAAACTATTCACTATAAACAAAGGGCTAACGCTCAAAATGTCAGCTTTGATAGTAGCTTTTACTTTTGGTTTTTATTGTTCAGTTTTCTTTATAAGGACATAAATAGGAAAGTAAGTAAGAATTACTACTTTAAGGAAACTCATTTGAGAAGGCCCTGCTCTCAAGTTTTGCCTTTTATTAGGCTGAAATGTCAGCATTCTCCTCGCCCCTCTCCCCCTTTGGAACACTCCCAGGGGTGTTGGGGCCGGGGGACATCTGGTCGTTCAGACACCCCACTTACTGGAAGAGTGGTAACATTATTTCACCCCGACCTAGAATCTCCACTGACCTAGAATCTTAAACAATCCAATGTTAATTTTCAGATGGTGATGCGACATTCAATCCAAACCCTGGATGCTTTTGTCTCTCCCACCCCTTTATAACATACAATTCAAATCAATTGAAATGCAAGCATATTTCACTGCAAAAGAATTGTTTCACACAAACGACATTTCCACTCTGGGAGTCTTATCACCAGCTGCAAGGAGATCGAGCACCCTACACCCCTGTAACATATCTTCCTTGTTTGCTTAGGCCCCAACTGATCACTGTAAAATTGAAGTTAATAAAATCAACATTGAAGGGAAGCCTTGTGTTATCCTGAGCTGAAACATTTACAATATCTTTCTGCTTGCTTCAAAAGAAATGTGATGAAGTACGATCTCTCTATATACATAGTTCCATTTCTGCCACCATGAAAAAAAGTGACCGAATTAATTTTTTTATTACACCCATTTTGAAATCAATGGTGGTTCCTGTAATCTTATTGGCACTAATTAGTGCGATTTATTCACGAATCGCACTATTTTTTGCTTTAAATCGCATCTTTTTCCCAGCCAATAGGGAGGCTACACTAAAAACAAAACAACCAATCAGATTTCAAGGCTTGTTTAAAGTAACCCATCAAATTGCAGGAAAATAAAAGACAAAGTGTATCATGTAGCAAATTTTGCAACTTTTGTTTCCAAAACTTTTTTTTTTCCCCCCAGAAAATGGATCAATTTAATTTTAAACCGGCTAGTACTCCATCAATAAAATATTTGAACTGACCAAGTCCTGTATTTGGGCGATTTCAAAACGGCTGTAATAAGTAGTAATTGAACCTCGTGCCGTGCAATTTTCGTCCGAAATCATACTTGTGATTTCAAATCGAACTCGCGATGCGCGCTTGTTCGATTTTCAAATCATGCGTATGATTTCAGACCAAATTGCACTCCACTCAGTTCAATTACCACTTTAAACCACCAGCGCGCGGATGAAACATTTTTATTATATAGATACTGATGAAATACCAGGATTTTTCCTTTTTCCAAAAAATCATATCTTCATCGCGCGCAGTGAAGATACTATCTTTATCTTTCACGTGTGAGGATATTGGCGTCGCCATGGTTACTAACATGATTAGCCAATTACATGAGAGAAAAAAGTGAAAAAAGTTGCCTTTTATGTAGGAATTTCATCAGTATCTATATAATAAACAGAACATCACATTGCCGCTTGGGGATACGAATTTTATGAGCGAAGCGAACAATTGAGTGAAATTCGTATCCCCGCGCGGCCATGTAATATCCTCTAATATTCATTCATGACAACCTTTGAGCACAATTAACAACTGAGTATTTGGTTGTTTACTATTTACCACAAATTCCCGGTTGGGATGTAACTCATGGCTCTTTAAGGGCCTGTTTACATGAAGGTGGGGGAACCCCAGCTAGGTGAGGTAACCCGCCTAGCCGTGGTCAAAAAATAAAGCGCGTTTACATACAATCTTACTACCCCGGGGTGCTGGGGTGAGGTTTCTTAAGGTTGTTGTCGCGCTTGTAATTAAGGAGTTTGAGCAGAGGCGTCCCAAGCTCACATCTGGAGAAAGACGGAAGATTAATTCTCGGACACGTGTATTTACGCGCTGTTAAGTTACGCGAGGAAACGTTGACTCATTACGTTATACGGAATAGTTTGGGAAACGAAATATGGTCGATTTACAACGCTAAATATTGCGAAATGTGAACATTTTACACTCCTTGTGTGTCCGTTGCGGTTTCTGGTGATTTCAGCCATGAGAAGGAGCTTTTTGCCATGAACACAACCCCGGCTAAGCGAGTTACCCCACCTTGAGACGTTTACTTGCATTTGGCAAATTGTCACCCCGGCCGGCTGACCGGGTTACCCTACCTGGCAGACCAGGCAACCCACCTCGGCGGGTCACCCCACCTATCATGTAAACGTGTTCAAGATAAAATAGGAAATTATATAGACAAGCGGGTTACCCCACCTAGGCGGGTTACTTCACCTACCACCTCCGTGTAAGTACTAAAACATGGAACGACCTAAAACCACTTAAAACCACCTAAAACCACCTAAAACCACCTAAAACCACCTAAAACCACCTAAAACCACCTAAAACCACCTAAAACCACCTAAAACCACCTAAAACCACCTAAAACCACCTAAAACCACCTAAAACCACCTAAAACCACCTACAACCATCTACAACCACTTCAAAAATTTCAACAACGACCTACAACCACCTCAAAAACATCTACCGTCAATCGCAAACTATCTAAAACCATCTAAAACAAGGCATAAATGTCTTAAATAACGCGAAACGACAACATGTCACGTACATGAAATACGAGAATCGAACGAAACCTCCACCTCCTCCTGAAATCTCTTCTAGCTTTTGAGGTGGTTGTAGATGGTTGTAGGTGGTTGTAGGTGGTTTTAGGTCGTTCCATGTTTTAGTACTTACCCTGAAATCTTACTCTCCCTGGTCCCATGTATAATCAACCATCTCACGAAATGAAATGCGAGAGCATGCCAATTATATTTTTTATTACCTCAGTAGTAAAAGATCTAAAGAACTTTGCAAGCAGACGTTTTGGTTCACGTTTCATTTGATTACGTAATGGTCCAAGGTAGTGTTTTTCTCCACTTGCAATCTCAGCACTGGAAATGTTACGGCAATTGGAGCGAAACGTGAGTCACTATTGAGTAAGTGGCACCACTCGTACAACTGCATGCTGTATGAATGCCAGCACGATGGCGTTCGTGCCAAAGGAAGATCCCGAAGGTACGCACAGTTCGCTTAAAATATTTCCAAGGATCATTCTTACTCATACTTTTACTAGACGTGAGCCAAAACGTCTGCTGGTACCCAGGGTAGAAAAAGCCAAGTCAAGTCAGTCTTGACTACGAGTTTGTTATTTTACTTTATTATTTTTTGTAACTTGATAGTTCATTTTGTAAAGTCCTTTAAGTCTTTAGCTACTGAGGGAATATAAAATAATTTGCATGCTATCGCATTTCATTTCGTGAGATGGTTGATTATACATGGGACCAGGGAGAGTAAGATTTCAGGGGGTGGTGGAGGTTTCGTTCGATTCTCGTATTTCATGTACGTGACATATTGTCGTCTTGCCTTATTTTAGACATTTATGCCTTGTTTTAGATAGTTTGCGAGTGGCTGTAGATGTTTTTGAGGTGGTTGTAGGTGGTTTTTGAAATTTTTGAAGTGGTTTTAGGTGGTTTTAGGTCGTTCCATGTTTTAGTACTTACGAACAGATTCGGCGGGAAAATTTGTGATAAGGAATGAGAAATTGCGACCATTTCTGTTACTTGGCGAGACGGACACATCTAAAAAAGCGTCGTAAAGGTAAGACGCTTGTAATAAACTGCTTTCCTAACACCTAGGGTGGGTAGCACTGATTTGAATTTGGGTGACATACACTCCCACAACAGAAAACCACAATGTTTACATTCTCTATGATATCTGTAAGTAATCTACTGTAACACTTTCTAATAAGTTTACCTTGGAGTTCGTCGATACTATTGCTATATAGACGGTAAATTTTAAGTCGGATAGTTATTCAGTTCTCATCGAAGCTCGAAATCGCATGAGAACGACTAGCTTAGAGCGTGCATAAGTTTGTTCATCTACAGTGAACTAAATCATTGTGGAGTAATATTTTCTTAAGGAAAACAAAAAAAGATTAAACCTGAACCGAAAGTGGAGACACTTGCCCGAAGAATAGAAAGTTATGTGAGGTGAGTTCACACAAGGGAGTTTTGGCAGCGCCTAGACAGTAAAATTTCAGTTTGAGAAGGCTGATCTCTCCTTAATAGGTAGTTATAAATGTTGGCATAAAGAAAAATTTTAAGGTTGTTGAATGATTTCTAGTGTAGTTTGAAATGAAGAAGAAATTGTAAAAAATATACCTTAAGTAATCACAAGTCCCAACATGTCTCTGAAAATATTAAAGGATTGTTTGAAAAAATGGATTAGAGTAAAAATTGAAGAGTTCATCCTTTTCGTAGGATTTTTGAAAAAACTGGGGACTTGTCAAAAACACAACAGCAGGAGCTCTCAGCTAAAAAGGCATAATCAGCATTTCATGATTAATTTTGAATATTATGCAGATACCTTTCCATTTTTTAAGGGATTTTTTGCACTTGTGAATCATTGTGATGATTATCAAAAGTTGAAGAGTACAACTATTGCTGTGTTAATCTGAAATGACAGAACTCTTTGATTTATTTGTTTTCCTTTTTCAGAAATATGCAAATAAAAAAGTTACTGAAATTTTCTTTTGAAATTTGTAGGAAAACTACGTTCCTTGCAGTAGTGAGGTACTTTCCAAACAAAAGCCTATGTATGATATGATTTTGTGTTTGACAAAGTGGATCCATTTGAATTGGGGAGATGAGGGACTCAAACTCATGTTTAAGAGAATATTCCTCAATTTATGTCCTGGTGGAAGACTTATCCTTGAGTGTCAGCCATTGTCCTTACACAAAAAGAAGAAAAATTTGACAGTAAGTGATTATTTCAATGTTGTAGCTAAGGAATTAAGCTGTCAATTGAAATTTCTAGTGAGGCAGCTCAAAAATCGAATGATTTTGTGTGCATAATATCAGAGGTACATCTTGTGCTCCACCAAGCAATCACTAGCCAAAAATCTAAGCAGCAATCACTACTTTTCATCTGCTGAATCTCACCGGCAACCAGCGCTTAGAAAGAACCCTGTTATTTACCATCAGGTGCTAGCTTTTTCCTTTATTGGCTATGAATGCAATAGTGTAGGTCCCTCGTTTTAAAACTTCATTTTCTTCTGTATCACCCAAGGCAAAAACAATCTCAATTCAGTATTATTAGCAACTTCTACAACAGTATTGCTTTAAGAAACTAATTTCATTCTTTTATTTTTTTCTATATGGAGAAACTTGATTTAATTTTAACATCAATGAAGACATTTTTGTAGAAAATAAGCCTCAAATTAACCATCCATATCCACCATTAAGTCTTTTCTATAAATTTTTTTAATAATAATTCAATATTTTTTATATAATCATAATTAGGAAATAAACCATTGCATCTAATATTTTTATCACCATCAACAACATTCTTTCCAGGAAAAAAACGGTGCAAATTATGATGCCATTCTCTTTCAACCTGAACACTTTATTGACTACCTTCTATCAGACATGGTGGGATTTGCTACTTTTGAAGTTCTTGAGATTCAACAACACAAAGCCTCTGGTGAGAGTATTTAAGTGCACAGTTGATCATCCAAGGTTTTTAAGAAATATTATAGCATTTTGTGAATACTTTGAAAATAATTTTTTGGAAACATAGTAGCCTAGTGGTTGGCTAGGGGCAAATCCAGGAATTTTTAAACTTTTCATTCAGAAAACATAAATTTTTAATGCTATAACCTAAATAAGTTAAGAAATAAAGGTAAGTGTTAGATACTTCATAATAAGTAGCAACATGCTATGCTTCCATTGCAAGAATTTTGTTAGTGAACAAGTATTAAAATTTACCTCCAGGTCTGATGGGTGGGGGGAGGGTTTGGCCCCCTCTGGACCCTTCCCTCTGGATCTGCCACTGTTAGTAGGCATGTGCAAGGTGTAGGAGATATACTCTTAATGCTCACTATTTCAGCATAAACAAGCAAAACAAACTTTATTGGTAGTTTTGATTTGTTCTTGAGCAAGACACCTTTATGTCTTAGTGCTTTTCCTTGCCCAGAAGTGAGAACTGGTACCAGTACCGGCAAGGTGTTAGGAAAATTCTTAGAAAAAAAGGTATGGGTAATGTATGATAGATTAATAGTCCAATGGAAGAGGGCTATACTGTTCTTGAGCTAAATGCAATAAAACATGTTGCATGTTTCTTTTCTATTCTTAGGGCTCCAGAGGCCTTTGTATCTTCTCACAAAAGCTGCTGATAAGCAAGGGGAACCTTTGGAAGAAATTTAGTAGGATTCAATAAATATGTCATCTATATTATACTAGCATAGCAAGTGGAAATCACGAAATGTAGTTGTCTTGCATATTCCTTGAGTCAATGGAATTAGTGACATTCTTTTGACTATACATATATATATACAGCCACAAACTTGAAAAGTAGAGAATAAAACTTTCTTTTCATTGATGCAATGGATTGTTGCTATATATCTAAGAGTGTGTTTGAAAATTTTGGATTTTTTTGTTTGGTTGTTTTTACTTGTACAACTGCCTTAAGGATTGTCTCTAAGTTAAAATTTTTGGAAGTAAAATGAGTTTTTCAAACCTGAAAATTCCAGAGTAAGTGTGATAGTTTATTTTTTCATCAGTTGACACCCTTTACTTACATGTACAGTGCTGCTGAGAAATATATTAACCAAAAAACATGCATGAAACATGCATAAATTTGAATGTGAGTGCATAAACATTTAACTTATGTCTAAATTCTACATCTGTCTCTTTAAGTGTATGAGCTAGTTTATTGTTTTTTCCATTGTTGACAGGTAATTGTTCTATAGCACAAACTAATTGCACTAAAATACTACACAACTACAAACTACATAATTATAGACTTGTTTGTCTCAATGTCTGCTCAAGCCAACCTTCCTAATATGCTCTTACTTATGTAGGCAACTTCATTAAGACCTAACCTCTCTTCTTTTGATAATAGAGGCTCAGTGTGTGGCAACCTTGTTCTTGCATAATGGGTCTTCTCTCCTCTGCTTTAACCACAGTTTGCCCCTGTTGTAGTTTGTTTCAACCAAGTCATTTTGGTTTTTTTTTCAAATTTAGGGGAATGGTCAGGCTATCACTTTAAATACACATATGCGTGGGGGAAAGCTCAGTTAAAAGGTTACTTTTTCATGTTTTTTTTTTTGAGGAGGCTTTAGAGTCCTGCATATAAGAAAGTGTGACCTATGACCCCTTACATACCTATTTGTTACAACAACTGATCATCTATGTAGGTGAAGTTGTTTCACCTATTTACATGCTAATATTAGTGTAAAAATTCTCCATACTGTTCTCTATGCATTTCCTGGTATTCTTACAAGGATAATTTTTCTAACAATCAAGAGCTTCTTGAGTTCAAAATAATTTCCTTTTTTCTCAGGGATGATACTATCAGGAGAAATCAGATGCTTATATTCCTAAGGGAGTGAAGGGTTTCACATTGGGTTATTTTGTAATACTGTTGCTATTGCCGACTCCTTTTGTATTTAAACTATATGATTGGCTGCTGTGAAAACTTTTTTCGTTTAGATCCCCTCGAGACCCATAAGAAAAAAGCCTGAGGATAGAATATGTCGATTACATTCCCATGAAATCGAGATGCTGAGGTGCAGCAAGCTTGTGGGCTCAAAAAATCCGGAAGTTGGTACGAAAATCCTTACAAGTCAAAACACGCCATGTCCTCTAAATTGTCGAGCGTGGGAGATAGCCTGGAAGAGTTGATTCAAATTTTATTGAACAATCGGAGGGAAGTAGAACTCGGACATGCAATTCTACAACTTTCCCGAGCAAACCGTAAAGTTGTGTCAGATTTTGGGGCGCAAGAGTTTGTCAATAAGTTTCCACAACTTTTCCAGACCAGGCGAACGAAATCGAAAGTAATGTTGAGGTTGGACGTTCCTCTCGAGTTCTGTCCTCAAGCGGGGGAAAAAGGTGGATGTACTGATATGAGGTGTTTTCGTCTTCATTTGTGCCCTTTCTTTGTCAAAGAAACCTGCAAATTTGGTGACAAGTGCAAAAGGTCTCACGAGTATCAAGACGAACATACGATGCGCATTCTGCAACACTTCCGCCTTCGCTTTCTTGACCTTAATCTTCTTCAAGACATACTGAAAATGATTGTTGATGAGAGTGAGATCCAGCGAACGGCTGCTGGTCGCTCTTTACCAGACATCTGTAAATTCTACAACAACAAGAGCGGTTGCAAGAAAGAAGAAAATTGTCCCTGTCTTCACGTGTGTGAGCACTTCGTCGATGGCGATTGTAAATTCGGAGGAGGATGCAAAAGAAACCACGACTTCTCTGATTCCCATAACAGAAGAGTTCTACAGCAGTATGATATGGGGCACATCAGTATCCATAAAGTGCTTCAACGACTGAAGGGCAGGGAAAGAAAGCGAACTGTTAGCGCAAGTTCTGACGGTAAGGTCCGCATAGTTAATAATTAACAACTGTGTAGAGTAACTTCTACAACAAAGTTTTCTCATTAAAAAGGAAGGAGTTAGTGTAGACATTTATTTAGGATGTAAGCTTACTACTATCATGTGCGATCAACTTACACCACATTTCACATGAATTCTGCCTTCTGAAACGTGTGAAACAACTTTCAGACAGACTTGTACAACAGGAAATATGGATAGTTGGGGTATTATGAACAAACATTGTATTGTAATATTGATGTTGTAGCTTTTTGTGAGATATGAATCACGGATGGACAAAAATCATGCTGACACTTAAACAACTAAACAAGTGCCTTAAAAAGTTGTATTTGTGGGCAATAAAGTGTAACAGAGTTTTCTACAGTCATTCAAGTTTACTGATGAATTTTTAATTTCATTAAACTCTTCCCATAACACAGGTAGCACTTGCTCACATGTATGCTTTATGCAGTATGCAAAATTTTTAAACTTTCCAAGCACTCAATAAAAATAAAGTGATATATTTGTTAGCTGTTTACTCAGCTTGTGTGGATGAGAGATGGTTGACTTGTTGCTTAATTTTTAGAAGAGAGTGTGCAATTATCAAGATACCAACCAGTGATGAGAATGGATAGTGCTAACCCAACCATACCACATATTCTTGTGCAGCAAGGAGTAGGCAGTCCCTCCATACCAGAAATCTGTAAATTCTACAACAGTAAAACAAAATGCACAAAAGGTGATGGGTGTCCTTGCCTTCACGTATGTGAGCATTTCATCAGTGCTGACTGCAAATTTGGTGAGGCTTGTAGGCACGAACACAGCTTCTCCTCTTTCCATAATAGAAGAGTCTTGAAACAACATAACATTGCCAATGTCAGTGACCTCAAAATCCTTGAATACTTACAAGCAAGAGTGAAGAAACGAACAGGAGGTGCAAGTTCCAGTGTTGAGAAGTCTTTGACTGTCAACTTAAGTGCTGTAAACCCCAGTCAAGATGACAAAGGCAAAGATACTGAGATTTGTGGATTCCACATGCGTGGCAAGTGTAACTATGGTGACAAGTGTATCCATCACCACACAGATTTACCCTATTTATGGCAATTTGCTGCACAGGGTGATGACCAGTGGGAAAGTTTTTCAAATGAAGTGAATGCAATCCTTGAGAATTGTTACTGTGATGTCAAAAATGAAAGCTCTAGTCATGTAACAATAAAGGGATCTCTTTATCTTGTTAACTTCCAGGATATGACTGCTGTTCCAAGATCATTTTCAGGTGCTACGCCTAAGATGTGGACATTGATGGCGAAAAGTAGGTTTATTTTTGTGACATTCAAATATGCAGTAATAGACAATTATGACCAAAACAAACATTTTTTAAGGAAAGTACCAAAGCTACCTTCTGGTCCATGTTGGGATGAAAAAAAGATGATGAATTGGAAAGTGGGTCCTAGCTAGCTAGAGAAGACCTAGTATTTATAAAGGCAGGTGTTTCCTGTCCCACCAGCTTCATTTTTTCTCAAAATTAAAACATTTGAAGATTGTTAGGACCAACCACATGAAATGCAAAGAGATGCCAATCTCCTATTATTGGTGCACGAATTTACTCATAAATTGCATGATCTGACCATTCTTTTATTATTATTACTATTAACAGTAGTAGTAGTAGTAGTAGTTAGTAGCTAGTAGCTAGTAGCTAGTAGCTAGTAGCTAGTAGTTAGTAGTTAGTAGTTAGTAGCTAGTAGCTAGTAGCTAGTAGCTAGTAGCTGGTAGCTGGTAGCTGGTAGTTGGTAGTTGGTAGCTGGTAGCTGGTAGCTGGTAGTTGGTAGTTGGTAGTTGGTAGTTAGTGTTAGTAGCTAGTAGCTAGTAGCTAGTAGCTAGTAGTCTGTAGTTTGTAGTTTGTAGTTTGTAGTTTGTAGTTTGTAGTTAATAGTTAGTAGTTAGTAGTAGTAGTTAGTAGTTAGTAGTTAGCAGTTAGCAGTTAGTAGTTAGTAGTTAGTAGTTAGTAGTTATTTGAAATCCATAATGAAGGACACAGCTTTTAGCTTTAAGAAAAGAGGGGAATAGGCATGACCTTCTTCTGTGGTGAAACAATCATTTTAAGACTTCACCATTCACAAATGGAACAGAAGAATAATAGGTAAACCCCCCGTTTTGACTACAGTTGAGGCTTACAATTTTTATTCTTGTTCTCTGTAAGTGTTTATGACCACTGGGACTGTGGTAAAGGTTCGAAGACTTTCTACCGTGTCATCAGTGGCTGCTGCAGCAGGCCATGTGTTCAGCACTAGATGGGAGTGGTACTGGAAAGATGAGAATGACAAGTGGCAGTCATATGATACTCCTGGTGATGGACATGCTGTGAACACAACCAGTAGTCAGTGTCTTGAAAGAGAGTATCTGGCAGGTAAGGTAGAAGTGAATGACTATATGCTTTATGGAAGTGGAAGAAAATGTACTCTTTTCACAGCTATAGATGCCATAGCTATGATGGCAGTAGTCTTCCTTTTCAACTCAGTAAAACACATTGATTTAGATTTGAATTGTGGTTCACCCTTCTGTCCTCATACATGTATATGGTTAAGAAGGGACTTTCTGGTAAGCTTGGTTACTATGTAATAAGGAAGGAATCCAAGAGGATATGGGCAGGTAGGGTGGAGTCAAGGTAGCTTAGCTACAGTCTCTCCCTGTTCTTGAACAAGACACTTTTCTCTCACAATACCCCTTTCTACCTAGGAATGTAAATAATGGGTACCAGCAAACTGTTTGAGAAAAATGAAAACTTCGTGGGGGATTACCCAAGGATAGTGTAGGATCCCCCATGAAGGGGAAACTAGTTATAGTTGCTATGTCCTCATGTTACTGAGACTGGAATAACCTTTGGCAGGATGAGGCTTAGAAGTCTTGCAACTTGTTAGCTTACTTTGCCATGGAGCAAAGTATTCAAAATTTAATCTCTTTTAGCCATATATTAACCTTGTAACTATCAGAAATGATTAAACTGTAACTTCTCCTTATAATATATGTACTTTATCCAGCAAACAGGTAATGAGAATACTCAAACTTACCAGGTTGAAGTCTTGATCTACAATGTAAAACCAAATTCTTGTAACTAGTTTCTGAGGAAATGTGTAGCAGCTAGAGGGGAGAATTAACAATCAGATCTTAGGAGAAAAAGGGTTCAATTTTGCTTGTTTGTTGTTGGCTTTTTTAGGGAAGGACACTCACCCTTTTAGTGCATCTCATCACCAATATACATTGGACTTTAAAAAATGGTGCCAGAAAAATGATAAGTATACAACAGAAAGGCCTGTAAGAAGGAGACCTGCTGAGTTTGTGTCCAAACAGAATATGGCTGAGATTGCTGCTCAAAGGTGATTATATTACAATGTTGTGATGTTTGAAAGCACGGGGTGGTGGGGGGGGGGGAGGGGGGAGGGGATGTACTTTAAAAAGCAAAACTTTAAAGGTATGACAAAGAGATTATCCCTCAGAGGTGATTATTCTACAGTGTTGTGATGTTTGAAAGCACAGTGTGTGTGTGTTTGTGTGTGTGTGTGGGGGGCATTCTTTTAAAGAGCAAAACTTTGAAGATATGATAGAGATTATCGCTCAGAGGTGATTACTCTACAATGTTATGATGTTTGAAAGCACAGTGTTGGGGAAAGGCATTCTTTTAAAGAGCAAAACTTAAGATATGACAAAGAGATTATCGTTCAGAGGTGATTACAATGTTGTGATGTTTAAAAGCACGAGGTGGGGGTACTTTTAAAGAGCAAAACTTTGGAGATATGACATAGAGATAATTGCTCAGAGGTGATTACTCCACAATGTTGTGATGTTTGAAAGCACAGTGTGGGAAGGGGGTGTACTTTTGAAGAGCAAACTTCAAAGATATGACAAAGAGATTATTGCTCAGAGGTGATTACTCTACGATGTTGTGATGTTTGAAAGCACAATGTGGGGGTGGGGGCGCGTACTTTCAAAGAGCAAAATTTTTAAGATATGACAAAAAGATGATCGCTTAGAGATGATTAATCTACATGATGTTTGAAAACACAGGGTTGGGGGAATGGGGGGTACTTTAAAGATATAATAAAGGTTAGTAAACATCTTTGAACTGGGGTTGGTTTAAAATTAGCCTGCGAATAAATTATTTCAGTTTGGAACCCTCTCTGTACTTCAGGTGAAGTGAAGGGTTTGATTTGCCTTTTTCGTTACCAGTTTAATTAAAGAGAAAAATGTTTCACCAGGCAGTTTACATGTGAAGCAGCCCAATCATGATATGAATATAGAGCTGTTTCGAGAAAGTTTGTCGGAAAAAAAGGTGTAAAAGTGCACGCGAGGCGTGGGTAGTTTTTAGATCACCGTTTCTTGACCGCAGGATCTCAGGGAAATCCGAGAAAACGTCACTGAAAGGACGAGGCATAGCGGGTTTGATGTATCTATCTATTTATTAGAATTATTAAAATTTATTGACTACCGGATACCCAGATTACCTTTCGAGATCGTCCCGTGCGCTTTTGTCCTTTATTCCGACAACCTTTCTTGAAACAGCTCTATTAAATTAACATAATTTTTCCCTCCTTCACATAGTGTATGTCCAATAAGTCTGTTCCAGGGTAAAGTTGGTGTTTTTTGCTTTTTTATCAGGCGTAAAGCTGCTGGTACGGCCCGACCATCAAGTTCATTTTCCACAGAAGCGGACGGGGTGCCATCTCACTGGTCTTCTGTTCCTGTAGGCGAGGAGTACTCGTGTGAACGTTTGTCAACAATCACCGAAGAATACAAGAAGACGGAGAAGAGATTCAAAGATTCAATGGACGAGAGCCACAAAATTGTCTCCATAGAGCGAGTGCAGAACCCGGATCTGTGGATTCTATTCAAACAGTAAGTTACGAGTTGAAGTTGGGATAGACTTCATGGCTTCTGTCGTGTTACCCTTTGGCTCCTAAAATTGACTGACATTTAATTTCTCCTTACAATATCACCCTTAAATCAAACATGAAGGGGACGAGAATTAAGAAGATGATCACCTACTAAAGAAGCTCTTGATTGTTCAACAAATTCTCCTCGTCAGCAACTCAGGAAATGCGTAGAGAACAGTAAGGAGAACATGCATGCTGATGCTACAGTGTAAAGGGTTAAGTGGTTCGCCTATTTCCGTTGCCGCCATTTGATAGTTTTTCGTTAAAGGAAACCGTTTAGCTCGTTTTCAGTCTTGTGGCGATCTTAGGTGATATGACAGAACGATCTTTAAACAAGTAGACTCCATGTTACGTTACGTACGTCCGTTCAGTAATATATCACAGATGACGTCAAAATGTGCTAAGGACAAAATTTTTGACGTCTTCTGTGATCTATTACTGAACACACACACAGCAACATTGAATCTATTCGTTTTATATGATGAAAAAGCAAAATGCAATTAATGACGACCAATCGAAATCTTAATCATATGGGTTAAGATTTTGCCGAAAGTTAGAGAGACAAAAGCTCAGAAAGGTGGTAACAAGTATCTTACACAAGATTGCTGAACGTGTTTTACATCCTCTTTTTTCCTTCGTAATTTGTAGGAAGAAGGTCCGCATGACTAAGAAAAGCGGCAAAGAACCCGAAGAACGCCAACTCTTCCATGGAACAAACCCCAACACTGTCAAAGCAATCTGCCAACAGGGATTCGACTGGCGAATGTGCGGGAAAAATGGTACAGCTTATGGCAAGGGAAGTTATTTTGCTTCTAATGCTAATTATTCTCACTGTTATTCCAATCACGGTGTTACTCGTGGTACTAAGCAGATGTTCTTGGCTAAGGTTCTGGTGGGTTCTTTTACAGCTGGAGACAAATCTCTTACAAGGCCTCCCCCTAAAGATTCATCCAATCCCCATGTGTTGTATGACTCCTGTTGTGACAACACAGCGAATCCTGCATTGTTTGTTGTGTTTGAAAATGGGCAGTCTTACCCTGAGTTTTTGATCACGTACACTTGATTTGTTAACTTTGTATTTACCGTGATGAAACAGAAACGTAACGAAACGTAACGAAATGGCACGTCTTGTAGCTGCCTAATGGATGGTAACGTGACCTAACGTAACAGAACGAACTGTAACGTAACGTAACGTAACGTAACATATCGACGATACAGCGAAGAAACATAAAATACTTTGGTGTGAAAGTTATATACCAACATAGTGAAAATGTGCTGTTCTCAGCATACGTTGATAAATTAGTTCAAGTTCTTTATTTTCATAATGTTTTTTGAAATGGTTTTTGTTTATTTTAATGATAGTTTTAAACACTCAACAGATCGGTACCGTATCGTCGAAGAGGATACATTCCTCTCTAAATAAGAAGAGATAAAAATTTGATAGTTTTAATTTTTGATATGTTTACGAGTAGTCCATGAAATTTTGGAAAATTCCTTTGAAGGTGGAAAAAAGTAAAGTAGAAGAAATAAGAAATTACAATCCAAGTAATGAAATAACATTAATAAATGGGCTGAGTTTCTAAAGAAACCGTGGTGCTGCGTTGGTGGGAGGGTATAACAAGGTAATTTGGAATTATCAACTGAGTTGATGACGTAAATTGGCCATTGTAAAGAGTTGCAAAGCTGATGTTTCGAGCGTTAGCCCTTCGTCAGAGCGAATGGTTTCGCTCTGACGAGGGGCTAACCTCGAAACGTGAGCTTTGAAATTCTTTACGGAGGCCAATTTACGGTTTCAACTCAGTTGATAATACCAAATTTCCCAATGAAATAATAATTTGGTAGTTTTAATTTCTAAAACGTTTACAAGTAGTCGGCACAACGTCTTGAAAACTTCTTCAAAACGAAAAATCGACAATAGAAAAAATAACAACGAAAAACAACAAAAGAAAACAAAAAAACCACGAAGGAAGGAAACAAACAAACGAAGATTTGAAGATTTCTTCCAGCAATGGTGACAAAATCGGGAAAAGTATATCAGTTTCATTTGCAAGTACCTGCCGTTTTCATTTGTTTTTCAAAATCGCTGGTAGGAAAGCACAAAGCTTGAAAATGAAGTTAGAGTCGAAGCTAATCCTCAAAATCTGCCTTAAACAAAACCTGCAAAAATGCCATGCGGTAGTCTACAAGGTGTAAGGTACGATTTACCAACAAGTGCCACCGAGCCACTTTGCTATTAGCAACTACCCGTTCCAGCTTTGTAGTAAGGGCTTATACACGCACAAAAAAAAAAAAATTAAAGGAAAAAGGAACCAAGAATGAGATAAAAAAAACAAATGAGAAATAAGAATAAAAGAAAAGGAAAATCATTTGACAAAATCAAACATTTTGTGAGATCCCCTCTTTAGGCTAAATTGTAAAAATAGATGGACAGTATTTTTTAAACAGCAAGGGGAGAGGGAATAGGAATAACAGATAATAGACTGGAATTTAGGTAAAGTAAATTCCGTTTCATTTCTAACCATTTTGCAAATTTGGTAATGTAGAATAGGGCGCACGTGAATTTTTCTTTTGCTTTTATTTTTGGTTTTTTTATTGTTCAATTTTCATTATTTGAACATAAATAGGAAAATAGGTAAGAAACGCTTCTTTAAGGAAACTCGTCTAAAAAGGCTCAGCTCTCAAGTTTTGTCCTTGTTAGTCTGAAATGTCAGCATTCCTCTCGCCCCTCTCCCCCTTTGGGACACTCCTAGGGGTGGTGGCCTGGGGGATATCTGGTCACTCGTAAACTCCCCTTACTGGAAGTGATATTATGCTGTTTTTTACCTTGGTTATTAGTGAAACGGATTTACTTTTGTAGCTGTAGCTATAAAGACATTTCGTTAGCGTTGTACCGTTTGTACCAAATCTTAGTGCAGGAATCTGCTTTGTAAATTCTCATTTTTCAGCACTTTGCTCAGGTCTAGCTGTCTTTGGCCTGTGTACGAAGACCAGTTTCCGGTTGTCGCTTGTCTATTCTATGGGCAGACAATGGGGACAACTGGAAATACGTAAGCGTTCACAGGCTACGCTCTCGTCAGACTACAATTGTATTTCTTACAGCATAGAAGAAACAAAACGTTTAATCTTAGGTGTTAAGGCCAAGGCACTCGAGGGGGACATGTAGTAGGGAAGAGTTGTTAGTGCAGACTGTCACTCCACCTGTTTACTGCTTGGAACGTGTTAGATTGTTAGTCATACAAAGAAAAACTGCGGTTCTCTGGCAACTATAACCTGTTCCAGGGATTCAACAAATAAAATGAAGCGCGATCTTAAACGGCACGATAGAAGCCAAGGAATGGAAAATCAAGGGAGGTTGACTAGCGTCCCGTAATGAATTACGCGATCCGACCCAAACCTCCTTCATTTTCGCTCGTCTGCTACTATTGCGCCGTTTACTATTTCGCTCCGTTTTGCTGAGAGCCTGGAACGGGCTATGACGACCACAACTACCGTTTGTCACTCGCTCTGTCTTCCGTCTCCACTAACCTAGAATCATAAACAATCCAAGGGTAATTTTCAGAGCGATGCGACATTTAATTCAAACCCTGGGTGTTTTTGTCTTTTCCCCCCCTCCCCCTCCCCATTCAAAACATACAATTCAAACCAATTGCAATGCAAACATATTTTAGTGCAAAAGAATTGTTTCACACAAACGACAGTTCCACTGCGGAAGTCTTATCACCAGCTGCAAGGAGATCGAGCACCCTACACCCCTGAAACATGTCTTCCTTGTTTGCTCAGGCCTCAACTGATCGCTGTAGAATTGAAGTTAATAAAATCAACATTAAAGGGAAGCCTTGTGTTATCCTGAGCTGAAATATTTACAATATCTTTCTGGTTGCTTGTTTTAAAGGATGAACTGTCTGTTTTGTCCTTTAAGACTGGCTTGCATCTGGTTTCTCTTTACAATATCAACCTGAATCTCAAAAGTCTTATGCTTCTCATTTATTATACTGGAAGCAGATACTCCTCTCCATCTAGCCTTTAGCTAGACGTTTCGAGAAAAATCAGCTCGACTCGTTAGCATGTTTGCGTTACGTTGACAGTTTGGTTTTGAGAAATTCAATCTCTTTCTCCCACAATGGTATCTTATATTTATTACGAGACCATTTTCAGCATTCTTTGCAGTAAGCGCCTACCTCAATTTCAGGTCGCCACAGGATCTCTAAAGAAATTCGATGAAATACGATCTCTTTTTTAAATATTGTTCCATTTCTACCACCACGAGCCATAACTCTTAAAAGCGATCGAGTTAATTTTAAAACAACCCCTATTTACCACGCCCTTGTTTGCGAACGTGGTAGACAACCTATCTTTCTTTACGGCGCCGGTAGATGGGAGTTCTGTCACCAATAAACCCATGCGGAGCTAAAACGTTTAACCATCTAGCGCGCGGATTAAACATTTTGATAAACTGCGCGTGCTATTCCTGGACTGTGACGAAATATTCATCTATGACGACCTTCAAGCACAGTTAACAACTGAGTAAAGTTATCAATCCACAACAGCCTCAATCCGCTAGCTTCACCATCAACTCATGGCCCTTTAAATCCACGTGACCTTACACTGGCGCGGCTGCCAAACAGATTCGGCGGGAAACTGTGATGTGAAAAAAGAAATGGCGACCCTCTCTCAGTCACTTGGCGAGACGGACACATCTAAAAAGCGTCCTAAAGGTAAGAGGCTTGCAATAAACTGCTTTCATAACACCTAGGGTGGGAGCACTGATTTCAGTTTGGGTAACATACACTCCCCTAACAGAAAACCGCAATATTTACATGAAGTTTGCTGTTGTTCACTTTTGTCATTCTCTATGATATCTGTTAGTAATATACAGCAACCCTTTCGAATAAGTTTACCTTGGAGTTCGTTGATACTATTGCTATGAATACGGTAAATGTTAAATCAGACAAAAAGTTATATAGTTTTCATCGAAGCTCGAAATTGCATAAAGAATGACAAGCTGAGAGCGTGCATAAGTTTGTTCATCTACTGTGAACTAAATCACTGAAGAATGATATTTTTCCTTAGGAAAACAAAAAAAGATTAAACCTGAACCGAAAGTGGAGACCTTGAAATCCAATACTTGCCCGAAGAATAGAAAATTGTGTAAGGTAGGTTCACACAAGGGAGTTTTGGCAGCGCCTAGATGGTGACTTTTCAGTTCAAGAAGGCGTATCTCTCCCCAATAGGTAGTTCTGAATGTACGCTTGAAGAAAAATTTTTTGGTTGTTGAATGATTTCTGGTGCAGTTTGAAATGAAGAGGAAAGTGTAAATTATTCTAAGACCTAAAGAAGTCTAAGGGCAAGTTTCATCTTACAAATTTCCTTCAAAATCATATGAATTCCGGTAATGTATACTCTTCATTTCCAATTTTAGGGGTCTTTTTCAATTTTAGGCATTAAACTTTTGTCTTCTTCACTGATTGGGATTAATTAGGATGTTTCCTGCAAAGTACCACTGCTTGGGATTAATTAGGATGATTCCAGTAAATTAGCATGTTTTAATCTTTGTGTCTATGATTTCATCAACATTACTTAATTCTACCAGAATATCATCCTAGTGATAAAATAGAGAAAGCTTGAGTTTTAAATTAATTCATAAACTTTGCCTAAGAGAAAAAGAAGGGAATTAGCATCTGTGTTGACTTGTACTTTTTTTGACATACTTTGCACAGCAAAAAAATTCCTCAGAGCAAACCAGCCCCAAATCCTCAGTTATCACTGCACCAGAACCAGCTTGGGAGATTGAATACTACGATTCTGTCCCAGACCTTTATCCTGAACTGTCAGACTCATTAGAAATGCAAGAAGGTGACGCAGAACAGCTTGTCAGGAGGGAAGGTTTACACTATTTTATTTTTCCATCTCATTCCTTTGTTGAGGACTCTCTACTTCTATGTATAAGTTAGAGTGACAACCATTTCCTGATGCCTGTTGCCAGAAATTCCATTTTTATTTCCTCAGGTCATGCTAACTTTAACATCTCTTCTTATCCTATTACCCTTAATATACATCATGGGTAATTGGAAAATAAGCCACTGCTTTTTCTATTTTCTTTAGAAGTAGACCAAGCAGGAGCTGTTTGCAATTTACCTAAATAATATGAGTTACTGAAAATGCACTTGAATGAAATCCTCCAATTAAAGTATACTCTCATCCAGTTAATGCTAATTTCTATTAAACATTTTATTTTTTGTCTGTGCTTAGTTTCTCTGGATTACTATAACCATGTAGAGAATGTGCAGTGTGTTCCAACTACTTGTGATGACAATCTTTCTCAAGAGAGCACAAGTCAACAGGTATATTCAAATCCTCACTTCAGCCATTAGATCTCATATCCTGCAATAAAATTTAAAGAGATGAGGTCCCCAAGAGTATTTACTTATAAAATGTTCCTTCAAAGTGTAAGTTATGAAAGAAAACTTAGTTTATTTATCTCAAAGTTTTCCCTCAGGAGATTTACCAGTTGGGTCGACAATGTAATAATGGTTCTGTTTTGGTATTCAATTTTAGACTAATGACATTATCATGGCAACGTCATCTCTTGTAACAGACAGATGTATTCCAGTTTTTGGCCTTGATACCGTAATATCTTTACTTTCCCTCAGAAAAATGTCCTCATTCTAGCCACATTAGTACACGTTAGGAGAATGATATTGCTTGACCTTTTGAAATGGTAAAAACTTGAGGTTGCTCAGGTGGATCTGCCAATATTCTCTAATTTTTCATTTTTCTTACTGTATTCCATTAGCTCAGACATACTGAAACAGAAATAGGCTATTTGATAGGAATTGTATGTGGCAAGGAGTCAGTCAATTTTCAAAAAGTTTTACCAAAGAAAACTTAATAAATCTCACTTCTCACTTTTTCAGGCACAGATTAGGCCTATGGATATTATGGGTATAGTTACTGGAAACCTTAGAGTCCATTGTATAAAAACTGCATTGTTTGAAGACACCTTTCTAGATAACAATCGTGCAATCATATCAAGCTGCTATGTTTGTTTCGCATGTTGGCACTTTGAAAGCATGCCATGTTTGCATCCAGATTTTGGGCAGTCAAAAGAAATACAGAGCCTTTTATTTTACTACATCAAAGTAACTTTATTTCAAAGAATAAGAACATTGCAGATTGTCTATAGGGATTTTTTATATTGTAGCTAGTCCTCCAAGCAGGGTAATGCCAAATCACATACAAACTACATAGTTATCCTTATCAAATAGGAGGTTACTTAATGGCCATGACATGATCTTTATTGCTTACTGTTATTGCTTTTGACTCATAGTGGGTGATATAGGCATGTACCTCTCATTTTCTGTACAAGGGTTTCAAAAGCAGCCAGATGGTGCATAGATCTAAACTGCTTGGAATACACTGGCCACCCACTTGTAATCTTAAAACAGATTTCATTGTACACTTCACATACATGTAATTCTCTTCAAATTTGTTCTAACTGGTTACATTTGAAGAACAAGAAAGCATCATAAATTTGAATAGAGCCCAAAGTTTAATGGAAATGCAACTGTAAGAGTCAAGAACTTCAAAATTTCTATTTTTTAAATCTCCCAAACAAGAATTTCAGGCCTTCAAAACTACCCAGCTGAACTAAACTTGTTTGTACCAGACCCTTATTAAAACAACTGTCTATTTTTCTGACAATCTATTCATTGATAAGCTGCAGTTATTTAGGTCATGAAATTTGGACGAAAGAGACACTCTCTTAGTCATTTCTGACATTTTTTACTGTGTTACAACAACTTTAGGATAATTCCCAAGCATCAAATTCAGGCAGCCAAAGCATTACAAATGTCGTCAGACGAAAGAGGAAATTGGCAAAACCTAGAAAGGTTAGAAAAAAACAGGATGGTAATGATGTTCCAGATACATCAGGAATGGTAAGTCAACACTTTTTAGGTTTCTTTGTGCACATATTGGAGTCAATAGCTTTTTAATCGCCTCTAGTTACTTTTTTTCATAGAATTTTGAGCTGCAACGTATGTATCAAGAGAGTGGAAAACAGGGTACATGGGCACAGTGTAGCATCCCTAGTTGCGGTAAATGGAGGTTTCTTCAAACTAACATAGATCCTCAGGAGATACCAGAAAGATGGGTGTGTTCTTTGAACGAAAGTAAGATAACGATCCTTGACTAGAGGCCTTTCCCCACTAGCGGACAAAACTAGAACTGCCCTGAAAAAATCAAAGGACAAATTTTGTCATGACACATCTTTGTTTCGTCTGTTGCATCCGCATTAACGATTTCAAAGCCGTCAAATTCCGTCAGCGCCTGATCTATCTATAAGACCGTCCAGCATACTTGCCAAAGGATTCCGCCTCCAATTTCCAGGATTTGGCTTGAGTCGATTTAAAATTTTAGAATCCCCGAGTTTCGCAGCAAAACAAAATTTTTGCCTTTCTAGTAAACTGGTTTCGGTTCGACGACACGCTTGTCGTAGCTCATACAAATGATTGACAAGTTTATCACGGTTTTGTCGGCGGTGCGTCTGAAGATTTGTCGGCTTCGGCCAAAATTTGTCAAGTCGCGACAAACCATCCGCACTTGTAAAGTGTTGGTGATGACAGAAAATTTTCTAAATAAACAACTTTGTCGCAAGTGGGGAAAGGCCCAAAGCCTATATATCTTCAACTAACCATGCCTATGATTCCCTTTGTTAAAGCTACTCACACATAACATTACTCATTCAGAGTGATGTCTTTGCAGATGATTGCTACAATTCATGTAGTATTTCACAAGAAACGTTTGATAGTCAAGAGGGGAATTTGGAAGTAATGTATACACCTTATCCAAGTGGGGCTATTGTGTGGG